CAACTCTCTGATTGAGTCAAAGTGGAAAAAGTGGATTGCGGTTCTGGATTTTTGCTGAGATTTTTCAAATAATCCACGTACAAGAAACACAATAGAGGAGCGGTCAGATTAAGATAAATGTTCACTTTGCCTTACTTTAGCTTATGATTGTTCTGTAAGTAACTAATGTCTCAGGTAAAAACTTTTAAAAAAAGAAAAGAGAAAGATGAACGGAAGCAGGGAATGGAAGGAATCTCGACCTCTTTCCTGAGAATATTAGAAAGTTACCATTAGTAACGCTACTTGCTATCTTTTTAAAATGCTAAAAATTGCTTTCGCGCATCGAGTGAATTCCAAAAATAATGGTCCAGTTATGTTCGTTAGGACCATATTTAGGCACTGAAACTGCTCCCTTGGATGGCAAGGAAAGACACGGAATTGAAACTGTGAAAATTGGGCCATTTCTTTTCTGGTTTTAATGCTATCCCTGCAAAAGTCAGCAAAGGAATTATCATGATTAGTGCTCCCTGATGGATTTTTTTTTGTATCTTCTTCAAACTGACTCTGTAGAAATTTTTTTTTATGAGTAGAGGCACCTAAAGTCATGACTTTAGCAAAAGAATTGAGCCATAACAACGGAGCTCCCTTAATCACAGAACCAAAAAACAACAACGACAAACAAACAAACATTTAAACGGGAAAGATCACTGACTTGTTATTATTCTGAAAAATGGTATTATTATCACTCTTTGCGTAGGAATCCATGATACAGTCATTTATGTATCTTTTTAATCTAGATTTTCGGTAGTATACTGTTGTCTTTTAGTAAAGACGTTCAATCTGCCTTTACTTGCTGATTTAAAGATAAAAACAATGACACTCTGACTTTTCTGATAAGTGTGGCTACTATCCGACATATCCGATTCGACACGTTTTCTTGAGCACGGGATAGTATTTCGAACGTAAGAAAGCTTCAGAACGAGCTAGAGCTGTGCTTTAGAATGTACCCAAGCGAGCAGAGGCCTAACAGTACCTTGATTTTCCTAGATAAATCTTCCTGACTCACCGTCTAGGCAGATCGAAGGTCCTCTGCTCGTAGGGTCTTGCTAGAATGGAGTACTGAAAAAAGGCCTTTTCCTACATCGGGCGATCATTTTGAATACACATGTAAGTTATTTTTCTGAAAAAGGGACACAATTGTAAAACCTCGGCGTCATGCACATACGCACCTTAAACCTACCTGAGTACCCAACCCGGGCTTTAGATCTCTCACAGTTACATAACTTGCTTTTCTTGTCCCTTTTAAATGCACTTTGACTGATTATCTATCACCTTTGCTATGCCGTAATTGTATCTCTACTTTTGGTTACTTCACAATACCTGTCTAAAAAGATATGTTCTTAATTGTACTTGAAGGATCACGACCGCCCTGTTTTGATTTCCTAAGCTTTAATTAAGAACTGGACTACTATTTTCTTGTTAAGATTGGATTTCGCGTAATAAGAGCACATTTTAAGAAAATAAACAAACAATCTTGTTTCAATATCATATATGGTTTATCGGAATCATAGACGTATGCATCGTACAGTTCATTTTGAGCCTTTGTTGTTTTCGTGCAAATCTCTTGTGGAATTCGGGTTTAAGTGATAGGGTATCAGTTTTTGACAAGGACGATTAGACATTGTTTGCAGTGTAGGAAGTGAAAAAAAGAAAGCAATAAAAAAATATAAGCATTTAATATGGCTATTTTTTTTTATAAATGATGACGAGCATGAGGTTATTTTCATAGGAGAGTCCCCCCCGGAAAACCTTCCCTCATAACAGCCATGTTCAAAAGAGGCAAACGTTTTTGTTTTCATTCAAACAGCTAGAATTCAAGTAGTTGTAACATACAAGAAGAAGGCAGCATGCACAGACTCAAAGTTGTAAAACCACACTCGGCTTCATCAACAGTTTGACCCGGATCACATGAAAAGGTTACAGCTTTTTTTTTTTTTTAAAAGAAAATGCTACCAGGCCGCACGCTTACTCGTCAAGCCACAACGTGTAGCCGAAGTAGATTCTGCATATGCTAGAACATATTTATGATACTGGGGAACGATCCTTCTTCTCTTTATTTTGTCAGATTTACATCCTAAGAAAGACTTAAGAAATAAGTTACCAGATGTTTTAAATGTATCTACTTAGAAGGCGGAGTAGTGTTTCAGCCGGAACTGCTGTGAACATCACAAGTGAGCTGTGTTATAAAAAATTGTCAAACTTGTGTATGTAGCACTTCTTTTAAGTGGTGAATTAAAGAGTTACTTTAAGAAAAAAAAATTGTTTGAAGTGATCGATTGACTATTCAACCGAGGCTTTCACGCCTATCAACGCTGCATGGAGACATAAAATTAAAGCTATATATTAAAATACCTGCCGTGATTCATTGGTTTTATGTACCGCAAGTTATAATGACTAACTGTGCGTTAAAATCCTTAAAGCTTACCTCCTCTTAATCACAGCACGAAATTGCTGCTATCTTTTCTTCGTCCTTCTTCAAAATACATCACCCTTTTGTTGTCCAGGAGCTTTCTACCGGACCCAAGCGTTTGAAGAGGGTTATAATCTTTCACTATGACTCGGTCTTACAAAAGAATCTTGTTGCTTCAAAGTCTTCGGTTACTAAAACAATTGTCTTAAAGGGTTAAGCTAATATAAACAGAACGTCAACACATTTTCAGCTGTAAATTGTGCAGGAACCTGATGATGCTGAAAGGTTAGCCGCGTGGCGGGGGAAGTCAAGTGGCGGGAAAATTTAGAAGCAAACATACGTGATGCGTCACGTATTTACCTACGCAGTCGTTCTCAGTTATTTCAACATTGAAACTCTTAGATATTAAAAAAAATTGATTAAACAACAGAAAGTATAAGAGCTACAGAGATGTAGTATGATTGATATCGCGAATGTTATTAAAAGAGGACTAGAATTTTGCCACTGTGATCTGTTGACCGATCTAATCATGATAAGTTTTACAGCTGATGACAAAAGGGCGCAAATGCATTCTTTGCATATTTTGCACCAACATAACTGTTTTGTCTCACAGTCCTTCATATTTATTTCAAGGCTGACTTATTTGTTTCCGTTTTAACTCGACTTGTCACGAATCGATAGTTTTTTTTTTTTTTTTTTTAAGTAAAGTTTGGGAAACATAATCTTCACTACAGTGCATCAGGTGGGTCGGTCCTCTCAAAAAAAATCCCTATAGAGGCAAGAGGAAAGGAAAGCCAAGATATTTTCCAAAGACAACCATGTTGTTAACGGAATTTTCCCAAGAGTTCCGGTCCAGTCTATCCTGTTTTCAATTTTCCGAAATTTACAAACCCTTGGACTCGACTTGATGTCGAGTCTAGCATCAAACATGGCGCCGTGAACCGCGCGAACGCCGAATGTGCCTCCTCCTAAAAGGCTTTTGTTGGACGAATTCTCAATCTATATCCTCCTACCATTAGATTAAATAAGTTGTAAGGTATGTATCTTAATTATGAAGAATCGTAATCAAGATCCCTGCTACAATATTAATGAAAATGGCAGCCGCATTCAAATATGCTCAATGATACACGTGAGAAGTCGAAAGATAAAGGAGCGCAAGTGAAGGCTTGGTAAGTTGCTCTTGAGACAGATCTATAAAGCTCTGTAGCGTTATCCCCAACTTAAGTACACAGATCTTGTTACTGTTTTAAAGGCGTTAGGCCTTAGCTGATCATCTTGGAGTCATAACATGACTCCCGCGGGCCGTTAGTTACATTGTAGGTTACAGTTTAGCCTGAGTATCAGGCGTTTCTGGGGGAAAAGGGGAAAGATGGAAGCGAAAAAGGGAGAGAGCTGGAGAGAAACGCCTGACACAGATGCTTTTACTGGAGCCTTCCACCCCCACACAGCATGATTCGAAACCATCCAATCAAAATCACATCCGGTTATTGGGTTGTCAGCTTCACGTGACAAAAAACTCGCCGAAAATAAATCTCACCATACGGTCTTGCCGAGCTCCGGTGCTTGTGTTGCAACGATTTCGCTTTTTCTGAAACCTCCAATGAGGAGTTTTCGAATACTTGTGATGGAAAACCTGCCGTTTTTGAGGAATTATAACATGCTTTAGGAATTGTGCTAATGTAAGTTCGCCAATGCTCCGTTTGTGAATAAACGTGTGCCCAGAAAACTGTAAACTGCTTTTGTTTACAGAGTTACAACAGCGGCGCTCATTAATAAGCAGGTTCCTGAGATTCTGGAGCTAAAAAGCTGCTGTAGATCAGGCCGAAAATCGTCCGAGGGAAAATCTAAAGTCAAGCTAAAGCCTTGGTGCTGTCAGCTATTCTCAATACATGGCTACCTCGCTCTAATTTTATTTACAGTAACAATACCCTTTTAGCGGCAGGATGTTGTAAATCAAAACTTAGATATCTGAAGCACTGATATCGTCTTCTTTGTCCCGGTCAAGCCTGCGAAAACATCCGTGTCTCCTCGTTCTTCGTTTCGCAGGCTAGTCCTGGTCTTGTGAAACCAATACTCGGACATAGTTTCGGCAGAAGCTGGTATATGAGGCTTTTCCATACTCTGAGAACATCTTTCCTTTTAACTACGAGGCTTTGAAAACACATTTCTTGCTCGGGTGTTATGTTTATTCCCGGAAAGAACTTGAGAGCGCCCTCTAGAGTCTCTTTGAATTCCTCTCTGCGTCTCTATCCATAAAATTAACACATGAAATCAAAACACTCTGCTCGTGTTTACTTGCGGTCGGTGACGTCAGGGCGTATTGTGTGTTATCCAATCACTGCCACATCCAGATTCTGGATGTGTCACACGATTTGCTGAATGGTTTTGTGTCAGGCCTTCCTTTCTCTTCTCCCCCCTCCCCCCTCCCCCATCAAAAATCTCCTCTCCCCTATCCCCTTAGGAAGGCCTGATACTCAGGCTAGTTACAGTTGCATGTTGTTTTGTGTCATATCAACAGGTCAGTAAACAGGGATTGCAACAGCTTAGCAACATGGATGCGATTGTGGATATAAATATTTTTAAGGTTTGCACACAGCACCAATGTATTTTTCGTCTTCTAGAGATTTTCTTTCTTCCTTTTTTCTCTTTGGTGTTTCTAATTTAACAGTGCTTGTCGCTTAGGGTTAAAGCATTGAAATTAATCCTTGCGCTTTCTTGTTATATTTTATAGGTTATTGATGCTGGTCATTTTTGGGCTCAACCAACTGCTCATCCAGACTTCATGGGAAAGCTAAATGACCACTTTAGGGACAGGAAAACCCCAGAAATAACAAATCCTCTGGGTAAGGGTCAGGTGAGTCGATTGTTAGATTGACAGCTGTACCACAGTATCAGAAATGAGCTGGTTTGTAGCAAAAGCTGAAGCAGGCATCATAACTAAATGAAGTAGGCAATGGTCAAAGGCAATTCTTCAAATCAAGTCCAAAATAGGAAACCACTGGAGAAGTTGCACTTCTAATTAAGTTGCCACCAAATGCAGTGAGAGGGTTAGCATACAGATTACCTGAAAAAGTCGAGGGTAAAAGCACAATTTGCCTCACCACAATTCATTTAACTCATTATTCTGCTTGTTTCTTTCAGTTATTTCTTTTTGAAATCAATTAAAATGTACTTTTTCTCCACCTAAATCTCAGTTTCGAGAAAAGCAATGTGATTCATTGGTGGACTGACTCTTGAGTAATACAACTAAGAAAAGGCACAAAATAGGGAGCAGTTATAAAGCATCAATGCATTGTTTTTACTTTGTCCTGTCCCTGCAGTAGGCAAAGGCCAGCATGGGGTATGTTTGTATAGTACTTCTGTCTGTCAAAAACAATGTGGCAAACAGCAGTTTATGAATAATGATAAGCGATTGATGACTTCAGTTGATGACCCCAAATAGGTGACAAAGAACTTTACAATTTACTCACATGTATGTTGTTGTATATACATAGAATCAAGGCCCATATTTGGGTCCTTTCTGGGAAGGGGGGGAGGGGATTTGGGAAATAGTTCATACCTGTGGAAAGATCCTGGTTACACCCCTGGCTGTCTATAGGATGGTTAGTGTTGAGGTTAGCCCCCATGTGGGTGAAGTAAGTTTTGGTAATTCTCTTTTGTGCATGTAGATGTGTGTTGTAAGAAGGACATCTGACAAATGCTGGTACAGGGCAAGAGTGCAGAATGTGTTGCAGACATTAAGTGGACCTCAAGCCAGGTACATTACTATAGCTACAATAGTAGGCACTCTCTGATTGGCTGTTTTCTTGCAATAACTGGGCATTGCTAGCTATGATCAATTGTTTTCTGTCAAAAGGGTATCCACTGACCAGTGTCACATGACTGTATTGTGGGCTCAATTGTACAACTCATTGAGATGACATGGTTTTTTTAAGTTTGACCAGTTGTTGGTTTTAATTGATTGCAGGCTCAGGACTGGTACATAATGAAAAGACCATGTATAATGTTATAAATGACTTATTAACCTTGTCCGTTTGGTTATTACAGGGAAATCTCAGATTGAGGCCTTGACATATTGACCTCCCTATAGCTCAGTTGATACATCAAGGCCTCGGTCTGAGATTTCCCTGTAATGCCTCAAGGGACAAGGTTAAGTAGTATTAAAATTTGTAGCAAGGCTTTTCATGGACTATACAGCATAAGACAGATCAGAAAATTCCTTACCGTACAATCCACAAAGACACTGATCCATGCCTTTGTATCTTTGCACCTAAATATCAGCTTGATCGTTTACAGAAAGTCCAGAATGCCGCGGCTAGAGTGACTTTTCAGATTGCAAAATTTGATCATATCACCCCCGCTCTTATCGACCTACATTGGCTTCCAGTAACGTTTAGAGTTCAGTTCAAATTGCTCCTTTTTGTTTACAAGTCACTACACAACCAAAGTCCATCCTACATTAAAGATCTTTTATCCCTGAAACCAGCTGCTAATTATGCTCTTCGTTCGTGTGCACAATCTCTTCTGCTCGTTCCAAAAGTCAACTGCTCTACACTTGGGGATCGGGCCTTTGCTCATGCTGCACCTGTTTTATGGAACTCGCTGCCATTAACTATAAGAACAAGTAGCAGCCTGCCCATTTTTAAAAAGCAACTTAAAGCATTTGTTTTTAAGAAAGCCTTTAATTTGTTGGAATAGTTCTAATGTTTCATTCATTCATTTCATTTTTGTTAGATTTTACCATAGCATAAAATATCATTGTTATTATTGTAGCTTTCAGGGATTTTTAATTTTTTTTATTTGTTATTTATTCATTAATTTTAACTTAATGTAAAGCGCTTTTGAATATTCTTATCTAGTTTTAGTGCTATACAAATTCATTATCATTACATGTAAATTCATAAAATTAAAATTTAATGCAGTTTTAACCCATCTGCAATACATGTAGATGAGCTTGGTGAATGGTGCCTGAAAAAGTAAGTTGGAGCCACAAGCCAAACCAAGCCAAATATGTAGGGAATCCATGTCCACCATTGCCCATTTAGCTGCTATAATCCCAATAAATTACTGAAAATTCTGTTGCTGGCTTGGTAATGTGGAAATATGGTGTAGTTTTGGGGAAGGTCAGGTGTTTTTCTGAAATAAGTGCCGGCACTTACTTTAGGAAAACAGTAATGGAACTTGTCTTATAACATATTGTAAGGTTGATTTTAAGCCATTTGTTTTCCTTCAGTGTCTTTCTTGTGGATTTAGCTGAAAGCACTCTTATTCCTTGTTGCTGGTAAGAAGGTTTTGTATGTACACACTCAAACTATGGTAAAGTAATAGTTTTTGGCTCTGTTTTGAGAATCAAACAATCATGTACAGGGTACATGATTGAATGACTTGTCCAGCAAACAAAAGCAAGGAGCTCTGTATGATTTTGCTACAAGATGCAGTAAAATGCACTAGATGCAGTAAGAAAACACTTTATTCAAATTGTAAAATGTAGTTACTTTGCTGGCGTGGTGCATAAATTATTTTTGTCAACACTGGAAGAGAGAAAACGTTAAGATTAACATGAATACGAAGAAACAAGGGTGATTAGACAGTGATTACAGTTAGAAGAGAACAGTATAGTTTATAATCTATTATTGAAACAGCCTTTCCAGGCTCTCAGTTGAGACGAGGGATTACAGGGACTGTATGAAATGTGAGCCTGAAAAAAATATTGTTATGGACTGGGGCAAGTCAGGTCAGTGAGACAGGTCACCCTTTTCTCCTCTGTGCAGGCGACACCCATTTTTTCTTTTTTGCTTTTCCTTTCACTTGTCATGACAAATTAACTAGGGGTGTTCACGTGGAATACAGTGTAGGCTAACAAGTTGTATTTAAAGTCCCTTTTTTACTGAATCATGTAGTATGCATTAGAGATGAATTTGCCTAAAGGTCAAAGTAGCCTCTTCTGAAATGAATGCTACATTACATTTTACAACTAATATATCAAATAAGGCTGTAGAATAAGTGGTTATTTATAAAGATAAAATTATTAATTCTAAATGGTTCAAAATAGCAATGTACATGAATGCACAATCTTTCTAAGGCTTTCATTTCACACGCTTACATGGGCACCATGGTAGTCACATGTAAGTTACAGCTTGATGTTTTGATGAATGGAAGCTTTTTCTTTATTTATCCAGCTCATATGCCTGCTTGTCTATTTTCTTTTTAGGACCAGAGAGGTTCCAACAGAATACCTAAACATTCCCTTTCAGGCCATGGAATGTTTCCTGACTGGAATTAAACCACTTGGACTTGTAACAGCATATTTTGATCTGAGCACCTCTAAACAGTAAGCGTAAATAATTTAAAGTTAAGCACTCTCAACAAATTACAGTGTACTTATTTTGTACTAAAACAATGAGGGCTGCACTTTTACTGCTTTAAACAAAGAATCAAAATAAATTTGCAGCAAGGATAAAAATGGTGCCATAACATATTGTATAGACTGTGTATGCATACCTGTTCATGTAAACACCCCTATATGGAAGAAGGGGTTTACACTGATGTATTAACCCCTGAGTAATGCAACATGCCAATGAGAGTCAGTGATGCATGTAGATTCAGACACAGATGCATGTCTAAGAACAAGCAGTTCATGCACACCCCAATTACTTGCAAAGTTTTGGATACCCCTCTTAAGCTGCAGTGTAATGCATAGTACATGTAGGTGGGAACATAATGCAACATGTATATGTTACAGGTCAAATTTGATCCCAAGTTAATTTGGATTTAACCTAGGTTGATTCTTAATTTCCATTGTCCTCTAGTCCTATTAGACAAAGGAAATCAAGAATCAACCTAGGAACTATTAATTTGACCTGTAGCATAGACACATGCACGTGTATACTAGGTTGTTTGTGCTCCCCTCTGTTGCGTTGAAAGTTATGAACACCTCTGGATCTAGTGGGTGAGTACCTGAGAGATCCGGGAGCCTCCACTGTTGGCATTCAGCCCTGATGTGCACTACACCATTGCTTGCCAATACATGCAGGCCACACTCAATACACCTATCACACTGAACATATTAGGATATACAGGTGTAAGTGGGAAAAAATCTGCAACAAGAGTCCCAAAATTACCATTCAACTATGCATTATGCCTGTCCACTCAGTGAACTCTTTGTTCATGGAGATCTTGCAAAAATGAACACCAGAGATGGTGTCAGAAGAATTTGCCAAATGTTATACCCAAAGAACCTCTGCAACAGCAAACTCACCTGATCTGAACATTTGGAGTGCCGCTGATGAGACAGCGAACAAAGATCTAGCCCGCAAAACACTGGACGAGCTGAGAAGGCGACTCAACTTTGCCTGGAAAAATGGGACCTACATGTAAGACTATACACGCTTACGAAGCTTGCACATTCTATACCCTGCCACTTAGAAAATGTCAAATAAATATAAAATAAATAAATAAAGGGAGCCATCCTGTTTACTAATATTTCAATATAAAATGAATAAGGAAAAACATACCTAATTGTAAAAAAAAATAAGTAGTTTTAGTAACCATTGAAGTTTGAGTGAAAAAAAAATCGGAACAAGCTTTTGAAACACCCTGTGTATGTGTCTCTGTATTGATTTGCAGAGAGACAGATCACTGGGATGAAGCAGCAACTGGTTTGTTCAGAAATCTTACACAAGGTACATTTTACAGTTTACTTGTTACAGTTTTAGAAGAGGTGCTTGTGCATGTAAGTGCTGATTGCTTCTGCAAATCTCTGTATAATTTTGTTTGCGTGTTACAAGGTTGTTGTTCTTCTCCTCAAAAATGAGATAATGGTGCATGTGATCCCTTTTTTAACAATCATGGAATTAATAAATTTTATTATTATCTTTCTTTCAGGCTGTAATCTTCAAGTTTCTGTTCAAAAGCAAGATGAAAAAGGAAGATATTATGTTCTTTTGTTTGCAGACTCTGGACATACACGGGTAAGTCTCTCAATAATACATGTAGCTGGCACCTGTCAACTTCTAAAGTAGGGTCAGTTTAGTCCTGAATCGTGGCATCCTCAGGCCAATTCCTGTGGCCATGATGATAAAATCCTTTACCCTCAAGATATGTAACCTTTTAACACCACCTCTATAACAACAATGTACATGGACAGTGTAGTATACTTTTACTGACTGGAAACGCCATTTCGGGACTCTAAATTTCAAAATGTTCCCAGATGACTCGGTCCTCAAGAACTTGTGCCTTTGGTGTGAGTTCCAAAGCCGCCTACTAATGACGTAACACTAACCTGATCTGGGTAGTACTTTTGATTGGTTGAAGCAAATTTTCCCTGTGGCATGACCAATCAGAAGCACTACCCAGACTTCGGTAGTGATGCGTTATCAGTTCGGAATTTCAGCGAGCTTGTTTCTCAGACATCATATCATGGGTAAATCGGTGGTGGCATTAAAATGTCGGCTGCTTTCTCAGGGAACTGTTACTATTAATGATAATTTTTTTTGTCAGGTTTGCATCAATGATAAGTTAGTGATCAATGGATTTGCTACAAACTTCTTTGACACTGTGCAAAACTCAGGCATAAGCCCAGGCAAAGCTGCAAAACTGCGAGCCTTAAATGATGAGTTCCAGAAGCAAGGATCAGAAGTGATAGAAAACCTGAAAGAGTACATCAGCCATGGCAAATTAACCTGCAGTGAGCAGTCATCAAACAGCACAGATGAAGAATCCTCGGATTATCAAAAAAATAGCCGCCTATTCTTAAGTTCTGGGGAATCCCCTGTGAATGTTTTGAGAAGGCAGGTTTCTGGCTCATGTGGTGTTGAGGGTGGTACGCTTACTGAGCCTTCAGCAAGAATTCCTAACAGTGCAAGTCATTTGGCTTCTTCACAAAGATTTTCACCACAAGCATCATCTGGTCTTACTACTGGAAGTGAATCACAGTACAGGAGAGCAGATAACTTCTCCAGTGATGAAAACTCTGGACGAGTGCGCTTTCTCTCATCAAGGCTCCCAGCCACTGGTAGTGGCAGCATTAGAGGTTACTCAATCCCATCAAAATCTCCAGAGATTGGAAATCTCAAACCAATTCTCAAGAAAAGAAGTCCCCATTCAGTGTCCTATCAATACAGTGGCTCATCCAGTGAGCCAGAGGACTCACTTCAGAGGAAAAGAGTGCAATTAGACAAAAACGATTCTGGTTACTCTCATGGTGAAATGCCTTTATTGGATTTGCATGATAGTAACACTTCTTCAATAGACACAACAAGGCAAGAGCCCGTATCTTCTTCTGTTATTAGTGTGGATGCACTGTTTAGAAATCAAAGAGATAATTTGTGTTCTAGTTTGCAAACGACCAACTTTGCTCACAGCCCAGAGGCAATCTTGCCCTCCATAGACAGTGATAGTGAACGGCCCCAAGTAGAAAGAATTTCCCATCAACTAAGATCTTTGGCAGATTCTCTAAGGAGTGATACTGGAGAGTGGAACAGGCAATTGCAGGACTCTAGTACAGGTTATAATAGGGTCAGTGAACTCTTAACACCATCTTCTAATTCCACAGCTCAACACCAAGAGTATGAAAGTTTACCTCAGCGATACCAGCCCTCACTATCACAATCTACTGTTTGTGGAGAGAAACAGGCATTTGCAGACCAAACTTCTCCACTGAATGCCATCTTCTCTCCAAGTTCCAATTCTTCCATCAAGTCACCTCTTCCTTCAGAACGGTTTATCTCATCTCAGTCTCCAATTTCTCCTGTGGATCCCACTACTGGAAGAAAAATAACATTTTCTGATGGTGTCCTTGTCCAAACAGAGGGTGCTCCTGCTCCTAGACCAGTATTCTCTCTAGAACAAACCCCATATGATTATTATGCACGAAGTTTAGGTATACATAACAAATCTCCAGATATGTTTCAGGCACATGTGTGGCCTGCTTTGAGGAGGGGCCGTGATGTTGTGGGAGTTTGCAGTGCAGTAAACGAACAACAAATCTTTGCTTATATAGTACCTATCATCTATCAGTTACTTGAAGAACAACAAATGTATGCAGATCTTCCATCTGGAAGTGGGGTAAGTGAAATGTTATTATATCTGTAAAACTATCTCCTCCTTCACTGTCGAAAATTAAAGCTACAGCTGTAGTTATTAAGCATTGCCTAGCTTCAGTTGATAAGTTACCAATCTCATAGCATTTTATTTTTTTGCTAACAGAGCAAAAATCTTTGATAATTAATTTTATTTGCTTGTGGCTGCTTCATACCTTGTGTGCAAGTGGCACCAATGTATCTCAAGTTATCATACGCCATATTTCTGGCCTCATAAAAACATTGCATAGCTCTATTACAGATACAGTGTACATTACTATCCAACAGATACATTTAAGTATTAGGGAAACAAACTGTGCCGAATAAGTAGGACTATGATTGCAAGTCCTACTTAGCCCGATTTTTTGGCCAATGTCATTTTTATTTTCCTAATTTTTCTGAGTCTGGCTTGTCACTTGAAATCATGGGGAACCTTTCACTATCATTAATTTGACAACCGCTACAACAATAGCAGAGGAATCGTTTTCCTGTACATGTATTTTTAAAATGGACAGGGTGAATTAAATGGTGTTAACAATGTAATGATAAATAATTACTAAAGTAAATGTTCATGTATGTTGTATCAATTTTTTTAGCCCAAGCTGCTCATTCTGGTTCCCACCTGGGCTAGGGGAGATAATGTATATTACCACTGTACACGGATGCTTGGACGAAACAGGGTTATTCGTGTACAGCTGATATTTGGAGGAGGTGCAGAAGATGAAAGGATTGTCCAGTTGGTGAATGGATGTGAGATTCTGATTGCTACACCCCCTTGTTTTGTTCGGATGCTCCGAAAAGGCTATATCAATCTTAGCAGGCTGTGCCACATAGTTTTTCAGGATGCGGATGTCATGGTTGAAGACTTTACATCAGAGATTAAAGACGTTATGAGACATTATGCCAAGCTATTGAAATCCCAACCCAATCGCTTGGCGCCACGCCAAGCTGTTGTTATGGCAACATCTTGGAGTGTGGGTTTGTCATCTTTGGTGAAGGCTTATCTAGGGAATCCTGTGTTGATTATCTCAGATTTGATAGAAGCTGCTATTTATCGAAGCGTCTTGCAAATTGTAACTGTTTGTTCTGCTTCTCAAAGGAATGACAAACTTCTAGGTAAGGCAAATTTCTTTTTTTTTTCTCTAGATCAGAACTGTTTTAAAATGTAAACTTTTGTTAGCCTGTATTTCTCCCAGTCTAGTTTGGAGGTGCATGCAAGGTTACATGTGTAAAATCCACATAGACTGTTATGTCATGACTGTTATGCAACACTGATTAGAAGTAGCAAGTGAATCATACAGTGGTCCTCTCCTACACTGAACTAATTCATACAACGTACTTTAACACGTCAGGCTGACACTTATCTGACAGATTGGTTCATCAGGGTTTTCATTATAAGAATTCTAGTAGAAGAAGAAAGGTGTAATGTTATAGGAGAATAATATTTTTGAAAGAGGAACCACGTCTGAATAAAAAAATAGTCATAGGCTATCGAAAGTTAGCTGAAAATTTTTGCATGATAAACGGGGAATTCTCTGATCTCCGATGCCTTATGAACACCCTGTTCAGCCTAAGTTACCATTGTTCCATAGTTATTTCAAAGTTGAATTTTGTCAAAATGGGTTTTGCAGTAACAATCATCTACAGAGTGCACCAGGCCCCAGTTGTTTAAAAGGTGGATAACACTGTCCACTGGATAAATCTCTTTCCAGTAGATGAAGCATTTGATTTCCCTGTTACTTATCCACTCAATAGCAATTCATCCGGCGGATAGCACTATCCAACGTTTGAACAATCGGAGGCAGTCCTATACATGTACATTGTATGAGTGGGTAGATTTGAACTAAGCCTACTCTGTGTCTTGTACTTTTTTATATTACATTTACAATGTATGTACCTGTACCTTTATCCAATAATAATGAGTCTTTTGTAGCTCAGTGGTAGAGCATCTGAACTATTAACCAGAAGGTCGTAGGTTCCTTTTCTTTTGTGAGTACTAATAAATGTACTAATTAAACTAATAAATAATATTTTTATAGTTAGTATTTTTGCCTTTCTGTGCTTTTATTTTTCATCACAGGGTACATAGAGTCTTTTAATGACACAAAGGACATCTGTGTTTTCACATCAAAGACTTCAGAGGCAGAGGCTATTGGGGAATTTCTTAAAGCAAATTGCTGTTACACATTAGTGGCAACTGAGTTTTCCAGTGGCCAGGAACTTGCAAATATTAAGAGACAGTGGAACACCCCACATTCTGCTGATGCTATGCCTGTATTAGGTACTGTATAATCATTATATTATTATTATTAAATCATGTATTAACCCATGGGCCCCTGGGAATTTTGCAGAAAAACACATTTTGAAGCAAGTTTTCTGGTTACTGTTTGGCTATAAAGAGCCAAAAAATCCATCTACAGGTGGTGCACTTTGCGGCCCTCTGTTTCAGATGCCAAAAATCAGCTTCCAAAGTTTGGGCATCAGCACAGAATGGAAAATTTTCAGTTTTGGGTGTAAAAGTGATACAGCAGTCTCCAGTTTGACCTTTTGCTTTCTCCTCTTTTGCTTTTCTTGCCTCATGATTTTTTTTTTGGTTTGTTTGCTGGGCGTTTACTAGGCTTCATTTTGGCGGAAAAAGCTTTGGGGAAAGCTTTTAGGTTTTTTGATGGAAGGAAGGGTAGTTACACAGTTTTTGCCTTTTTTTCTCCGGACTCCTTGATTAAATCTTGCTCATTCTGGTATTATTAAATTGAAAGGTCTCTTCAACCTGCACAAGTTTGATGACAACATTGTCCCGGACTGTTCATCTTTTGCCTATTTTTTTTTTTTTCACTCGATTTGGCAATTCAAGGCCAGATTTGGTTGGTTTATTCCCAAAAGTGGAAGTGCCAGAAAATTGTTACTCTCCTTAAAGTCCAAATGTAATACTGTCCAGGATGTCAAGAGAGTTTAAAGAAAAAGGGGAAAAAATAGCTAAAAAAAATAGGCAGAAACAGTTCAACAGGGAGGAGGTTAGTTTGGAAAGAGGTATCATTAAAATCATTGTTCAAAAGTTTACAAAATCATGAGGTGAAAAGGCTGGTAAGATTCATTAAACTATTGGTGATCTATTTTAAGTTACATGTAGGTCTAACATCAAACTATTTCCTCTTTATGGATTTACTTATTGTAATCGCTTTGGACTTTAACCATTTTTTGCACACATGTACCTCAAGGCAAATTACTGTGTGATTTTATTCCTTATTTTAAATTAATGTTGTAATTTTTACATATTTTTCTCTGTCTGTCTTGCTATAATTTTTAAACTCGGTGACCATACTATAGCTACATGTATTCCTGTTTCCTATCATTCAATCATTGATTATAATTATTTTTTATCTCCCTTAGTTATGACTGATGATGTTATTGAGAGAATGAACATCACAAATGCTTCTTGTGTTATTCACCATACCTTTCCTAGCAAGGAAAAGTTCCGCAGGAGGTTGACTACTCTTGCAGGAAAATTCACATCATCAGAGGTACAGCAAATATGAATATCAGACACAGTAACAAATATACATGTATATTAAATTTAATATCAACCATTTATTAAGATTGTTTATTGTGAGTGGCTGTGAATGATTTTTGGCACCCGCATAAATTCATGGAGGTGGAATGGAGAGTGAAAAGGGAATTCCTACAAACTGACAGCATGATTCTCACTGAAAACTCGGGTTCATTTCTTATTTGCAGCTTTATTTATGAGTTGTCAACTTGATGAACATAATGTACATATTATAATATGCTACTAAAATGACTGAAAAAAATGCCAGTGGTATTTGTAGCCTGTGCCACAGATGGAAATTCGGTCAAGTCCATCTGCATAAACAGCACCTAAATCCTTGTGCTGGGCACCCTCCTGTGTACCAGGATTTAAGTGCATGCCATGATTGGCCTGTTAAACAAAAACAATGGCAATTTGCCAGTCAAGTTGAAGGTACATGTAAATAAAATTCGAAATGCATTTCCAGTAAGTTATTCTCTTGTTGGGGGCCCGAACAAGGATATCAGCACTGTTTCGCAGATGTTACCAACTGGGGTTAGATTACGCCTCCTTTCCTTGCTGTTCTTCTCTTGTTCTTCATGTCATTCACCCAAAGCCTGTTTTTATAAATGCATCCAGAAAATTAGTACATTCTTCATCATGCTGTAATCCAGTGGGCAAATCTTCAGTTCCAGCATTAAATTGCAATGAAGTCTACAACTTTGAGAAACCAAACACGATGGCATGACCCACTTTGAGTCTTAAAATGCAGCAATCAACTTTAAGCCATTTTGAAAATTTTGTTCTCATAATATCAATTGAGTATCATAAGCATGAAAAAAGGTATAGTGTAATGATTACAGTCTCTATGCAAACTATAATTACAAAAATAAGTTTAATTTCACTTCACCACTAGTCACCCATGTGTGATCCACACTGAACCTTTGATTTACGTATTATTGTTTCTTTCTTGCAATTGTTCAAGGAGCATGGCTGTGTTTCTCTCTTCATGGTCACTGAAAGATGCAGTTCTGCCAATGGTGCCAACATTGCTCGTTTGTTAAAAAGGTGTGGTCAGGAGGTGCCACACTCATTACAAGAAATTGTGGAAATCACAACTCAGGCAAGTCTGTCATTGAAGACCCTAATATACCAGTCCAAACATGAGTGTACATTGTAAACAGACCACAGAGAGTGTTCACTCATGTGATACTGTAAAAACCCACAAGCAAGAACCTGCATTTTCCCAAGAAAAGTTAGCCTAGACAGGTTCTTACATAAATGGTAATTAGCACAAATTTAGGATATTGGGGTTAAAACTATTAGTTTCTTATTTTTAAAGGAAAAAAGTACATTGTAGCTTACTCCTTATAGGTACAATGTATTTATATAAAATCTGTATTCCAGTTTAGTATAATTTTATGTGTAAAAATGACTAAGAAAAAGAACTGAAGTGCTGACCACATGAATTTTGAAGTCCTCCTTCAGAACATAACATACTTTTTTGTAATGCCTTATTTTGTTTGCCCAAGCAAGGCTGTGGCCTTAAGAAAATTTAAGGGAGCCCAGTGCTCTGAACCTGTAAAATCTGGGGTGCCCAACATATGATTTCTATGAAATTTCTAGTTGCCCGAGAGCAAAAGTTGGGCATCGGGAGTCAATGGGCACTGCTAAAGCACAGCCCTCCAAGTGTACAGAAATTTTTTTAAAATATAGATTTTAGAATCCAACCAATTCCCTTTTTCAAATTTTAAGATAAACAGGTTCTTGTATAGAGGGGGCATAACTGGCTAATTTTAGCCTAACAGGTTCTTGAAAACCAGGTTTTTTACTCGTGGGTTTTTGCTGTACTTTATTTTGTCGCCTGCATACATGTACAGTTTTACTACAAAAACAAGGTGATGCCAAGTCTGTATTTTTACTGTTATTTCTAACACTACATGTATGTCAGGTTTTAAGGTTTTCTTACTTTGTCTTTCTTTGTTTTATTGCTCAGGAAAGAGATAGGAACAAGGATTTATGTTATTTTCTTAAAGCTTTTGGCTCCTGCAGGTACAGTATTACAGAAATTAACTACAATATACCTATCACTGTTAGGAGTTTTGAATATTTTTACTATTATATAGTATTATTAATATATCATTATTATTTTTAAATAGTATAACTTTTTTAATGCCTGTGCCATGTAAAAAGAAAACTAAAGTACAGAAACAATATGTGTAAGTAACAAAAAATACATACCCATGTAGGATATAAAGATCCTTACAGTGTATATTCGTCCTGTATTCTTTTCCTCATATCAACGGGAATTGGTTTATGTGTAAGGGAATAAAAAAATGAATATGAATATGAATAAAATTCTATCACACTTCCACATAGTGGTTCTCCGTCTGCCATTCGTGGCTGAATTGGAATTTTTGGAAATGTTGGCTTTTAAGGAGAAAAACCTCTTGGAGCAAAGGAGAAGCAACAATGAAGTGAACCCACATATGACATTATTACCACGCAGATTGTCTAGACTAGATTGTGGAGTCTGTATTTGTAGATCAGTATCTTACAGAAGCAATACCAATAATTGCAACAAAATGTTAGTGTTTTAACATACATTGTTCATGATTTTTGCGGGCGACAAGAGGAGCCCTCAATCCTAATCTCCAGGTTGTTATTACGCATGCATCGCATGTATGTAGCTAACATTCGTTTGGACTTCCACTAATATTGAATGGAGTGCACAAAACGCAATTTGATCACGCGCGTTTCTACTTTCTATCCCTCGTAATCTGTTCACGAGTGTTTTGACCATTTGTCACGTGAAACTTACGCAAAGCACAGCGTTGGAGCAAAAGCGTTTGGACCTCCGATCGTTGTCGCCCGCACTCCTTAACCTTTGGTTATTACTAGTCAAGTAGTTCAGTGTTTGAAGTAGGAACTGAAATATGCAAAATATTGCAAAGGCTTCAAGCTTTAATTGTCGATCGGTATAAATGTATTTACATGCCAATTCCATATGTAATATGTAGATTGAAAAGCCCTAGCAGAAGATGCCAAAACAGGCACACAGTGCTGACTGAACGTGATAAGCCTTTGGAGGGCATTCCTACATCAGGCATAGTGAAGGTAAGTTTGTAGTTAAGCTATAACTTATAGTGCAATCCACCCTATTAATATTTTGAATTTCCTTAGTTCCTGCTATTTGAGAAAGAAAAACGTTACACAGTCTTGTACCAGAAACCCTGCTTGTACATAATACTATTCTATTATTGTGAAACTTGTTTGAAGTGGAACTCATTTTAAGCGGACCCGGTAAAAAAAAAGGTAAAGGCGCACACGAGCCAAAGGCCCAAACAGCCCGAGCTTATCCCGGTTTTCTTAGCATGTAGCATGCCTAGGAGTATTGTTACTGGACGGGATGCTAGTCCATCGCAGGGTTACCACCGTAGTTAGAAGGCCTATTAGCGCTTAACCTAGGGTTAAATTTAACCCGGGTTTCTTTTTCAACGAGGGGACTTTAACCGAGGTCAAATTGTCGGGAGACCTGTTCTCTCACCACTTTTCCATTCCTGCTCCCCCAAAGAGATGTCTTCAACCATAGCTTTGATGTTTATAGACATCTTCTATGCTAGTAGTTACCGAAGGTTACCGAGCGTGGGTGTCAACGGTCGAAGGTTAAAATGCTTTTGCTCCAATGCTGTGCCTTAGCAAGTTTCACGTGATTTGATTAGATTAATTTACGATTGTTAGAAGGTCCAAATGCGGGCAATCAGATTGCGGTCTACGCATTCCATTCATTTTTTGTGGAAGGACAAACGAAGCTGGGTAGATACCTGCCGTGTATGCGTAATAGCAACTTGGAGATTAAGATTGCGGGCTCCTCTTGACGACCACAGTTAGTTTGGCCATAGTCTCTCCGTGGTTTTCAGCGTATTTCTTCTCCTTTAGGTGCTGGTCCTCTATGTAGAGGACACATCATGTTACTGGGTGAGGATTTTAGAGCACAGACCTGGGAAAGCAGATCAGACCAGTTTCAGCAGCAGCATCCATACCATAGATAGTACTGAGTTTCTGGAACTCACCATGTCGGTTAGTGGGTGGTATGCCAATCCAGCTAACAGGGTCAAACATGAACTAGTTTCCATTGGAGATCTCTGTGCTATGATGTGTGGGAACTCTTTTCAGAGGTACAGCCGTGACTTACTACTTGTTTACATTCACAAAGAAAACTACCTCTAAAAGTGTATGATGATGATGATTATTATGACATAATAAAGCACCGATATCAATATTAGATATTTTCATCAGTGATAAAAAGAAAATGTATTGAACATCAAAAGTATAAAGCTACTTAAAGTACTAATACTAATATTTTGTATTTACAACCCTCCATAAAAATTAATAGCCCTTCCTAAATTGCGGAATGCTAGTGTCTAAGCACATTTTTCCCTTTTTGAATGAATATTGTCTCTTTTGTTGTTGCTACTCATCATGAACTTCATCTACTCTGATCTTAAAAGCTCAAGGTCAGATACTATGGATATAAACAATTTCAATCAAAAACGAAAAGAAAAAATGTCTTCTTTAAGTGGTGTTTGTTGTATTTATCTTCAGAGTAAAGATCTGTAAAATCACAGGTGTGGATGACGCTAGCAAGAAGCCCAAGTATGTCGTGGTAAGCATTTTTTGAACGCTTCCCACCACTGACTTTTTCTGGACTTGTTTAGGCGGGGTGTTCAGCTTTTGAAATAATTCCAGAGACTTTTTTGGGTTGTTAATAAGTGATATAACTGTTAATCTTAGCTTGTCACTATAGAGCGCCCAAATGTCAAATTTTTGGTTATTGACATGTTTCTGCTGCGTTTCCCTATCCTTGCTGGAACAAATAGCTGTATTTTTAGCAGGCGCGCGTCCTTGCGCGATTCCCGCCAGAAAAGTATAAATGGCGCATTACCGTGAAGAGGATGCGCCCCTAATGCTGCATGTACGTATTGTCGTGTAATTGAGTGTGTAAATGGAACAGTTGAACCCCGCCTACGGACACCTGCTCAATCAGACGGACATCCCGTTAACACGGGCATTTTCTATGGCCCCCTCACTTTCTTTGTTAACGGGGTTTGACTCTACTTGTGATGAAAACCAATATTTTATTGATCTAGTAGCCGGTTTGTTGAAAACCGGAAACAAAAAGGGTTTTACATCTCATTTTGTAATTGAAACAGAAATAATGAGATATACATGTAGAGCGAAAATGGTGCGATTTAAAACAGAAATGACGTGATTTAGAACATGAAGTACGCGAATTAGAACAGATGTGATTTAGAGCCTAAAATAGTGTGATTCGTGAATTAATCACACTGCTGAGAGCCAATGAGATTGCAGTGATCACAAGTGACTTCAAAATGTTTATAATAAAGAAAAAATGTACATCAAACATGATACATTACCGCTAAAACGGCAAGAGAAAAACAAATAAAGTTGTTGTTGTTGTTGTTTGGTACCTACATGTAATACGCCTACTCTTTGAATTCTGCGATTTCAAAATGGTTGTAATAAAGTGCTAATTGAACTTCATGTCGTGCAGTTTTGGTCTGAAATCATACTTGTGATTTCAAATCGAACTCGTGCTGTGCGTTTGTCCACGCGTATGATTTCAGACCAACTTGCACTCCACTCAGTTCAATAACATTGTTTATCATTAACTAATTATTATAATTATTATTATTATTGTTGTTTTTGTTGTTGCCTTTTTTTATTCACACGCACGTTACCCTTTCATATGCGTGATAACACATAGTAACCAAGCAGTGGTGGTATTATTCTTAAAGAACAAGCTTCTAAAACTCATTCAGTAGATTATTGTGTCTTGTTCTAGGTTCAATATGTTGATAGAGGAGCTTTTGAAGAGGATGTAGATGTTAATAGACTCCTTCAACTTCCACCACAGTTCCATTCCTGCCCATTTCAGGTATCTTCTTAAGATGTTGGAGTAATGTTAATTCGTCCTAGGGACCTTTAAATACGCCGTTTTCCGGTCTGCCTGTGACATGTCCGTAAATTCGGGTAGACTCCTTTTTACCTCGAGTTTAAAAATACCATCCCAAATGTACGCCTAGCCTCAGTAATAGGCTTTTTCTGAGTTGTCCCATTTTTTTTTCGAAGCGAGGCTAAGTACGAAGCCATTAATATGAAAATTATGCAAATAAAACCCATTTTCACAAGAGAGACTTATGCACTTAACCTCATTTTGAAAGTGAGGGGTTTTGGAATTTGGAAATTGCCAATTGGCTATTGTGCGGTTGTATGTGAGATTTGGTCGGTGTTACCTCGAATTACATTATGGGCCCGATTAGGGGCTTCTTTTATTAACTATAGCAAAGTTGCGCAGGATTCGTCCCCAAAACAGTCCCGTAGCGTATTTCGACGCAACACCGACCGAGTCTCAAACGGAACTTGTAAACGGCCAATAGATTTTCTTAAACAGGAGGTCTAGAGTTTGAGGAATGGGGAAACGTTCACAATGGAACGCGCGCGGAAGAAAGAAAACAACCTTTGTCCGACTGGTTTCAAACTCTGGAGCTCCACCTGTGGCTGACCCTGCACTCCAACCACTGCTAAGGCTACATGTAAACTGGGTTATGGTTCTTTTGTGGCATGTGACTCCTGTATGATAGGATAAGGAGGAGGAGTAAGGAGTAAGGAGGCAGCATGGCCGAGTGGTCAGCGCGTCGGACTCGCAATGGTCTCGGTGCCCCCCCTGGCCACTTGCTGGATTTGCGCTCGGTCCTCCAGAGATCAAATCTTTGGCTATGCTTGTAAATAGGCAACTGGTTGCCTTCTGCCAGTTGGGGTTTTTAATCCTGTTATGTTGTATTTGAAGTATATGTTTCTAAGTATTTGAGTGGAGTGCACAAAAACTAGCAGGATAAGCTAAGTGCACTTTCCACTATAAACAAACCTTTAAGCTACTATGTTGAAGCATTTTGTGTGGGGATAGATAATGAAAGATGGAAACATTTTTTAGTCACATCATCTTTATTTTATTTTCAGGCTGTTCAAGTATTTGCATGTAGAGTGCAACCTCTTGACAAAGATGAAGAGTGGACAGTAAAGGTACAGTTTTAAACCACAATAACATAATGATTTTTCCTCCATTGTAACCTCGCCAGAGTAGCATAATGCGACTAGTTTACGATGAGACAAACTTAAAGCAAGGGGCACACATTCACCAACTCACGCCCTGGCCAGTACCTCACGCGTGCGCAAAGCCATATCACCCGGGCAGTTGCAGCCGCGGACAGCTGTTTCGCCTTTATTGGGGCTCATCAGCAGGGAAATGGTTCTTAGAGACAGACGTTACCGCTATATGTTATTTATTTGTTTATTTACTTATTTATTTTGTCAGAGCAAACTCTTTGTCAAACACCTTATTGAGGGAAAGGAAATGGAAGGAAGAGTGGTATTGAGGTATAGTTGAACTTTAAAAGAATTTTCGTCATTCTTAGCGAAGAAGTGTCGTTTGCATGGTCTCTTTTTACCCTCGAACGAAAGCGCCCTGAGGCCTAGTTTTCATATAATCGCCCAGATCACCTCGATCGCTCAAGGCATCTCAAAATGTGCTAAGGTGATCAAGAAGATAATATGCGACGCCGTCGGGACGATCCGTACTATTAGGGCGATCGTAATTGCCTGTAGGAAACTCAAGTCTGCATATACGCTTGTTTCCATATATTCGTTCGGATTATCATAATCGCCCTAGTCGTCTCAACTATTGTAGTTTCTTGATTTTACGGACGGGTGCGATTACCAACTGATTTAGTACAAAGATTGCAAAACAAACTGAACAGTCCCCACACGTCAAAACAAAAGCGAACCAACGATAATAGGCCATTTCCGAGTTCCCCCGGGCCTCTGTTTCAAAACGAGGGTAGGTTCTCAGCCTTTGATATGGAAATCATTTTTCATTCTCATGCAAAAAAAACTCATTTTCACGAGAAAGGTTTTGCACCTAGCCCCATTTTGAAAGTGAGGGTTTTTGGAACTCGGAAGTGGGCTATTTGCGAAACTGGAAAAATCACCCCAGAATGAGTTCAGGCGATCGAGGCGATCTTAAGGAAAAAGTACTTGATGCGATGCGGGACTTTCCAAAGCGCTTGGCGATCACAATTAACTAGATTTGCAGCCTCGCCCGACTCATTCCGAGAATCAGGCGTAACAACTTAACACTGATTGAAGGTTGGAAGACACAAGGGTCTAGGGACATTACAGGGATAGTTCGTTTTGTGTGCACTAGACCTTTTCTATGCTGGCAGCACAGGTTTGGGGCAAAATTGTCTCCTCAACATGTTGAACGAAGTTCAATTTGTTAGCTTCGTAGGGAATCACGGTTTTTCTGCGACGGCGTCGGTCAATATTTGAGCGAGACAACGACCAGGATTCTCTGTGTTGATACACCAGAGAAGACAACAATGAAACATTCCCAAAGCATTTTCTTGGTAATGCGCTCTAACCACCACATTACATCGTCAAGGATTTCAAATGACATGAACTTCTTTGACAATGTCAAAACTTTTCTTTTTAGCTTAGGTAATACAATGTGGCTTGATCCTTTGGTGGAAAGGACTTATTTAGAGACCATCAATGTTACAACTAATAACCTGAACATAAGAATGGAGTTATTGGAAGAGAAACTTGCGGCTGACAACAAGCAGGTACTAATGAGTTGACAACGAGCAGATTCTCGAGTTTTTCCCGTTTTTTTTATAGGTAATTTTGAGAACTTATGGTGTTTGATAATTTCTCTTCACAGCATGTGCGACTTCTAAGAAGCTTGTGCGAGGGATTCATTTATCTGCCACCTTTGGAGGGTGGGTCAAGTGGTCTTACAGACAACAGGTATTACTTAACTGTTAATCTCGCTGTTTACTTCCACATGTTAAGTCTCATACAAAGTAGGTAATTTCTTATAGGTTTCCATAAAAACCAATATCACTTTCATAATGGTCACATCACAACTTATTGGCTTTAACCCTTTCACTGCCAAATGTGGGCGAAGGCAAATTTCGACCAAATATCCAAATTTCATTTCTTAATATTTTGACAAACAAATAGAGTCATGTGAAAGTACAGGCAGAGAGCTTTCATTTGAATGGTCACATCATAGCATTTCGTCCACAGACTCAAAAGTTAGAGTCACCTTACAAAACTCCATCAAGCACTCTGGCAGTGAAAGGGCTAACTTGGGTATGCTGTGGTGTAACTAACTTTATCTTTTTAATATTGTTGTTTGTGCTATAGTTATGATGGAACTGGTGTTCTAAACTCAGTGATTTTGCCCGAGGAAGGATTCCACTCTGTTTACGTGTCTGCTGTGGAAAATCCAGGTCTCTTTTTCATCCAGTTACAATCGTCGGAAGAAAGGTAATAAGCGGTCAGCGGGTGTTATGAACATTTTGTTTTCATATCACTCATCGCGAGGACAGATGTCCGTAGGTCATAAATCTTCATCCGCAAGCGTAATGCACGTGCAAAGTTGTTGTTTTGCTTATTAAACCTATTCCCCTTTTTGACGTTCTCGTTGCCGTCGCGTCGTTGGATCTTAAAATCCCTACTGAGCAGGTGACACCTCGAATTTGGGATCTGTAGGTCCATGTTCCCTATGTTTCCTTAGGCTGAGTTCACACTGCCCCGGACGAATTTTAGACCTGCTGAAAATTCGTGCGTTTAGAAGTTCCGTTCACACGGAGCCACCTTAACCGTACGAAAATTTACACGTTCAAAGAGGAATATTTAGACGTTTCGAAGTTCCGTGTAAACAAGGCGAGAATAGGTGGTTTTCATGCAATCTCGGGAGACACTAATAACAATGGTGAAATGAACAAATGCTGGTGGACAAACAAAGCGAGCTAATGAGCGATCTTTTGTTTACCGTCCACCAGCATGGCGGCGATGACGTAACGTGAAAACCACCTATAGGGACCTGAACAGAGGACGACGACGACGACGACGGCAGTGTAAACGTCGGTAAAAAAATGAATTTGCGTTGTTTGTCACCTTAATCGCGTCTTTGGACCCGCTCAATATGTCAAAATGCAGGCGACTTTTCCTGAAGTTGAATTCTTAAGGATTTTATTCAGGTTCCAAAAGAGGAAGGAAAATTCGTCGTCGTATGTCCACGTCCTCCATAAAACGACAAATTAGGAAGTTTCACGTCGTAGTCGTGCAATGGACGTCAAAGAAATGTACTAAAAAGCGTGATGCACGTGCAGAGCTGTTGTTTTGATCATTAAACCTATTTTTTATTTTTTGAAGTCGTCGTAGTTGCTTAAGCTCCCTAATATTGAACGGTCGCATGTAAACGAAGTGTCCCGTCAAATTTTTCAGCCCGTCGAAAATTCGTCCAGTGCCGTGTGAACTTGGCCGTAGACAAAACCTTTGGTCCAGTTTGTCTCTTTTCACCCAGATGTTTAAAAGGATACTGGCGCCAACATACTACTAGGGTATCAGTAATCCATTTTAAAGTTACGGGTGCAAACGTGGCTGGATTTGACCTCGTTTTGATGCAATCCTTCCTGGTTTATTGTTAATTCATGTTATTCTTATGCTAACTAGTAAAATTAGAGCTGATTTTCATAAGAAAAGGAAAGAGGTCAAAGGTCAACCTCTGCCTCATGTTCACTCAGAGGCTAGGGTACTAAGCCCATAACTGTAGAATGGTCTATTCGTTGGATTATTAGGGAGGGATCCACTGTAATTGGTTAGGCTGTAGTGGTCTCCCTGCCTAATACTTTTTATGTATTCATGCATAAAGATCGTATTCTAGTTAGGCGAAGCTACATAAATAAATATTAACTTCCAACTTTTGTTTGTTGTTCTTGTAAAGCTTGGAGGATCTAAGGCAGAAGATCAACTCTGGAGTGAGTAGAGTTGATGCTGAAGAAACTGAAGTGTCAGTTGGTTCGTATTGCATCGCAAAGTTTTCAGAGGATGACAAGTAAGTTAAGATAATCAAGTCAGCTGCTTGTGTTGTACTGAAACAGTGTAGGAGTTGTTTGCAACTTGTTAAAAATCAAATTTAAAGACTGAAAAAGAAAGTAAAAAACTATTAAGTACTGTGTTGTCAAATACTGTAATACGAATAGTAACGCCTGAAAGAACTGTCAATGAGGTTTCGTTTGGTTGGTAAAAACACATAATAGACGGCGTGCAGTCTCTCCTTTGAGAGTGAGTGGGAGCGAATGTTAATGTGCGAGCCGGAGCAGCGAGTTATGCGTGCGCCAGTACGAGTGAAAAGAGCATTTATGAAGCCCGATACTCCGGTGACAAACTGTATTCGTTCGTACTGGCTCCAACTCGCTGCTCACGGCGACACCACTCGCACACACGCAGTCGCTCTCGCTCTCAGATTTTTGAAGAGAGACTTGCTCTCTCTTATGTGCCACATAAGTTGTAGTACCTTTACTTGGAAAGCTTTGCAAGTATGAAAACACTCATAGAGAATTTAATCAGTGACTTTTTTCCCTTTGCAAAAATAGGTGGTATAGAGCCCGAGTCATGGGGAGCAGGCCTGATGATGAATATGACGTCTTCTATGTTGACTTCGGTGATCGAGAGTGGGTGACAAGAGATAGGATTGTCCAAGCTTGGAGCGGCATTCTACAGCTCCCTCTTCAGGCGATAGAATGCGCTCTTGTTAACGTCCAACCCATCGGTGAGCATTAATCATCAATGTACTGTACACCGTCAAACAGCATGATAGTGTAGCCGACATTCTTCGACCGCCGATAACTCGAACCTTCAAGGGAAATCGGAAAAAGTTCGAATAAGTTTCGAGTAAGTAAATGGGATTGGAGAGGAATGCAAGTATCATGCACACTTCACAGTACAGCGCTAAACATTTTTTTCATTTTTATTGGACTGCCAAAAAAGTAATTAAGACAAAAACTATACGGTTGTTTTCAAATAGATTTAGTATTTTGGATTGTAGTTAATGCACTGCTATTTTTAGCTAGTTAACGAGGGTAAAATTGTATAGAAATTATCTGAAGGGAAGCAAAAATTGCTTCGAGTTAGCGGAAATTTCGAGTTATCGAGGGTTCTAGCTACCGAGGGTAAAATTACAGTAAAGGTATGAAGGAAATCGAGGGGAAATCGACTTTGGTTTAAGTTAGCGCGAGGTTCGTGTTAGGGAGGGTTCGAGTTATCGGGAGTCGACTGTATAATCAAATTAAAATATTACACTTAGCAATCATAGTACGGGTAGTTCTTTAAATGAACCAATCCGATGACGAAGCTCGCGTCATGCAGGGGTGGAAAACGCATGTGACCAAATCATGGTTGGTTTTGTTTTCTTCACAGAAAATGATTGGAGTGAAAAAAGCAGTGAAGCATTCTGGGAAATGGTAACTGATCAGCTGCTTGTTGCCAAGGTAACCGTAATAGATACTTTATATCTGATAACCTTTATTTTTTAATTGACTTGGATTTTACAAAGGATGACGTGAATGGGTCGCAAAAATTACGTCAGCAGCAATTCAACTGTAATATGGTAAAAATAACTGAATTCAAATTGTAATCGCGCATTTTTGCTGCGGTATAAACGTCTTTTCCCCTGGGAAAAAGTAAAACTGCGTGCGCGTGACGGTGTGACCGCTTCTTCATCCTGTAAGTTTATCCTTGGACACACATCTGTAACCACAGAAACGTCAAAAACGTTCATAGTAAGCGACTGACAGAATAGAAAAGCCAGTCTGTAAAAAGGCTAAAGTTTCACACATAAAAGATGCAACACGTGCGACGAATAGCGCGGAAATGATATTGTAACTGCTTTTACCTCTACCTTTGATCGCAGGTTAAATGTAAAAGTGCATCTTTAGTTACCGGAAGTCACAGATTTGAAATTGAGCTTTATGACACCAGTACAGAACATGACGTCATCATCAGTCACGAGATGGTCGCAATAGGGCATGCGCACACAGCACCTGAGGCTACCAAGGTTTGTATAGACACCTTAGCATTGTATCATACTGGGAGCCATTTATTTTGGATCGCTCTTGCTATTGTAAAGGTGTTAAATGGTATGACTAATTCGCAGGTTTTGATTTATGTATTTGTTTTCCTAAATCCAGTTTTTGTTTGGAGATGCAACTGACGAGCAGGAATGTTATGATGTAAGTACAGCCTCCTGTGGTTGTATGTACGAGTAATGGTAGGCAAGTCTGTAGCTAGTCACTGCAAATAGTTTCTCTTTCTTGAAAGGACAGGGTGCGCGGAGACACGTGATTTGCAGATACACTGATCTCTGCCACATATTCACTGCTATATGTAGTTTCCTCGGTACAACAATTCACTTGCGCTCAAGGAAGATTTAGTTCAGCTGGAAAATGATAGTCTTTTCGATTTTGTCCAGAATTATGTCCGACCACAGTTAAGATTTCGTCGAACATGATTTGCAGATCTGGTATGTTGTATTCTGTTGGAATGGATGTATCAGCAAACGCTATCAACAGGTGGAAGAGAAATAACAGAATTGGCAGCATTTTGAAAACTGGTTAATTTTACATCTAAAGCAGTGTAACTCTAAATGTATAAGGTTAAAAGACTCCTCATTCACTTGGTTTCCAAGCATTTTGTGCTATTGTTTGGGAATTTTTTTTAACCACGAGGAAAATCATTTGTCGCAACATGGTCAACACGCATAATGGACAATAACATTCCGGCGTGCGTTGCTATAGCGACAGACATAGCCACGAACTATTTGAAACGACTACTCTTACCTCGTACAAGAATACCGTATTCTAATTAAGAATTTACTGATCTGGTTTGTTGTTAATTGCACTTAAAATTTTGTCATTGCTTAATTAACTCTCTTCGCTGCTAAGAATGTAAACGGCAACACCGCAGGAAATCTCCGTCGCACGACTTCAGTTCGCTGAGACGGACATGTCTGGCATGTCCAGGTGTTCAAATACTGCGCAGCAGCGAAAAAGGGAGAGCTCTGTCGCTCAATCTCTCCTTGCGGTGTTTCTGCATTGTTTACGGTGCCGTCCCACTATCTGAAAGCCTTTAAAAGTCTCCGTAGACGCACTCTAGCTGTCTATAAGTCTCTCTGAGCGTGAAAGTGTTAATCAATTGAGGACCGCTGTATTTTTTTTAGTAACGTTTATTTCCCTCGTTTTTTAGTTTCCTTACCAGAGAATACCACAGATGTGTCTTCAAGCCCATCAATGCAGGGTAAGGTACCATACAACTTCACATAAAGACTGAAAAGTAACTCTTACAAAGAACTTTGTTTCTGTTTAACTTTAGTCATTACTGTGCTCGCCATATACATTTGGAAAAACAGCGCCTGGAAGAGAATTTTTTGACCAGCCCGAAAGGGCAATTTGACATGTGTTTTTTCATTGTTTCAGGATGCTACGAGGAAAGTAGACATTATCAAGGAAATACAAAGTGTCGTAATGAACAGCGAAGGGTGAGCGAGCTTTTTCTTCGAGAGATTATCCCAACAGACTGTGACCGAAGCTTTCCTTAACCTTTTAAGCCCTTACGTTTCAACATTTTTAAAAAGGATACCGTTATTTTTTCAAACCATTGCTGTTACATTTCCTATGGTATTGGCGGTGATCGTTTTATTTATTCTCATAACTCTCATGTTTGATTGAGCCGAGAAATCAAAAGGTTCCTGTTTGTAAGTAAGCCTAGTACACGTACGCTATTAGAGTGCAGCAGATACTGTGCGGTGGATTTACTATGTGCTAAGATCTAATTCCTCCTCATAACTTATTATTTTAGACGTAGATAGCGACATTTCCACTGCTCAATCTTGGTTTTTATTAACCCATAGAACAGTTAAGAGCCAAATCTACAATTCACCAAAAACCAGAGTGATATAAAGTGAATTACATTTCCTACTCCTTCTACCTCCTGATGAAGAGCAAAAGTAAGCGGTAGAAAAGTTCGCTTTCAATAATTTCAATGGAAATCCAGATGGTGGCCACCTAACATCAAATAACATACTCAAGTAGTTAAGTCTGTTTGAAGTTGCTGTATTACTAGAAGGTTTATCCGAGTTTCTAATCCAAATGCATTTATCTTTAGGTATAAGGATGATTTACGGGACTGTGGTGGAATCCAAGCGCTATGTCGGCTATTGAGTTTAAACAGAGATCCCCTGGTGCTACAGCACATTCTTACAAGTCTTGCCTCTTTAGCTTTTGGTAACGACAGGTCAGTTTGCTTTACTCTTTCTAGCTTCTATAAGTTTTGACTGAAACGCGCCGTGCATTCAGTACAACTTTAACTGGAGTATGAGTATCACTGTAAAGGACTTGGAAGTAGCGTGACCAAGCGGTTAGAGCGCTGTAAGACTCGTAATTCGAAGGCCTCCGAGGTCAAGTCCCGCTCTGACCGCTAGCTGGATTTGATCTCGGTAGTCCCGAATTCGGCTGCACTTGTAAAATAGCCAGCTGGTTCGCCTCCTACCAGTTGGGATTTTTAACCATGTTATGTTAAATCACTTTTAAATTATTCGTTTCATTATCCCTGAAAAGCTTCATAAGGGGAGAGGATAATTAATTATTTATATTTATTATTTATTTCCTCATAGAGTGGTTTTCGTTTGAGTGTCGTAAAACCAAAACCAAAGTAATTACTCTGGCCAATCACATAGGACACAGACAATACATTGAACCAATCAAAACTCGAAGTAATTACATGTGGCTGACGCAAAGAGTCACAATTGGCTTTGGTTTTACTTCTGATTGGATGAAAAGGTGGCGCGAATCTTTTAAGCCAATCGCATCGTGTAGAAAGTGCAAAACCAATTACTTTTCGACACTCAAATGAAAACCGCTCTAATGCTTAATCATTTCTAGTCATGGCAGCAATCAACGCACCACGGAAACGGTTTTTGTCTTGTGTAAATCTTTCTTGTCTCTGTGGCTACAGACTGCTCGCAGTCTCTTAGTTAACTAAAAAGTTGCTGAGGTAGCACGCGTTAACACATGGACGCGAGGTGGTAGAAACTATGACAGACTTTAAGAGAAAAGGTAGACTGTAAACAGTCCATCGTAGCTGTCATCCACCTTGCTTACTTTGTTCCCTTAATCCATCTTATTCGTCTTCTAACTCTCTAGGCTCCCCGCTTGCCCCTGGCATTGCTCCCTCCAAAATCTTCCTTATCAAAGTCCCTCGTGCTGGTTGGTGCGTCAGTAAAACTTCAGACGTTGTTTGGTGATGACGCTCTTCAGCTAATTCTCCTTGATGTCCTGGATGGTTTTGTAAAATGAACTTTTAGTTGCGCTAGGAAAGACATAATCTAAACCTGTAACGCCAAGCCTTCCTTCTCGTATAAAACCAAAGCCGATTTGGCAGTGCTTCAAGGTGTTATTACTTGTTTTTGTATATTATACAAAATAAAATTTGGAACTTTTTGTTTTTCGCAATTTGAGGCGGCAAGGCCACAAGTCCCGGCGAGACAACGCGGGGACGGGTCGCCGCGATGATTTGTTTCGTGAGACATGGAAAATTTTTGCGAAAGTCCTGTTCCTGGCAGCAGAAGTTTTTTGCCCGCGACAGTCACCCTGATAATTAGTATTGCTCACTTGTTTTACCAGTATATCCCTGTGCATTACGTATCTTCGTTGTGTGTTCATTTTCAGTAACTGTGATGAAGTGAGAAAGCAAGGAGGACTTCAAACAATATGCTATCTCTTAGGAAAGGTATCATCATTTAACTCTTAGCGAAACACCCTTTTGTGGCAATGAAAGGTTGGAAGAGGCGAAGGAATGTTTAACTCGATCCGTTATGGGGAACAAAAACAATAAGAACAAGCACAATGCAGTTTTTTTTCCTGCCGGTAACACGATATCAAGATGAAGGAAAAAGTTGAAAAAGACATGAAGTAATACTCACCCCCGGCTCAATGGGAAGATAACACAGCCTTTTGAGATTAGATAACTGGTTCTTTTCATAAGATCACTTCTTCTCGTCGATATCACCTATTTATACCTCAAGCTAGGGACCATGATCAGAAAGCATAACTGCATACACACAAGATTTATATGTTGCTCGAAACCAATCATAATTAACAAGATGTATTCAAGGCTCTCTTTGTTGTATCCAGAGTGAAGACAGTACTGTCCAAGAAAGCCTGGCATGGGGGATCAAGAACGTTGCAGCCACAGAAAAGTATGGATTACATTTTTTGAGTTTATTATTATTATCATCATCTTCATCATCATTAATAATTATTATTATTCATTCAAAATATTTCCCCGATTCTGATGGGCTAAAAGCACACGTTTAATTCACCATAACCAGTCACTGATGACCAAATTTGGAAGAATTTTGTGTTTAGCGAGGAAATGACGTCAAAAATGCAGCGTTCTTGCTGGTTAATGCACCGTTAACCGAGAAGACCTGGGGACGAGGTTGACATCATTAGCAAGCATTCCTCGTTTCAAGGGTAAGAACTGGGCGAAAAAATAGCTAAAAACATGGCAAGAACAGCAAGAAGACAACTCGAAGGGCGCCATCTGCTATTTGGAGAATATTTACGGAGCTGAACAACCCTAAACGTGCACTGTCGAAGATGAACTTAACATCGATGGAACGGTAGAGGTAAGAATGTTTTAGCCATGTTTTTAAACTAGGAATTATTTTGAATGAATAATAAAACAATTATTGAATTCGGCTTTCGTATCACATGAAGAATTATTGAGATCTTGGAGGCTGTTATCCGCCTCGGCCGTACCCTCCTCGATCTCCATAATTCTTTATAAGATACTCAGCCTCATTCATTAATTGTTAATTATTATTTACCATACCGTCTATTTAATTTTAGTGTTTACGGCCCGCAATGTTTCTGGCTTCACTGTTTCAGTTTTGCTTGCATCATCATGCCGAACCCTTGAAATTGCTGCACGGAAATGGAACAAACCCGAAGAAAATAGTGGAGCAAATTCAAACGCCCACTGCTTTTAAAAGTACATTGCTATTCTGTCATTCTGTTGTATTTCTTGAACAGAAATCAAAGCGAAGTCAGTAACCGGGGTGGAATCAAAGCTTTGTGCGGACTGCTAAAGACGGCCACCAATGAGAAGGTCAGTCGTGCTCAGCAGTTAAGAGACAAATGTGACAGTTTAAGTAGAATCCATAGTTTTCTGTGGACGTAGTGGTTACCTGATAATCGGATCATCAGACATTCATTCTTCAGAGGACGGCTTCCGATACAAGGTTCGAAATGTTGGTCAACTACAAAGATTATGCAAGTATCGTTCAACCGTCTTAAATATGTTTGGTCAAATTACTGCCCCCTTGTTTGGCCCTGGAACAAATCGCTGGTTTTAGGAGACTGGGAAAGAAAGAAGTGAAGGGACGGTTGTTCTTGGAAAGAAAGTATGAGCATGCTCTCAAAACTTACAGAATTTGGTGTTCTTCTATTTTAAGGTTCAAGAGAGAGTTGTGTGGGCCCTCGGTTCTCTTGCTAAAGATCATACTAGGTATGGGCTTTTGAGATTGTTTTATTTGCTTGTGTGCGCGTTATTCTCACTTAATTATTTCGCGATTTTCGCGAAATTTGATACCCGCGAAATCTTAAAATCCCTAACAGTTCTCTAAAAATCCCTAAAAATCGCGAAATTAAATACTCACGAAATATGGCTCATGATTTTTCGCGAAATTAAGCGAGAATAATGTAGTGGGTTGCTCGTACCACTGAGCTGTCTTCATTTTTAGGTGAATACGAATGTCTTGGTTGTTTTACTTCTTTCGGTGGCATCGCCATTTATTTATTTCTTTACTTGTGTACTTTTTACATTATATAAGGGAGTAATGGAGTATCCCCCATCACCCTTCTCCCGGACCCCAGCAAGAAATCGAAATTGTTTGTGACAAAAATAAGATGTAATTAAACGTTTCGCAACAAGTTCAAAACAAACAATTTGCCGTGGCTTAAAAGTCCACCTCTTTCTGTAACTTTTCATAGCAATTGCCAAGCTGTACAAGTGTGTGGAGGTCTTAAAACCATGTGCGAACTGATATCTGTAACGAGTAGTGAAAATGTCCTGGAACGATCTTTGTGGGCATTGGGAATGCTTGCTAATGATGTCAAGTGAGTTTCAAATTTCTTTTGTTGTAGTTGTTATTTTGTTGTTTTCTGACCAATTTAATTATCCCACATTTTAGGACTTCTTGTTCAATGGATCATTTCTAAAGTACTGTATTTTTTTGTTACTGTAAGTTTGGGTAGTGGCTGATGTGAGCCTGATAGTATTCCATAGTCTGCCGTTTTCTTCATATCGTAGACTGCATGCGCATGCGTCAACGTTCCAATAATTCTCTATACACAGTGCATTCGCATACCACGCACAATGCTAACGTTTGGTTTCAGAGATCTACTTCCCGTTTGTTTGAAAACTGTGCTCTTTAAAAACTGTCAATATGTATATAAAAAGCAACGTTCCAGCGCAATTTACCCACACAAGGACCGTACTCTCTTCGGCTGTCCCAAAGTAGACTGGAATGATTACACCTCGATGGTAAGTTTTTATGGAGAAGCTATGTAGAGCATTCTTGGACTTTCATTTCTGTGATGACCTGGAACTACAGTCATGGACAAAAGTCTGGGGACAAATTTGCAATTGTGGGGCTTTTTTCAACTCACACATGCCTAACCCCTTCCCCCTCCCCACCCCACAAACAACGGTAGACACTTGCATCCAGAATTTTTCCCGATTTTCAACATTGTATAGGGTGGGGGGAAGGAGAACTGCAAGCAATTTTCGAAAAAGGATGCACTGTTTTAAAAGGGTTACCAGAAATTTAAGGAAAATTAATACTGCATTACTGTCCTGGACGTTTGCCGAGGATTGTAGTTAAACAGTGAAGAGTCAGTTTCTGATCTTTTCAGCCTCAACAGGGAGCTAGTTCCAACTCTCTACCAAGTTTTTGCCCGTGGTCCGTTGAAGCAAAGTATTTCCGTGAGAAATTGATTCATTGTGTTTAATTTTAGGAACCGGAATTTTATTCGTCAGTATGGAGGCATCGAAAACATTTGTAAAATGTTAGAGGATTCACCCTCAGAACAGGTATAATAGTCTCCTGCAACCGTCATGTAAAAAGGGTAATGAACAAAAAAATACGTAGATGAAACTATTTTTATAAATTTGGTATTGTACAGAGAACAGGAAAGGTTCACTAAGGATCATGTCTTATGAGTTTTTGCCCAACCCCGGAGTAAAGATTGCCATTTTATGAGAGACCCGTTTTCCTTTTGGGGCATCACTTAGAGCGCTTGAAATGCACATGCCCATCAATTTTTGTGCTTTTAACGGTTGTTACTTATATCTCGTCAAGTTCAATTCAACCATATATCGCGTCACTGTTCAGTTAGATCATTTGTTTGTTTTGCTTGTGTTGAAATGAACGTTGTAAGCCTATTCACTTTGTTTTTAACTCGTTGTTCCGAAGATATTGGAAAAGCATTCCTTTATTTATTGTCCACCCTCTTTAAAATGTTTGTTTGTTGTTTTTGTAACAGATCCTCTATCAAGGCGCCCTAACTCTGAAGACCCTTGCTAGTAACAATCGTTACAACAAGGAAATTATGGACAAATTCGGTATCATCGGAACACTTCAAAGGTTAGCTCTTGGTCCTCATCATTTCGAGTGTTTCCTTGTTTTTGATCGTACACATTAAAACACCAAGAAACAACCCATCCTTTTAGCACAGGAGTCTACCCGGGAGGGGTGCGAACACTCTAAATTTTAGTCATACAGGAGCTCTGCCGCGCGAGGGTAGGGTGGGCTGTGACTTGATCTCGAGGTGGTGTAGCTCAGCCCTTAAATAGGGTATCCTTTTTGGGAGGGCCTATACCACTAAAGGCTTCTACCAGGCGTTTCCTGCGCCCGCTTTCCTTCATTCATGTCAACCGAACTCCCTCAAACGGCAGAAAATCAAGCCTTAAGCTGCCGCCGAGAACCTCAACTCCTTTGTTAACTTACTTGCAAAACGACTCCAGTACAATCTTGGACAAAATAAATGGAAAACCTAGACTCCCCCTCCCCCCCAAATCAAGGATGGGAAAATGGCGCGTTTTTGCCCTTCGCGCGCCTTCATCCTTGATTTGGGGGGGATGGGGGTTTGCTGTTCCATTTTATTTTGTCCAAGATTGTAGGTATCATTTCGATCAGGATGCTGTAAATTCACCATCTGCACACCTCCCATAATACACCCTTGTTTTCTCCCCAAAACTTTGCATGAAAATTGTCTTCAATTTCTCTTGGATATTACTGTAATATCCAGGAGAAATTAAAAAACAAAGGCAAACAAGGTGTATTGTTGGAGATGTGCAAATTGTGAATGTCATGCCAACGAAAGAAATACAAAGCGACCCGTTTAAAAAACGGTCACTCCTTTCGTCTTCATTTTTCGCTTCTGGGGCTTTAGAAGAGTTACCTTTTTTTTCAATCTTAAATAGATATCTTTTAGCTCATACGTCTTATGATGTCGTATGGGAATTTGTGTACCTATGCTCGTGAAAGAAACAGTACTTCGAATAGCGTCACATGACCAATCTGTTGTTTCACTGGGATAAAAACCTCGCCCTCCCAAAACAAACGAACCAAACATTCAAGCTTATATCTGTGATATGTGGTAGTTTGAATGTTAGAAGGAACTTATAATTGTCCTTAATCACTTTAGCAAGGCTTAGCATCATATTGTGACACAAGTGCGACTCTTCCCCGTCGATAACACCAATACCTTTGGTGGAAATAGTAACTGCGTTCTATTGTAATATCAAGCACTCTTATTGCAGGATTATGACAGACGAGTCACTGACGCTAGGTGTAATTGCACGCCGTGTGTGCCTGGATTTATTACAACGACTCGGCTCAGCGGCCAGCGGTCTCCCAGTAACAAGTCCAACAGCTCACACGTCTGTCACTAGAACCCAGGGAAGCTCGACCTCATCTGTCAGCGTCAAGAAGGAAGAGCCTGAGGTCAAACTAGTCAACGGAGTAAAGGGTAGTGATGAAGATGATGACCTACCCCCGCTCGGAGGGGATGAGGACATTGATAAAGAAAATGCCCCTGCGCGGGGTGTCAGCGTAACCTTGTCATCCAACACATTTGCTAAATCCACTTTAAGACAAATCCCAGCCCCGCAAGTGCCTCTAAGAATTAATGTCGCTTTAGAAACACCGAGGAATCAAGCCGCGCCTGATGAGGATGGAGATATAGCGCCATATAGGTTGGTTGTGACTCATGTATACTCGATTGTGAAAACGTCTTACTTGAAAATCATAAACCAGCGTGACCCAAAGGCTTTCTGGGAAGTGTTTACGGCGATAAGTACATCTGCGTAATTGCGTAGTGAAATTCGTCCCCTAGTAGGGTGATTTTACACATCCTGGTCAAATCTAATCTTGTGACGCCTGGCATTTGTCTGTCCTTACATGTCCTTACAGTTTTTTTTCTTTAATGTCATCTAGGGTGCATCCTAAAACAGTTTGGTCACAGACTAGGGATCTGGTGCGAGTTTGCGTGAAGTTGCGAGGTGTGAATGAGCGAAAAGTGCAAACCGAGATCACTGACAGCAGGCTTAAGTTTAGGTAAATACCCAATTAGATGGTAAATTCAGCGTGTGCTGCCTAGACTGGTGAGCTGTGGCCAGGTTGACATAGTGACCTTACCTATTAGGAAATTTTTTGCCCTCTTCTGAAAGGAGGGAGGGGAGGTATTCCCGGGAATTTTTGGTAGGGTGTGTGCCGCCCGATTTTCCAATTCCTGGTCCTTTATCAGACTAAAAAAAATATTATTTTTAACACCCGTTTTCAGACTGAGCCTCTTAAATCCATACCCGTTTCAGACCTTGTGTAGGTAGAAATTAAGTCATCATGATATTTAGACTAGAGCTCAAACAAAAAGATTTCTTAAAATCCATTTCGAAGGATATTACTCTTTGGTTCTAACTCATGTGGAATCGAAACAAACACGTTCATACACTCTTGTAGTTTGCTCGAAACCCAGACCATATTCCAGACCAAAATGGGCAAAATCTATGCCCGTTTTCAGACCGAAACGGCACGAAAACCCTACCCTTTCGGGCGGCACATACTTATATCGCTTACATAAGGGAGTACATTTTGCCCGCGCTGATTCAGTGTGAATAAACTTTTTACTTCATTTCACCCTGAATACTTCAGTGAGCGCTGAGTTTATTAGCTGGTGTCGCTTTTCTCTTTGTCCCTAGAGCACGTATGGGCCACTCTCTATATGAGCTAGACTTGGAACTGTTCGAGGATGTTAACTCACAGGTAGGAAATAGTTTTGTGATCAGTAGACAAAGATGTGAGTATGAAATACACTGAACTCACGACGTCCCAGCTACAGTTGGGCGCTGTAATCACTGAGCAACCTTAGTCGATCGCTCTTAAGACTCCAATATTAGGGTGGATTTCCACTGTCGCATAATGTTACGTGCGCACTCGCATAAACAGAGTAGAGGCAATGTATGGAAGGCCGCGCGGGAACGTAAATACGCGCGACCTTTCATACATTGCCTCTATTTTGTTTACCAGCGGAAAATTTACGTGCGAACGCGCGTAAAAATTACGCGACAATGGAAATCCACCTTTAGAGTAAAATGGAAAAGCAAAGCCCCATCCCCCTGAGATCAAGGATAACGCCGCGCGAAAGTCAAGACGCTCCATTTGCCCGTCCTTGATTTTGGAGAAATGGTGGGGGGAGGGGTCTAAATTTTCCATTTATTTTGCCCAAGATTGTGGCACCCAATCATCTGAGGTAACCAGTTCGGCATTACTTCCATTTGTTTAGATCGAAACAACAACAGTCTTCATCGACTCCCTGTTAGAATTATTACACGACAATGTTATATACAAGTTTAAGATAACATAACGAGGCAGTTAAGTAATTTATTGGAGCTTAGAGGCTGAAGGAACCGGAGATTTTTTAGTTGGCCCCTAATACTATTTAAGTTCATTTTTTTAAGAAAAGAGAAGCAGGGACGAGAAAAACTGGGCCCGGAAAATTGTGCATGGTAATGTTTCAATTAACTAGAACCACTACGTGGAACTTACCGGGGCTCAGTGGGAGACGGGATTGCATAGTTTACCTCTCGCACCCCTCCCCCCTCCTCTGTGGAGGCTAATACTTAGTCTGAATTAACTCATGCAGAAGAAAAGCAACAAAATGCATGAGAAAGGAGGATGTTGTTATAACGGTCTGTGTTATAGTACTGTTTTTACACTGTGATGTCAATAAGTGTGATCTGTATAAGGTTTTTATTTGTTTTTAAGTTTGAGTGAAAGAGCAAAAATCACTGACAGTTTTGGGTTGAATGGTAATGACAAAGTTTGCAAAGAAGTTTGTTACAGAATTATCACAATTTTGCCTACACGGTCTGCATTACACTTCTCATAGAACAAACATGCATGTTCATGGAGAGTCTGAAGTGTTGAAGAATCCCAGAAAGTGCATGATTTGATGACAGAGAAACAAACTGCATATATGGACATAATAAAATGCTTATTTATTGATGACTGAGTATAATTTGTTAATTCACTGCACATTGAAATGGAGGCATTTGATTGTAAGGCAGTGGTTGATACATAGTGGCATTCATCAATATGACCTATAGTAATTGTAGAGGAAGTATTTCTTTCCTGAACTGGGTAAACAGTAGTAAGTGGTGCAAACTGGCCTTGATTAGATTCTACTATTTGTATAGTAACATTTAATGCATCTGCATTAACTGCTTGAATGATAAGTGCATCAGCCCATGTACCTTGAATACACATATTATTCAGATATCTTAGGCCATGAATTTTCGGTATTGCTTCCAATAAAGCTCTCTGGGTTGTCTCTCATAAATTGAACCCCTGCAGTACGTATATGCATATGATGGTTGCTATTGCCATATAATTGATGCGATACAGATCTAAAGAAACAATCACCTGCACTGTCAACATCTATTGATTGTAAACCAAGTTCACCTAATCTTGACTACATCAAATTCTCACAGGAAATAGGAGAGATCAAATGCATTGTTGAGCTCTGATTTTGCATAAAAGGTCTAATTATTACTTCATGATGATCAGTGTTGTATTGAGTAGGTCCTGGCATTCTTCTCAACATCTTTACTTAGTTTGAAATCAAATAATTGGTCATATGACTTACACAATTGCAAGAAAACAATGATAAATATCGACGTGCTTTACATTTTTTCATTATCCTCTGATAATGTCTGCTAAAGAAAGACAACAAATAAGCTTTCTTGGGTATAGCCATTTTATTTAAGTTAATTATCTTTGGATCGCATTTGTTATTACATTTATAGCGTGCATGATAAAGTTTTCTCACCTTATTAACATAGCGATGGAGCTTTGAAGACTTCGGTGTGTCAATCGTTGAAATCTTATTGAAGACAAATTTCTTCAACATGCTAATCTTCTTGTTGAGACCTCTAAGAAATAGCAGTGGAATTCTGCTCGGTTCACGAGCACGTCTACATCGCCTTGTAGCACGATTTTTTAAGATGATATAAAGTTAGCTTTGATAAGTGTTCGCTTTGATTCTCGATAAATTTCACGATGGAAGGTTCACTCCAGGTAGATAGCTTTGATAGGTGATTAACTCTTAAGTGATCGCTCGTAAATTTGTCTCTCCAAATATTCACTCTTAAACCTTCGCTCATAAACTAATGCATCGTAAAGGTTGGGGAACGAAAAAGCTATAACCTTTCTCTTGACTGTCCTCCATGCCTCGTGCTTTTCAAAATGGCGGATAAGATTTCAGTGAGCCAGCGATATATCTCAGTCAACGATATATCCCTAACAATGTAACGTTGAAAAAAAGACAGAAACAGACAGCATTTTAAGACCGGTGCCAGCCTTCGGCTGGGCCCCGGTAATAAGATGTTTATATTCAGTTCTTTTGGAGTATTGATTCTGACAGCAAATAACGCTTTATTTCTTTGGCAAAATATAATATGCTGATGCGTTTTAAGAGACGCATAATATAAGGAATATAAAAGATTTACTGCCTGAAATTTTTGGCACAAAAAGTCACTTATCGATTCTTCGAGCTCATTGAAAGTTTTTTTCCTTTTTAGTTCTTCCAGCAAAGAGGGGATGGTGTTACAGTGAAGGGTGCCGAGGTTCAAATTCTGCTGAAGAAGAGAAATCATGCTGTCTGGACGCGGCTGCAGAAGAGCAAAGAAAAGGTAAGTGACAGACCGATTGGTGCTAGGCAAGGAACAAGTAGTATGCGCGAACAGGAACTATCTTGCCACAGCCTCTGCAACATCTGCAGAAACTATTTTGCTGCAGCCTCTACAGCATCTGCAGAAACTATATTGCGGACGCTTTTTTCCTCTTCACTACAGGGTAACGCTAACTTGTTGTCGCCAATAATGTAGCTCCGTCGATATAACCAAATTTTTGTGACTAGCGGACAAACTTTCCGAGTATGCGAGTTTCTAATCCGTCAGCAACAGGCTCGCTCTTCTAAAACCTTTCGAACCCGTCCCGATCCGAAAATTCTTTCTTGACAGCCCTAGCAGTAAACAACTTTAGATTTTGGCGTTGACAAAATTGAAAAAAAAAGCCTAGAACGCAGTTTTGTTTGACACTGACTTAACTGTTTTAATAACCAACCCATAAAGACTCATTGTTCTTTGTTAGTAAAACGATAAAGCTCTTTCTTTTAAAATTACATGACTCGGTCTGCTACTTGTATGCTACGTTATAATTCACTAAAATGGAGAGGGGTGGAGGGGAGAAGTCTCTGCTAGGTTAACGTGAAGTGACACTTTTCTGGAGTCGTTTTGCTTTTCTTCACTTGGTGCACACAGCGCATGTCAGCTCTCGGCCGGAAACATACGGCAGACATGGCAACGAACCGCATGACCCTTCCACAAGGTACAACAGGGCGCCATCTTTTCCCGCGTGGCTTCCGTGAACGAACTCCGCGTCTGCATCAATGCACACGAAATCACCAGATTTCTTGTGGTTGTAGTGCCATGACATCAAATACCCATGATACTGCTCGGTCCAATCAGAAGGACAGTCATTCCTTGCGGGTATCATGATCTGAGAGGCACGTGTCTTGATGTAACACACTGCGCATGGCACGTCGTGATTGTGGAGGCTGCCCTTGAATGGACTAAAAGAGCTAACCTCATATTCAGTACCATACATAAAGGTGGTGGACTGAAAACCTTCCTTGTACTTGTCGTACTTTGGTTTGTTTGGCAGGCAAAGGTACTGACCACCACCACCGTAATGGTTGAAGTAGCCGCTTCCAACAAATCCTGAGTGACAGAAAAAAGTTTCAAGTTATGAGAAATTTTAACCTTTTAGGCAGTTGAACAGGCACTTGTTGTGAGGTTAAGGGGACGGGTGCTCAGAGCGACTTTTATCTCTTCTTTGGATCAGTTCCGACTGGAGCAACGGAAATTCGATCGTTTGCAGAAAAAAATTTGCGACTCATTTACTCTTTTCTGAACGCTTCTCTTTTGTTGCTAAGCCTTTTTTGAAATAATAGTATGTCTCGTGGTGAACTAAACAACGCTAAAGAAAAACTGTACTTTTAGGACACATTATACCTTTGGTGATAAAGTCTTTTATTAATAGGGTGCTGTAAATATTTTTCGTTTATCGTATTGGCTACCCTTTCAAAAGTTCCTCCTGTAAAGGTGGATTTCCACTGTGGCGTCATTTTTACGTGCGTGTGCGCACGTACATTTTACGCGTGTTAGTAGAATAGAGGCAATGTGTCAATGAAGGTCGCGTGTAAACGAAAAAGTGTCTACGTTCACGCGCGGCCTTTCAAACATCGCCTCTATTTTGTTAACGCGCGTAAAAATTATGTGACTGTGGAAATCCACCCTAAGACGTAAATGCCGCACCCATTCGTGACGAATAACCCAATTAGCTATTGACATTGTTTAACTGAAGGAGATTTGATATTGTCTTTCAACTTCTTTCATCACTCTTAAATAGTTGTAAAGCTGCTTTGAGCCGGTGGCGTTTTTGCTTTTCGTTTCTAAATGCTTGCTCCCCTTTGATTCTCCTGGAATTCTGGTTATTACCTTCATAAACGGTCTGAGTGTTATTTGGACAGCTTCGTTTTCCCCAGTGTACGTACTTGACCCCGGACCGTCCGTTTCCCTGTTCTCCCTGTTCGCCTTTAGGCCCTTGAGGTCCATCCAATCCAGGCCTTCCTACGTCACCTTTGTCACCTTTGGGACCCTGTGGGCCGGGAGAGGGCTTGTTGGTTCCAGGCCTGCCCGGGTCGCCTGTACGATGCGCCAAGGAATAGGAAAAAGTTTAGTAAAGTGACACCTGGTGGTATACATAATGTAACGTCTTCTGCTAAATGTTTCTCAACTTCTGAAACTATCATCATTTCCTCTTTCGCTATAACGTATAGCAGTCCAGTTTATTTAAATTTATTTATTTATTTATTTATTTGTTATTTAGGCGGTGTGATTGTATTTTCCAAGAATATGGCAGATATCTGTGTCTATCAATCTAGATCTTATATCATATATATTGAAATGGGCGGAATACTCTAGCTCTAGTAATAGTAAAAGTAAGTCAAGCGTTCGCTGTGACTGCAAGGAGTAAGGTACTCTTTTTTCCTGGGAGATTATGAGACTGTGCAATTTTGGAGGGTTTGCCTTGATGTCTTGCACTAGGGCGTGAAGGATACCTGTATGTTAAGAATTCGAATTAATATTCAAGTTAAGCAACTTTTAAATTAGCGTACCTTTAATCCCTCGGGGACCTTGTTTTCCAGGCGTCCCGGGGTCGCCTTTTTTTCCGCGTGTTCCCGGGGTGCCTGCTTCACCGTCTTTTCCAGCGGGACCGCGTTCTCCAGCGGGTCCAGGAGGCCCAGGTGGCCCGGGTGGTCCTGCGGGGCCTTCTCTGCCATCACGGCCATCTCTTCCTTTAAGTTTGAAGAAGAAATTTAAAATGGAAATCGTTTTAAATCAAACAAATGTCATGAATATTATTTGCAGATTTAAAACTCCCGTAAACGTTGCTTAGAATGCATTAGCCCCACAGGGGCTCTCTGCTCTTCAATTTTATCTTAACCCTTTCAACCCTAACATGAAAATTCAAATTCTCATTTATTATCCCTATACGTTTTCAATAGAAGTAGGGGGGAGAATTTGTTGAAGTATCAATTAGATTCATCTTGTGTGATCATGTCCTTAATTCTCATGACAACTCTGTTTTATTAAGCTGTGATATTACAAAGAAAAATGTGACACCCATCACTATTAGGGCTTAAAGTGTTCATTAGTGCTTCGTGCTGCAACCTGTGAGCAGAGTCTCCTTTGTCTTCTTGTTGATCAAGAAGGAGTGCCTGAATTGGGTCAAGGCTTTGAAGTCGCTGAAGGTCAAACTTCTGGACTAGCCAATCTTGTTTTTCTCTCGTCAAACTGGTTTTCCGAGTGCGAGCATCCGTTTATTGATAACCGGACGGATCTACAGCTGTTAACTGAGCCCGCCTTACCAAGCACACGGCCATGAGGCCTGGGTTTGAAACTGTATCCTAGCAACATACAGCGCATGCGTAACAAAGATCTTACTCGATTCTTGAAGAGTCTTTCTTCAGTACGCCACAATCGAACAAGTGAGAGAAAGGCTCTGATAGCAGGGTGTTTGTGCTAAAACATTAACAACTAAATTAAGTCGAAAATTCTCTCTTAATATAACCATTTGAAAGAGTGAAAGATAGAGTTCAGTCAAGTTGCTCTAACTTTTGAGTCGAGGACCAAATCCTTCGGTGTGACTACTCAATTGAAATCACTTCAGTAGTTTTTCACACGGTGCTCCTTTTTTTTTTCATCATTTTACGAACCAAATTGCAAAATTGTTTCTGAATGTTTAGTTTAGCTCCCTTTGGAATAGGAAGGGTTAACGACGTATAGTCGCTGGTAATGTATACCTCGAAGGAACGCTAGGAACCACCAGTCCTTAGGCGGAGTTGGGAGTGAAGTTGGTTCATTTGCTTGGTCGAGCCTGTCAATGAAAATTAAATTGATTCGTTATAGGACAAAGAATGCATGAGACAGTAATAAATATGCGACATTTGCCGATATTGAATTAAGTTAGGTGGTCATGAATTGATGGCTGCAATTTATGCAGGGGCAATGTTGGAATGCAAATTTAATCACTTGGTTACTCCTGGATTGTGAGGGAACAAATGCACAAATTCTTCGAGATTTGGGAACTGAGTACCACTACGGGAACTATCCCTTAACGTCTATCTTTAGAGATTCGTCAAGTTAACCCTTTAAACCCTAAGATCCAAATTTGAATTCTCATTTGTTGCCCCTATTCATTTCCTACAGAAGTAGTGGGGAGAAGTTGATGAAATATCAAGCAAATCCATCTTGTGTGATCATGTCCGTAATTCCCATGATCACTCTTTTACAAAGCATTGATGTTACAAGGAGAAATTTGATGCTGATCACTCTTAGGGCTGAAAGGGTTAAGGTTAATTTGGAACTGACTTGTACTACATTTGCTGTCCTTTAGCCTTCATTGGTTTCTCCAGCTATAGATCTATCTAGCCAACTGAACGAAAAACGTGGCACAAGTATCACCTTTATGGGGGAAGAAGCTTTATGACAACTCATTGAAAATATGAAAGGAAAAGACCACCTTTAAAGTTACCTTTCTTTCTCGGCATTGTTCAGACTGTTTTGCAAATCCAAATCTGCCATCTCTAATCGTGTATCATCCTGCAGAGATCTTCTTTCACGGACGTTCCTCTGTAATGAAATGTTAGTGTTTGGCTTTCCACGCCTCTGCAGTCTGTCCAACCTCTCTTCTAGCATGGAAATGCGCTGATTCACGAGAAAGTAGTTGAATAGCAGAAATATGCCACAAACCACGCACACTGTTACACCACACAGGACTGTCATACGAGCAGTAGAACCTGTTTGCCTCTTCTGCGCGATTTTGGCGTCCATTGCCGTTTAACTCAAATAAACACTGTTTCGGTGTCTGTACAACTGTGGGCAGCGTGATGTAACCCCTTAGTGGGCGCTGTCTTCGATTCCGATGTGCTTTTACCATTACGCACTTAGCATCTTAAGGACGTTTTTGACGAGATAAAGATTTGTAAGACACCTCAGTTATCTAGAGAACCTTATATTTTGTCATCAATGCCGATATCAACTGAAATATTGATAATTTTTCACGGTCAATTCTGATAAAGTTGCGTCGATTGCGTTTTGCGGTTAACTTCAGCAAGATGGTTATACGCGAGGGAAATTTTGACAAAAGAAAGGCTTGCCATATAACACGCGAGGTAAATTTTCACGAAAGAAAGGCTTGCCATGTAAACACCAATGCCAGTAGCTTAGAATAGTCTTTGTCTGTTGTTTTCTAAGTATTTTGTCTTGTTTTGGTTCGGACTGCTCTTTCTCTAGTTTTTTTTTTTTTAATATATCCGTTTGTAACTTAAAATATCAGTAAGCCTAGATCTTAAGGGGGTACAACAGAGGATCGTTTTCAGGAGAAACTGATATTTTGTTTAAAACAAACTTAGAACCGACGTTGCAGCTCTTTTTCATTATGACACTTCTAGTAATGAAATGTTGGTAGGGTTTAATGAAGTGAATAGGTGCCAATCGATAACAAATTCATTTACAGAGCTTTTTTTTTTTACTATTTCACCTTCAGACAGTTTTTTTTAAAAAAATATGTATCAAATTTCTATTTGTAAAATTGTGAACAACAAAACTCCCTACAAAAGTAGTGCTACAGAGATTTTATTTGAAGGATAACACTCATACGCAGACTTAGCCAATAGAACCAGTTGACAACTTAATTAATAGTACTTGTGAAAGTACTGCTGAATAGGTTTCGTTTGAATGTTCACACCTTAGAATTTCGTCCACAGACTCATAAAGCATGTTAAATAGTATTAAAAAGCACTGCTGAAAAGTTTTCATCAAGAACAATACCATGTGAATTGAGTATTGCTGAAGAGGTTTCTTAAGTGAATGGCCACACCATATTTTTCGCTCTCAGATTCAAAAGTAAGAACCGCCTAACTTGTCTTTCCAGTGAAACGCTTTTAACCGTACGGACTTTCAAGAGCAACAGTTTTTCAGTGTTTGTCTGAGCATGAGGTCAGAAGAGTAAGATAATTTAAAGAAAAAAATTATAAAATAAAACCAAGCAAACAATATTTACAACTGACGTTTGAGTAAGCACCAAGACCATTTCTGTCTCAAAATTTGCATTTCGCTCTGCGTGTATTTGCATCGAGCACTCCTGTGAACACGCGAAGTAACACATTATTATATTTGTTTCTTTGTTAATTCTATTTTCTCCCTTTTTTCGCCTTAGTTGCCTTATGTTAGTATTGATTTTGATCGATGGGAGGTCTGGTCATCATCCGACGAAGACGAGGAGGCTGAAAGCGCTCGCCAAGCTCCGACAAACCTTAACAATACCCGACGTCTGTCCAAAGATAAAGAAGAAAGCAAACAAGTGTTCCTTCCCGAGATGCTGGATAGTGATTCTAGTTTAGATTCTGACGAGGAAGAAAGAATTCCTTCTGATGTAGATTGCCTAAACTTCTACTGAAGAGTTTAACAAAGGTGATGGAGGCTTAGAAAGAGAAACAAGGACAAAAGCCGCCTTCTGCAGGCTTGTCATCGAAGCTCGCCAGCAGTAGTTATGATGAAGTTCCCAAGGCTGTTACTGAATAGTGGTTTTAGTCAAGATGTTTTTATTTTATCAACCGTTGCTCTCTCACAAGAGCACAAAAAAACAAGGAAAACACACCACGCTACGTACATGCATTTTACAGGTGTCACCTTGAATTCTCTAGCGTTCAAAACCAGTCGGCTTTTTTAATCTTAATCTTGATATTCGTGCCAGACTGTAGAGAGACGCAAAAATATGTATATGTTGGGATTCGGTGCGCCTTTGGACACCGCAACAATACGTTTAAATCCCTGTTCAGAACGAACTCGATATACGGAACTGGCATTCTGTCCCTGCTGTCACGAAGCTCTTCGAAAACCGTCTTATGTCATTCGTTCTTCTTGGCACGAAGCTCTGCGGTTTCTGAGGGCTGGGGTTATTGTTTCTATTGTTTATCATCCAATACAGCTCTGTTAGCTGTTCAAAGAGGTTCGAGGCAGTTCCTCTGTTCTGGTTAAGATTTATGGGAACAAATGCTGCTGCGGTCTAGGGACTCTCTATGTTTACGTCTGCTTTCCCTGAGTTTAGGTTTAACCCTCTAAGTCCCAATGGTGTCCTAAGGATATCCATAGATTGTCAAGAGAAATTGTTATGAGAATTAATAAAATGATCACCAAAGAGAAAGTGCCTTGATCTTTTATCAAATTCTCTTAACTAATTCTTAAAGGAAATGTATAGAGACCCGTTTGGAGAATTTGTATGTGGATATTGGGGCTTAAAGGGTGCATTAGTAGTCGTGAGTCTTACAAGGCCAAATGCCAGTAAGAGTTTTATATGTGGCCGCTCGAAAGAATGTTTCTTTTTTGTCAAAAATCAGCAGTCGGTTAAATAATGCTGTCAAAGCTGATAAGAATTGGAATAAGGCAATATATTTAGTTACAGATTTGGTTAGGAGGGATCTGCTGTTTAAACTCTCTTTTATTCTTCAAAATTTTTGGCTCCGGAATTAACGTAAGTAAAGTTAGATTACAGTTAATACAATAGCTCATGTTACAGTCAATCTTATTTTGTAAGATTTTAATATTTTGCAAACCAATGTCTAAATAATAAATTAAATTAGTTTTTTGTTGTGGTAATGTATTGCAGTTTGGAGTCGTCCTAACCTTTTCAGGGACTGAGAGCTTGTCACAATGGGGTTTGAACATTCTAAAAGCTGACGGCTCCATGGCTTTGGGTGAACGATCGCTTTCTATTTTCATGTCAGTCCTTAAGCCCGAGTCCTGTGAACCAGTGCAAGGCCCTAAAAGGCGGTTCTCAACCTCGTTCCCAGGGTTCCCTCCTACCCTGCCAAGAACAATCTATGTATATATCAGTGACATTTTTATTAAGCATAGATCCAAGTATAACTTAAGGCAGTCTGATTTCTCCGCTGCCAGGTACAACACGGTAACATATGGCAAGCACTCCCTCCGCCACTTGGGGCCCAATCTCCGGGGAAAATTATCCCCAGACTTGAGAGAAGTTACCACCTTAAAATGTTTCAAAAACAAAATACGTACATTAGATATAGTTACACTAATGGATGCAAGTGTTGTCATCTCTGCAATTCGTAGACATATTTGTCATACTGTAAATATTGTTAATGTCATTAATTTTTTTTTTATACCTGCGCTTATATGTAAATATTTTTTTACTTTAATTTATATTTATTTATTTTGTGTCCCCTAATTAGCAAAGGTTTTTAACCTAAGCTAGGAGGCTTCTTTAGACACCTTAATAAAGTTTCTTCATCATCATCATCATCATCACCGTAGGAGACAGAACCTGGGAACAAGGTTGGGCTGTTCTTACGTAATCCGAGGTCTTTCTCAATCAACTCCTTTATAGTGAACTCACGGGATTTCTTTCCCACTTCAGAAAGTCTAGGGAGAATGGGTACAAGCTTTGTGTGCAGGGATTTCTTGGATCGTTTGGGTGGAGAAGCGTTAGTTATGATTGGTCAATGGTATTCAAGGCAACCATTAACCAATCATAAGGAACGCTTGTCCACCGATCTGATCCCAGAGATCGTTGCGCCGAAAGCTTGTACCCATTCCCGTTATAGTTTTTGGAGTGGGGAATTAGGAACTGCACCAATTTGAAAGTGATGACGCGGAGTCATCGAAACGTCAATCAACATTATACTTTCGCTGAGTTTCACTTTCTGTTCGTTTTGTTTGTTTCTTGTTGTTGTTGTTGTTTTTTCTCTTTTACCTGTCTCCCTATGGAACACCATATTGTGTAAACCTCAGAGGGTGTCCTGGGTGTTTTGGGCTGATAGGATCCTATGCCAAACCCCTCATTCACTTCAAACCCGGCAACAGGCCAGTTTCCCCACTGAAACAGACTGGTAGTCAGTCTGCAATTGAGCAGTTTGTGAACGAGTTTACCTAACTTTTGCTTAAATCTGTTGGAGAGGTTTTTTTTAAGAGAGAAAAAAAAAGTCACAAAAAACCAGCCTCGAGAGTTGACAGATTTATTGAAATTGCATTCAACTGAGACTTCCATATTCTTGAATGAATATTAGATTTACATACACCAATGCTAAGTGATTCACTGGCATTTCACAAGACTCGTGATTCCTTGTCTTATCTGAGAATTCCCTCTGTAGTACAGAACAGGGTTGATACCAGAGCACAGTGTAGCCAGGGTAAAGTACAAGGGCTCTGCAAAGGGACTGAGATCCATGCGAAGAATGCTCGACACAACCACTAACAAACTTACAGGAATAATAATTATGCCTAGTAAAACAACAACATGGCGAGTGAGGATGGTTAGTTTGCGCTCCATGGCGTTTCCGTGGCCGTTTCCTTGGGCGCCTCCTTCAACCATGTTTGCGACTCCATTGTTGTGCTTGCGAAGCACCAGTAGGGTGAACAGCTGAAGGACGATGATCAGGGACGAACAAATCACCATGTAGCATGCCTCAAAGAGCTCGACCACCTTTCGAGGAAAGAGGGCAATTTGTTTTAGGATCACCATTGCCAACGTAATGAGCCACACTCCACAGCAAGCTGTTATAATGTGGCGATTTTTGATAACCACTTTGTACCACATCGGTTTGGAAACAGCCAAATACCGATCTACGCTCATTACGCCAAGAGTTCCCACCGTAGAAAATAGACAGAGAAAGAAAGAAACAACCATGATGGGATTATCCCAGTCACTTTTATTGGCACAAGCTCGGCCAGTAAGGAGCTCTTTGATCCTGAAACTCACGTACAATGGGATCACCAACCCCGACCACAAGACATCGGTCGTGGTCAAACTGCAGAGAGAACAAAGCCCTGCACGTAATTGAAGCTTGCCTTTTATAAACATCAGCAGTACAAACCCGTTTGACAGGAAACACCACAAAGCCAACAATATAGTGATCGGAGTAAGAGCAAAGTTCGAGTAATAAAAGTAGTTAAGCTGCAGTGTCTGTGAAACTCCTTCGAAGAAGCACGGTCGGCCTGTTTCGATGCCCTTTTGGTCGGCAATATTCTCCATCTTCACTCTGCAGAGAGAATGATAAAAGACACCGTTAATTCGTTGGTACCAGCTTCTTCACGCTTTATACTACTACATGAGAAATTTCTGCAATTTTATTGGCTTAGAGCAGTGGTATTTCAGCTTAATTTTAAATACCTACATGTGAAAATTACAAACCTTTTGTGGGTAGTAGTATATTAAGCAAATAATAGCATAATTTGTACGTCATATTTGGCATAAATACTACTCGTGATATTTCAAAATTGTCTCAAACTTCACTCGCCTAAGGGCTTGTGAAATTACGTATAACAATTTTGAAATATCACTCGTGGTATTTATGCCAATCACTCGTGGTATTTATGCCAAATATCACTAGAAATCATGCTATTACCTATACTAATGAATTGCAAAAATACCATTGTTAAGGCTCACCATACTAGCCGGGTCTCAAACGGTTTAACTGTCAGCCATGAAACATCTCGCAAAATTCAAGTCAAACTATAAATGGCAAGGCTGATCAAACAGCTATGTAATGATGGGCATGAAGATTGACAGCAAATTTAACTGCCGGCAAGCAGTTATAGTGTATTGTATAACCTTGTATTATATATATTGTATTGACACCGTCCAGTACCCCTCTTAAGCTAAGTCGACGACCTATCCTGGATCCTTAGATGCCTTTTAGCAGCGGAAAGTAAAAAAAGTTAAAGCTATTCCATAATCAAACAAAGAAAGAATTGAAACAAGTGGTTGGTACAGTAAATAAAATGTTTCAGAAATTGTTTAACCATGAGATTTGCAAACTCTGCTGTTATGTGATGAATTTGTTTAGGAATTTTAGGTCGTACGAACAACTCAATCAAAAGCTTGTCTGCATCACATCGATCTTTTTTAGATGAAGATAGATAGTTTATTCAACTTAAAAACTTGCAGCCAAAGGGACGAATTGCGATAAGGTTACAAATGAAATAATTTACAACTGCAATGATTTACAACAAACTAAAGAAAGATAAACCATCATCATTTACAATTTTAAAGCCATTACAAAATCCGAAATTCAAAAGCATGCGTCGTTTTAACCCATTTCTTACTGTTTGAAAATGAACTCAAGGCTCTTTTGTCCGGTTGATGGAAATGTAAATAGCTAAAAACTTCGACACGGTTTTAATGTAACTTCATTTAGCTAGGGATGGCCGATAGTGACGCTCGTATTATATACATTCGACTCCCGATAACTCGAACCTTCAAGGGAAATCGAAAAAAGTTCGATTTATCGGGAGCTCGAAGAAAATAGACGGGAGTAAGGGAAAAAAAAGTTTTTACTGCATAGTGAACATTTTAATCACATTTAATGGTCTTTAATTGTAGAAATGTCAAGTGAAAATTAAAAGATACTTCTAGATTATAATCAGAACGTAATGTAACAAAACATTGCCGAAATAGTGCATGCGTTTTACTGTTTTGAGAAGTAAATCTGTTTCACGTTAGATTTGTGAAAAACAATATCAGCCTCCACTAGTATACTATATGCCTACAACACGTCAATGGGGAAATTCAAAATTCAATGTAGAGCCACTAGACTGTTTTTTCCCGACTTTTAAGGGCTTAAAACATGGTTCGAGTTAGCGAGGGTAAAATTAATTAGAAATGATCTGAGGGGCAACAAAAACTACTTCGAGTTAGCGGGAGGTTCGAGTTATCGAGGGTTCAAGTTACCGAGGATAAAATTACAGTAAAATTATATGACGGAAATCCAGGGGAAATCGATTTTGGTTTCAGTTGGCGCCAGGTGCGAGTTAGCGAGCTAGGGTTCGAGTTATCGGGAGTCAACTGTAATTTGGCTGTATATCTATAACTTTTTACCCTGAGGGGTCTTGGTATAGGCAAGCATCTGTTTGAAAATGCAACTAAGGAACTTACTAAGAAAAACATCTGAAACAGTAAAAAGCACTAGACGACAATTACCAAGAGGGAAGAGATTACTCCTGCATGCAGCAAGACGACTTTCAAGGCAATTGGTTACTTCATCGCATCTAAAGAACTTTGAATCCTTCTGGCCAGACTGTACTTACTCCGTTTCTTCTTGCCAAGAAGTATTTCTCTTCAGGAGTACCTATTTTGATCAAACCGCACGCCTTAAAAAAAAAAATTACTGACTGGAAACAACACATAATTAATTCCTGACGTTAATCTTCATGCTTTTTACTAGACAATTAGGACCGAAAACCTTAGAATTAATTTCCTGTAATAATGTTTTCAAAAAAATAACACGAAAAAGAGTAAAACGATCGGAAATAAGAATACTGTGAGAAACTTGAACGGGAAACATCGGAGATAAATTAAAAAGGAAGGAATCGAGTCAGGGCTGAGAAATGAAATCGGTAGCGTTAGGAAAAGGCAGAAAAGCAGTGTAAAATATTCTCGAATTATGTATTTCGATTAAAACTGCCAAGAAACAAATCTCTTTCAAATCAGATAATCCGCACCAGTTGTTTTAAGTTTAAGTTTTCCAGGAGTATTAATTTATCAAGTCAAGGAATTAAAACACAGAAAAGTCTTCAAAAATCCAGAAATTACTAGAAAGAGACCAGGAATTTGTCAGAACGAAAACGTATCTGAATCTCTGAATTTAAAATCAGAACCACATTTCTCGAACATAGCCGATGAAAATCCACTCTGCTCGTGCTTAATCTCTTTAAACAATTTTTTTTAGGGGATTAGTGATGAGTTATTTATAGGAAATAGCTGAACAATTTACGTTCAAACCCCAGGTGCATGCATGTGCAATGTTCATGGGATAACACATCCATTAGATAAATCATTACATTCTGCTTAGCTGTCATGCAGATGTTGTTGGTATTGCAATAAACTGGCCTAACCGGTAAAATGATGCTTGACGGTAAGTGGTTCAAAAAAGCGTAACAACTAGTAATAATTGCAAATTTGGGGAGTTCGTTGGATGGGAGGGGGTGGGGTTTGGTTGCGAGTGGTAGTCTAAGTGAGTGCAAAACGCGAGGAGCTTGTAAGTTTGAGAAATGAAAATCAAACACTTTTATCAATATAAATATCAGCAGCTGTCTTTATCGGTGTTATTGTTTATCCTTCCACTTTACGACTCGTTACTATTTAATTTTTCCTAAAAAATGCAAGAGCGTCCTGTACTTTTTACTTTTACTTGGCTTAGCCTCTAGGCATAAAAGAACATGTAAATAACAGCAGATCAAACACTGACTATGATCCTCAAGATATTCTTTTGCACTTTAGAGTGGTCAATAAAATTGGCTAAATATTGGGCTACAGAAAATTAAAGTAATCTGCGCTAACACAACTTACCTACTTAGCATTTTTTTTTTTCAAATACAACGCATCCAGAATTAGTGAGATGACAAGGTGAACGTTTCACTGTTCAACTTCTTCTATATATTTTTTCAAAATGGTGACAAAAAATGCGAATACAATGCTGTACATAGCTTTTAAAAGCGAAAAATTAAAGATATATTAAATTTGTAATAGAATTAAATATGGTCCGGATCTAACTTGGTCTTGCTGGAATTGATAAGAACAAACACAGTGTGCTGAAAAAAATGTCAACACAATATCTACATATCCGATTATCTTAGAACAGAGCTTTTTCTATAAAAAAAAATAACAATTGAAAACTGTGAGAAGAACGATAAACAAACCTGTAATAAACAAACTCGCCAATGTTTCATCTGTGAACGAGTCACAAAATAGATACCAGTTCCCGGGCGAGAAAAACTGAGCTTATGAGATAGAGGCAAAATGTGCCAGCCATGCAGCCAGTCCAAGATGGCGCCCAAACCGTGAAATCGCATGGCATTCAGAAGGCTACCCGCGGGATCCCTCGCGGGACTCGAATAGTAAGCGTTCTCCTTCGTCGAATTCACTGTCACTTATGCTTAAAAATAAAAAAGGCCAGGGTTAAAATTAATCATATCCCGTATGCAGAATTGAATTTAGTCTCCCAAGTGACGAGAAAAAAACGGCTGCGTGCGAGACTTAATTGAATGCTAATGAGATGGAGAAAATTCTTTTTTTTCGCTAATTTGCATTAGAATCACCACGTGTGAGGCCTTGTCCACGCGAATCCGTATATTTTTGAAGCTGAATTTTTCTAAAAGGAAACTTTACCTTGCGTCCACGAAACCACTGAATCTGCTTTTTCAAAAATGCTCTCTAGAGTGGCGAAGGGCGGCCTGTCCACACGATCGTCCCATGTAAGAGAATCCAACACAATCTTGGATTCTGGATTCCACGCCGTGGACTGATCCGGATTCCTGGTATTGGATTCCAGTCTTTGTTAGAAAAACATGGATTCCGGATTTCTTGAGCTGAATTCCCGATTCCAAAGCCCAGGACTCCCGGTTTTACTAGCCCACATTTCGGATTCCACAAGCCAAAATTGTTCGGATTCCGGAATCCCTTGCATGGGGCGAATACGAATCCGGGAAACAAAATATGCCGCTTCAAAAATGTGAAGATTCGTATGGAGAAGGCTTAAAATGCGACGTTTGAACAGGGCCTAAACGAAACAACTGTTGCCTTGAGTCAGGTATCCTGAAAAAGAAACTGAAACAGGGAAATGTTTTCTCTTAAGAGCCTGTTTCTTGGTTTTATAAATTTTATACCGAAAGGTAGTCAACTTTGATAAGTTCACTGTTAAGCAATCATCAATAACACTAGCAATATGTTTGATAACTTTGAATGTACAAGGTGTACGGCCGGCCAGTGCAAACGAGCCAAAAAAGGTAGAAGAGCAGGGAAAAAAGAGCGAGTGAAAGACGGCGGGAAAAGAAAATAAGAGAGCTTATAGGCATCTTTTAAAACTGACCTCAGTTCGCCCACTACCCGCCGACTTACAGAAGTGTCAAAATGTGCGGTGTAGGAGGGTTTTCAAACGCTTATGCCATGTTTGTTTGACTCTGCGCGCGAAGCCACAAAAAAGTGATTGACTTAAGTGATGACGTAAACTGTCAAATTTAACCAATCGTACTGTATATCAGAATGAAGTGTTGAAAACAATGCTTACGGGCCTGACAGTCTACGGGCCTCACTTCCCCGTCTCTCCCCAGCCCCTACTCGCTCAAGGAGTTTGAGGCTTGAGTCAAAGGTGTGCTCGGAGCATATGACTGATTTGCTATAGAAAGACAGAGTCAAGTTAACGGCGAACGGCAAACGTAATTGAGAATTTCTCAAAACAGAAAATGAACAGACAAAACTGTCCAAAACAGTTCTTATGGATAAGACTAGCGTGAAACTACTAATTTTTGAGAAGAAGTAATGAACAGTAAATGAAAAGTAAAGGCAAAACTTGGTCACGTGGAAAAAAATCACGTTTGCCGTTTGCTGTAAACCTGACTCTAAATCTCCTCAATATCTGTCGCTAAAAGACCTAGAACAAAATGAAATTTTCCGCGAAAGTACATCCATTCTACAACAACGGGCCGGCTTCTCTTACGTATTTCATTTGGCGCATGCATACTTGATTTTTACCCTTTTCCGTGTAATTGATCGTGCTCTCTTGTCTTACCTAATTAATTTTCCTTTTTCTTATAACACTTTTTTTTCTTTACATTCTATTTTTACGAATCTACCTAATAATTTTTATTTATTTATTTCAGCCTTTGCTACTTGCGGGTTGTGTTTTAATTTTATTTTGTTACAAGGATTTTGAAATAAAGTTGTTGTCGTTGTCATTGCTTGAGGTCTTCTTGTGCCTCAACGTTTAATTGTGGTCACGTGACCAAAAATTGAAAATGAATAAAATTGGCGAATTGGCGAAAAAGGTTTGTCCAGGAATCGAACTCAGACCCAGGAAGACACAAAACCGACCTGATATATTTTTTTCCTTTCTTATTTATTATCGGCACGTTAGATTAAGTAGCATTTTATTTCTAGTTTGTCCAAGTCTGTTGCAGAGGGGTCTAACAGCCTGAGAGACACTGAAAATTTTGTTCAAGGGCTTTTATACTCCCTGCTTGAACGACTACTGTGTAGAACCGTTTTTCCTGGGTTTTAATCTTTAATTTTTTCTAACCAGCGGTGAACAAGGTCCAGAATAGATTTGGTTTCAAACTAAGAGTCTTTTTGTGACAATGTTTATTGACACTGCTCTCGAGTAAGATTTGTACATTTTTAAACTGCGGTATTTCGAGATATCTATTTCAGTTACATGAATGTAATGAGAAATTCAGTGGCATTTCACAAGGCTTGTAATTCCTTGTCTTATCTGAGAATTCCCTCTGTAGTACAGCACAGGGTTGATACCAGAGCACAGTGTAGCCATAGTAAAATACAAGGGCTCTGCAAAGGGGCTGAGGTTCGTTCGAAGAATGTTCGACACAACCACTAATATACACACAGGGATAAGAATTATCCCTAGTAGACCAACAACATGGCGAGTGAGGATGGCCAGCCTGCGCTCCAGGGCGTTTCCGCGGTTGTTCCTTTGGGCGCTTCCTTCAACCAAGTTTGCCACTCCATTGTTGTGCTTGCGAAGCCCCATGAGGGTGAAGAGCTGAAGGACGATGATCAGGGAGGAACAAATCACCATGTAGCATGCCTCAAATAGCTCGACCACCTTTCGAGGAAAGAGGACGATTTGTTTCAGGATCACCATTGCCAACGTAATGAGCCACACTCCACAGCAAGCTGTTATAATGTGGCGATTTTTGATGACCACTTTGTACCACATCGGTTTGGAAACAGCCAAATACCGATCTACGCTCATTACGCCAAGAGTTCCCACCGTAGAAAATACACAAAGAAAGAAAGATGTAACCATAATGGGATTATCCCAGTCGCTTTTATTGGCACAAGCTCGGCCAGTAAGGAGCTCTTTGATCCTGAAACTCGCGTACAATGGGATCACCAACCCCGACCACAAGACATCAGTCGTGGTCAAACTGCAGAGACAATAAAACCCTGCACGCAATTGAAGCTTGCCCCTAATAAACATCAGCAGGACAAACCCGTTTGACAGGAAACACCACGTGGCCAAGAGGATAGTTACTGGAGTAAGAGCAAAGTTAGAATAATAGAAGTAGTTAAGCTGCAGTGTCTCCGAGAATCCTTTGAAGAAACATTGTCGCCCTGTTTCTTTTACTTCCTGGTCTTGAAAAACGTTCAGTATGTCATTTTTGGTGATGTTTTCCATCTTCACACTCCTAGAGAATGATGAATAACAACTGCGTTAATTTGATAGCACCTTTGTATGTTATTTTTTATGTATAACTGAATTTTTTTCATGTATGCATTGTCTAATGATTTTTCAGTCTTTATATAGCCTGCGAACAGCAGACGCATTTCCGGTCGTCGCTTCTCTCCCTCCGAAAAATAGGAGGGAGAGAAGCGACGACCAGAAGTCCGTCCGCTGTTCGCAGGCTAGTTTTTATACTACTACATGAAAAATTTCTTCGATTTGATTGGCTTAGAGCAGTGGTATTTCAGCTTAATTTGAAATACACACATGTGAAAATTACAAACCTTTTGCGGGTAGTAGTAAACAAATAATAGCATGATTTGTACGTGGTATTTGGCATAGATACCACTCGTGATATTTCAAAATTGTCTCAAATTTCACTCACCTAATGGCTCGTGAAAATACATGTAACAATTTTGAAATATCACTCGTGGCATTTATGCCAAATATAACTACAAATAATGCTATTACCTATACAAATAACGCGCGCAGTATGTATATCTAAACGTCAAAACTACTACGTTAGAAATATTTAATGTGAATCACTATATTTCCTTTCTAAAACCCCTCACCAATAGCCCACGTTCGATATATTAAAATTCTAACATGACTCAGTCCGAGGCTTCGAGGTTAAAATTGCTACTTTTTCAATAGACTCCACTGTCTCGCAATTTCTGGAAGAGACTTGGTCAAAAAGAAAACCAAGCCATATAAAGAAAAATAACCAAAAAGCCTCGGAGCCATGTTAGAATTTTCGCCGTCGAAATTAATTGCCAAAAGCACTCCTTGATCGCCAAAACGGCCGTAAAAACAGTAAAAACAATATAGCGCGCCGTTTGTATCTTTACTACCCGTGATGGAACATTTTCTACCTTGATATCTTCTTTCTACTCTGATGTAACATTTTCTACCTTGATATCTTTTTACTGCCGTGATGGAACATTTTCTACCTTGATATCTTTTTACTGCCGTGATCAAACATTTTCTCGCCTTGATATCTTTACTTCCGTGATGGAACATTTTCTACCTTGATATCATTTTACTACCGTTATCAAACATTTTCTCGCCTTGATATCTTTACTGCCGTGATGGATCATTTTCTACCTTGATATCATTTTACCGCCGTGATCAAACATTTTCATTGTACTACCTTGATGGAACATATCATTTTACTACCGTGATGGAACATTTCAAGTGTTCTACCTGGATATCTTTTTTACTGCCGTCAATGGTACATTTGCTATCTTGATATCTTTTTTACTTCCTTAAAATGGTATCGAGGTAGAAAATGTTAATCACGGCAGTAAAATGATATCAAGGAAGAAATGCTGCCTCACGGTAGTAAAATGATATCAAGGTAGAAAATGTTGCATCACGGCAGTAAAATGATATCAAGGTAGAAAAAGGCGCATCACGGCAGTAAAATGACGTCAAGGTAGAAAAGGTTGCATCACGGAAGTAAAATGATATCAAGGTAGAAAATGTTGCATCACGGCAGTAAAATGACGTCAAGGCCGAAAATGTTGCATCACGGCAGTAACATGATATCAAGGAAGAAAATGTTGCATCACGGTAGTAAAATGATATCAAGGTAGAAAATGCTGCATCACGGCAGTAAAATGACGTCAAGGTAGAAAAGGTTGCATCACGGCAGTAAAATGATATCAAGGTAGAAAATGTTGCATCACGGCAGTAAAATGACGTCAAGGTAGAAAAGGTTGCATCACGGCAGTAAAATGATATCAAGGTAGAAAATGCTGCATCACGGCAGTAAAATGACGTCAAGGCAGAAAATGTTGCATCACGGCAGTAAAAAGATATCAAGGAAGAAAATGTTGCATCACGGCAGTAAAATGATATCAAGGTAGAAAATGTTGCATCACGGCAGTAAAATGACGTCAAGGTAGAAAATGTTGCATCACGGCAGTAAAAATGATAGCAAGGTAGAAAATGCTGCATCACGGCAGTGAAATGACGTCAAGGTAGAAAATGTTGCATCGCGGCAGTAAAATGATATCAAGGTATAAAATGTTGCATCATGGCAGTAAAATGACGTTAAGGTAGAAAATGTTGCATCACGGCAGTATGATATCAAGATAGAAAATGTTCCATCAAGGTAGTAAAATGATATCAAGGTAGAAAATGTCACATCACGAACCCATTCAACAATAAAAATCACTTTAGCAAATAATTTTGAAACAAACAGCACGCCATAAAACAACGCCGACCAAGTTTCTCGCTTGATGACGTCATTAGATTGCTGACACCATTGGATATATACCTTATTCATCCTAATTTCGCGCGTACTTAACTTCGCGAATATTTAAGAGCCGGATTTTGCGAGTACTAATTTTCGCGATGGGAAAAATGATTAGAGAAAAAGCGTACTAAATTTCGCGATTTTGTCTTTGCTTTTATGTTCGTAAATCCTGAGCATAGGGCACTTGTCACAATCAATAAAAGAACCATAAAACATATATATTTCAAAGCAAGATTGTACACTTACAACTGCCCTACACAGAACCTTATAAACAAGACAAAACATAACTACTTTCTGTGTACGCTCTCTATGCAATGTGACATTCAGTTCAGTGCTTAAAACGCAACTTGAGGTGTTCAGTAAGTGTGCACAGTTCAAAAAACACCCGGACTCAGGACATCTTTTAAATTCTTATTGTTTTGTTTTCGAAAATGGTATTAAATTTCGCGTGTATAAATTTCGCGTAATCTTCTTTTTGCGCGTATCAAATTTCGCGAATTTTTTAAAATCGGGAAAATTAGTAAGAATAAGGTACATTATATGAAATTATGAATGGGCCATCCAAGTTTGCAGGTCGCTTGCGCGCGACAAAATCATAAACCTTCGCACTGCCCTCGCTTCGCGAGGAATAAATAGTAGGTAATGGATAATAAATCCATGCAGGGGAGAAAGACTTAGGGCCTGTTTACATGGAGGTGGGGGACCCCAGGTAGGTGAGGGAACCCGCTAAGGTGGGGTAACCCGCCTGTCCAGATAATCTCTCATTTTAATGTGATCACGTTTACATGTTAGGTGGGGTAACTTGACAAATTTTACCTCACCTACCTGGGGTCCCCCACCTTCATGTAAATAGGCCCGTAAAGGATAAACCAGCGATTTTGTCGAAGGGCCGCGGGCATCTGACCCCGAAAGTTCCGTAAATCTTCCGCTTAGCTTGGCATCTTTATTATATATACATTTTTTTTTTCCTTTTTCTTCTATTTTCCTCTTTTTTTCTTTCTTTCTTTTTTTTATATATTTTTTTGTCATTTAAGTTCCGATCGCACGCGAATCGGGTTTTATGTGTATAGCCCTTTGGGTTGGGAACTAAATTTTCATAACGTTCAGCGTTTCCTTGACGAATGTCTTAAGTCTTTCATTGACAACTGTCTTCCTTTAAAACCAAGCACGCCATTAAGCCAGAAAACTTGTCAAGGAAGGACTTGACGAGTTTTCCAATTTCCTCAATTTTTTTTCTTGTCAAGGACAGCAATTAAGGAGTTTATAAAAGTCGCATCATGAGAAGGTACTTTGCATACGATTGTGTAAATGAAAAGTAATTACAAGAGTAATTAAAAGTAAATGAGCCTTACAAGGTACTTAACAGAGTATTTAACAAACAATTGTGTAAATGAAAAACTTGACACTAAGTTGTTTTTCTTGCAGACAATGAGAAAATTTGTCAAGTTTTCCCACTTAAACGAGCAACTTGTCTCGACTAGTTTTTTTTTTGTCTACACAAGAAATATTGCTCGTGGAAATCCGGCTGCTCAAGACTATTAGTCGGGAACTTCAGTTACAAATAAATACAAATAAGAAAATGCAATTTATTAATGAGAGCTCTCATATGACAAATTGACTAAAATGAAGGTCCAAGCCAAACAGACAACAGCTTCTGCTCTTTTTTGGCAAAATAAAGAAATAAAGTAAAATGAAATGATTATCCGAAAATAGAGCCATTTTTCCACAATTCTTTCGAAGCCGGTTTCCAATAAAAACTCGGTGTCCATATATCATTTACTTGGAGCTATTTCCCTGGTTCTTCTTTTCCTTTCTTCATTGTTTTAAACTGATCAAGGTAGAAAAGGAAAGTTTTATTTCAACATTACATTGTACATAAGTAAGTACATGATATACAGTTTTTTGCTCTAACTCAATCGAATGTTTCTGCGAACTTTTTCGGAGTATTTTGATTCTAGTGTGGAGAGAATGAAGATTTTCACAAAAAAAGAAAAAAATATATATGAACGGAATCTAATCTTCCCAAACCACGCAATCATAAGCTACATCTGCTCAGACACTACACACCAGGAAGCAAGGAACAAGGAACATACAACAGACGTGAGCTAAGCTGTTTTTTTTCTTTTTTCGTTTAAAATGTCTTTTATATTCTCAGGTTTAACAAATATTTCTCTTTCCTCGCGACAGTGAGACGTTTAAGCAAGTATGTTGTTCAAAATGTACCGAAAACAGTTAAATAGGAAAAGGCTAAAAGATTTAAGCAAACTTACCGTTTAGTTTTCTAAGCGGTGATACGAGGACGGAGAGTCACAGAGTCTACAGACTGAATTTCATGCATAAGAAGACTAAATAACAAATTGTCTTTATTAAAAGTGCACACTTGAAAACCAAGAAGAGGTTTCAGAGAGAAGCGCAGCCATTAGGGCCGACATTGTCATTATTACTTTTCCGGTACTTCAATCACCATTCAACCGAATAACCCGCCAGACGCGTCTTATGCTAAGTTCACTCTATACCGAATAGCTACTGCGCCGGCGCGAAAACCATACCGGATAGCGCTTCTGTTCGTATAGGGCGCAGGCGCGGATCTAGGATAAATACTGACCGATTTCCTAAACGAGCCCCGAAGGCGCAACCTTTTAGGGGAGTCCGGACATGCTACCCCGGGAAATGGGGTAAGGTAACCTGAATGTCAGATGATGTCGGAAATTCAGGCTAAAGCGTAAGGTGATTAAGGATAAGAGAAACAGTAAATTTGTTGCGAAGACTACCGGCTTTTCAAAGATTTGTTTATCGTTAGAAATACTTAACAAAATACCCTTGTTCATTTCGGTTCCTTAACATGGGCCTCACCTATATTTCGATAAATTCCCTTGTTGAACCTATTTTTTTATTAGATTATTTCAATAATGAACATCACTGGCTTTTCACTGAAGATATATTATAAATTGTTAGATATTTTGCTTACCAGGTAACATGGCGGTAAACAAACAGTTTTATATGAGAATCGACCACTTACATTATTAGAGATAAATTTTGATCGAGTTCGAATGACCTGCGTTTTTATATTATAATTACGATTAAGTGTCCCAGATAAGTTGAAAACGAGAAAAAAGAAGTTTCATGATCTTTGCTAAAATATTTAGAGTATTTCGTTTTTCTTAAAATATTCTAACAGCAATGAAATCATTAAAGTTTTTTCAGGTTCCGTCGATTTCGAGAGAATTCTAGAGACTCACTCATTTTCCAGAAAATTAATGACAGCATTGCAGTTCTTTTGAAAAAGAGAATGCTTTAGACAAAATAAAAAAAGTCCGTCACTTTTTATAATTTCCGGGACAATTCACAGCCATACAAACTCAAAACGAAATTCACTTAACGCTTCATAATCAAAAAGAGAAACACGCTTTCATAAACTTTTAAGAGAAATGACAGTCACTGCTAATGAAAACTGATGGGAAAGAACAATCGCTCCTTTAGCATTAACATTTGAAATGCTAATTTTGTTCTTTTCATTTGATAATTTTTTTGATTAAAAAACGCCAAGAATAGACCCCTTCATTCACCAAATAAGTTCACAACACGTAATAATTCGGGGATTGGTAGCTCGCCATAATTTTAATTAAAGATATTGACAATTTTATAATCATTAGAACACTTTTCATAAAGAAGGATATTTAAAAGCAACGAAATAAAAATTCGGAGGTTGGTCTTTAAATGTTTATTCCAAAACGCGGTAAAACGTGCCAACCCCCGTTCCAAAAATTCTGTAATCCGGCAGTACAAAAATTATAGCGAATTATAAAAATAATAATAATACTAATAATAGCAATAATAATAATAATAATTAATAATTCTAATGATAATAATTCTTTCACTTCGAGATAATTTTTGAGACCATTTGCAGCTCGCCATTTTTAGGTTGCAGTTGAAGAAAAAGACTCGGACTGGCCAAGACAGTGTCCCTTGACAGTACCACAGTGGAATTCGACAAAACACCCACCCAGTCAGGTGTGACAGCGTTCTTTTGTAGTCCCAAAATGCACTTCGAGAGAACACCAACCCAGTCATGCGTGACAGCGTCCTTTTAACAGTCCTATAGTGAGACTCGACACAACATCGACCCAGTCATGCGTGACAGCGTCTTTTTAACAGTCTCATAATGTATTTCTAGAAAACACCGACCCAGTCTGCGTGACAGCGTCCTCTTAAGTCTTGCTAAGTCATGCGTGACAGTGTCCTCTTGACGGTCCCATGGTGCAATTCGACAAAAACAGACGCGGTCATGCGCGACATCAAAATCACCAGTGATGGTCCTTCGCATATTATGGTCATTCGAAGTAAGTTTTCGTTTAAAAGCAACTCCGCTTATTGCTTCAACTTGTCAAAATAGACCTTACTTTGCTTATGCTACGAACTTAGTTTTACCAACAAGTTTGTTGGGTGATCGAAGTAAACAATCTCTTCACCGAGATTTTGCTAACAGTCTTAATGTGTTTGTCAAACCTTCTCTCCATCTAACTCTTGAATACTAGGTAGCAGGGATTTTACTTTGTCTATATACCCTGGTGCTTGACAGCAAGGATTTCCACGCAAGTCCATTTTCCTGAGGACTGGACAGTGTTGTAGAGTCTTCAAAACTTCTAAATTAGAAATACCTTTTCATCGCGTCAAGGAAAACAACAAACAACATACAACAAACAACAACAACATGCCGCATAAGGGGTAGATCAGACTTCACATTTACATCATAGTGAGTAATTGACCAAGAGGAAATTGAGCAAACGCAGAGACGATGCGGTTCCTGAGAGCAGGGGGAAGCGACTAGGGAAGGGAACATCTTCTGTCTGTCTCTAATCTTCCCTTCTTTCCTCTAAACAAAACGCAGACTATCAGAGCTGGTAGCGATTTAAATACAGTCAAAGCTCGTGTAAGCGACCGCCTCGGAAATACGAAAAAGTCGTCGTAACTAGACTTGGTCGCTTACGAGAATGAGCTCCCCTGAGCGACCGCATGGTCAAACAATAGAGAGCTTAAAATGGTAATTTTCTTTGTTTGTCTTTTCCCAGTCCAGCATGGTGGTGTGTACCACGTGGAAGGCTAGCTGCAAAGGGACTATCGATTTCGATCAAGGTCGAAAGTCATGCTCTGACTGAGTATGTTTCGCTCCAAAGACCGTCTCGAACACAGAAAATTAAGTGATGAACGCCTTAACTGTTGTTAGACTAATCATGATTCATGCAGGTGTGAACACAGGATTCTTTCTTCTCTTAAAAAAAGGATACTATTATTTGAAAGAGAAAGCTCTTGCAGTTTATGGAGTCTTAACGCATGTCTTTTGGTGATATGCCGCAGTTCATTATTACTGAAATCCAGGGTAATTACGCATTGTAACATGTTACATTCGTCCAGTGAAGATAAATGATTATGAGAAAGGTTTACTTCCTTCATAAGAACAAGCTGATCCATGTGTGACAAAAATGTCAAGTCCTGTAAGGGAACAAAAAAGGAAAAAAAATAACAACAAGTGAAAGTAAATCAGGCTAAATTCAAGGTGCCCTGATACCTTCCTACAGCACTGTCTTTTAAGACACAATTGTGTGGACCCTCAATTAAAAGCCATTGAAAACTGCTTTAGGATCATCAACTCTCAAGGTGACGTCGCAATTAATTCACAGATGGCCCAGGGTCAGATTTCAACTGGTTTCAGTGGCATAAATCAACTACCTTACTGCGGCCTCTCTCCTTGACTGACTTGGAAACGCATAGTAGGGACCGTTTAGACCGCGTCCATTGCGCAGGAAAACATTAACGCCGATGACGTCATAGCCTTTTGTCTTTATCTCAAAAATAAAATGCGGAGTAATCTCATTAATATTGAGTCATGTGCTATTGTAAGAAGGTTTGACTGGTTTGACAGGTTTTACACTGATGATGTCATAGTGTATTTTAAAATAAAACTTTTTTGGTCATGAAGCCACCTGAAACTTTAAATCACTGAACCGTAGTGTAATTATACAAGTTTTATTTCGGGTCGTTTTCATTGTCCATTGCAGACAACTTAGGCTATGCTCACACTATCCTGGATAGCTTTTGTGCTGTTACGAAAACCATGCCGGATAGCACTTCTGTTTACACACAAGAACGGTTACCTAGGCGCGATTTCTGTGAGGAAGCGAAACTGAGCCGCGACGATCTCTAAAGTCAAGGGTCACATATGAGGAAGAAGGCAAAATAGCTTTTTCTGGCACACAACAAAAAAGGCCTAATCGGTCCTTTCTACACTACTCTCGCAATTCTTGGACGACAAAGGACTAACCATGTTGGAGAGATCAATACTTCTGCTTACTCCATCCTAAAATACACGGAGAAAAGTTGTAAAAGAGAAATTAGTGGTCTCTGATATAATTACAGTCGACTCCTGATAAGTCGAATCTTCAAGGAAAATAGAAAAAAGTTCGAGTTATCGGAAGTCCGTTTTATCGAGGGTAAAAATATGTAGAAAACGATCTGAAGGGAAATGTAAATTGCGTCGAGTTAGCGAGAGGTTCGAACTATAGAGGGTTCGAGTTATCGGGATTCGACTGTATAAGAAATTAGTGGTCCCTGATTTTGCTCAAGGAGTGTTCCACAGGCTGTTAAAAAATCTTTATCCTAAATGAGCAACGTCCACTTTTCCCTCACACTTGATTACATCAAACTTAGCCAGTACTGAGTCAGTTCCACACGAGTAACATTTGTCACACTGTAGATAATCACGAAAAACTGTGTTCTTGTGTAGTATTAAAGTTTCCAGCTGAAAAGACGGTTAAGCCCCGTATAGTTTTCTGAAACTTGTGAAAACCAGGTTTTGCAATATCCTTTTGCTTAATCAAACCAATTGCTTCAGAAACCTCTCATGGGTTTTGAATGTAGTAGTAACATACTTACATCTAAACGTTTCCTATCAGCTAAGACTGAAGATGTTATCAATGCCACTATTGCTAAAAATTTCTCCTTGCATTAATTCGTTTTTTTTTATGAACACAACACAATTTGAAGCTGACGTAAGTTGGGTTGGGTAAAACCACATTTGTTGACCAAACTTTAGATCATAAGTTGGATATTGAATAGAAAGTTTAACCATCAAACAAATGAACAAAACTTAACATGGCATTAATAAACCGGGTATTCAGTTCCAAACCTTTATTGAGCGGTGCCTCTCTATGGCGTTTTCTACTCGGAATTTTCGTCCTAACAGAACAACAGACAGAAAAGTTAGCGAATTCGACGGCAAATAATAACTCAGTCGATTTTAATTAACGACTGAGTTGATAAAAATTGGCCCCCGTGACAAGAATTACAAGCTGATGATTCCAACTTTCTTATGAAGGGCTCACTTTCTAATTCCTCAGTGCAACACCACAACTTCTTTAGAAACTAACTAACTAAATAAAATAAATAAATGAAAAATGATTTAGAGGTTGCACATCCACAAAGTGGTTCTTCGTCTACCGGATTTCTGGTCGAACTGGAATTTGGAAATGTTGGTTTTTGAGGAGAGGGGAAAACCGAGCAAAGGAGCAAAGGAGAGAACCAACAAAAAACTCAACCCACATATAGCGTTGACGCCGGGATTTCAGCCCGGGCCACGTTGGTGGGAGGCGAGCGCTCTCACCACTGCGCCATCCCTTTCTAAGCTCGTTAGGGCTCTTTGACTTAAAACGTAAGTTTTTAGATGGCTTTTAGTCATCAACTCAGTAGCATTGCGTCTCTTAGTAGTTCAGGTAGGCATATACAGCCACTTTCTAAGTCTAACAACCTACAAATACATATGTATGTCAATCAGTCAGTCAGTTGGTCAGGCTGTCATATGATCGGTCACCTTATTGATTAGTTGGTCAATCAGTTAGTCAGTAAGTCAGTCAGCCAGTCAATCAGCCAATCAGGCAGTCAGTCAGGACGTTTGTTTCCTTAAAGAGAGCAAATCATTGGAATTTTTTTGTGTGGTTTAGATATTGATGGTCAGTCAGTCAGTCAGTCAGTCAGTCAGTCAGTCAGTCATTATTGAAGTACTTCAAACACAGATAACACGGAGACAGATTAAGACAATATATAAAACATTTTTCTATCTAGTCGACAAACAGCAGTTGATTTAACTAAACCTACTAAGGTCTTCGTAGTAGCCCTGCCTGTAACAGTCAACTTGCGTAAGGCTTTCTAAATACAACTCTGTTTCCTGTTCATGTTTGAGCGGATCTAAAGCACGCATCAGCAGTACCATTGTTAACATTGTCCCTAAAAATTGAAAACAAAGGGGAAATACCAAAATCAATTTACACCAACTCGCATTGCAAGCGTTTCTTGGGGAGCACGCGCAAGATTAGAATTTCTACTGGCTATGTCCACCACTTCTAATTTTCCCACTCTCGACTACTGAGCACGGTACCATTTTTAATATTCACAGTAGTGTAGCCAGAGAAAAAAGCCGGCACTTTGTGAAGGTGTCACTGGTTTCTCCGCGAAATTACGTCTGAGGAACGACCGCAGAACCTCCATACCGATGACGCTACACTACTTCGATCTAAGTAGTGCCTCTGATTGGATGAAGCAAATTTTCAACCAATCAGAACAATACCCAGATCATGCTAGTGACGCGTCATCAGTATGGAATTTCTGCAGTCGTTTCTCAGACGTCATTCTTGGGAAACCCAGTGGTGGAGTCGCGAAATTTCGGCTGTTTTCTCTGGCTAACAATAGTGAAAATGATGTGAAGTATATATGAAATAATTCATTTTTGAACTGCGGTTGTAGATAAAAGTGAAGAATGATCATCGCAGTAAGTTTTCCAATTTAAGCAATTGGAAAGAAGAAGCCTGAAAAAAATCAGGGCTTTAACTGGATTCGAACCCGTGACCTCCGCGTTACCGGTGTGTTGCTCTACCAACTGAGCTATGAAGCCACACATGGGAGCGAGGTCAATTTATTGAGTTCATATCTCCCGTGAGGAGTGAAATGATGTGAAGTATATATGAAATGATTCATTTTTGAACTGCGGTTGTAGATGAAAGTGAAGAATGATCATCGCAGTAAATTTTCCAATTTAAGCAATTTCTGCTTAAATTGGATGATCATTCTTCACTTTCAATAGTGAAAATGTCCAGAAATTTGTTTCCAGTCCAGTTCTGGCTGTTGGTTGAGTGATTGACCCTAACCGACAGTATTTCCGGATCTGATTTTATATCCTTTAAGCTGAATGCTAGCCGTTGGCTTACAAGAAGCTCATCCGCCCTTCTTTCTCCAGTCGTCCTCTGCGTTAAAACTCAGAGAAGGCAGGTGCATACACGTATTCGTTGTTCAAAAGAGGTCGATGGAATGTAAAACCCCTATTGTTGGATCACAAAAAAGAACTACAACGACAATGTATTCAATTAATTGGTCTCACGTTGTACTCTTTCCTCGCAAAAACGCGTAGTGTTAATCGCCAATTGCCCAATTACAAAAAAAACAAACAAACAAACACAATCGAACGTACTCAGTAAACTGGACTCATGTAGTACTATGCGACCCTTGAAAATAGTACCGACAACAAGTTCTAGGACTTACATTGCACTTACATTTATTGTCAGGTTCCTCTTCCAATAAAAGTCGACAGGAATCTAATTCTTGTTGAAGGACAGAACTTTGTACTGCTGTCAACTCCGCTCTAAGAAAAAATGCCAACAAAAGAATGTTTAAGGATTGTGCAATGCGATCCTTAGAGCGGTACTGAAGTATCGTAATTGCTTTGGCTTTGCGTCATTAAAATCGCACCACGTTCTCAACCAATCAGAGCTGAAGTTGTCTTCCTCTCATGTGACCTTCGAACTTGGAATGAAATTTAACGCAACTGGCCGTAAGAGCTTACCTAAAAAGATGAGAGTCACTTGCTACAAGTGTCCAAGCTTCTTTTTCACCTACATATGCAAAGCAAATCTACGTTTATGGGTCACAATAACTGTTGCGATCAATACCATTAAATGCCATAAGACAACACGAATATAACACAAATAGAAACAGAATCTTAATCGATCAGGAGTTATTTATCCTTTCTTTGGGTGGATTTCCTCTGTCCACGTGCCTACGACGTAAAATTAACGTGCGTAAATACCGTAAAATTCCGAAAATAAGCCCCTCCATGTATAAGCCCCCCAAACCGGTAGCGCAAAAAACCCTCCGTTAAATCGCCCCTCTGAACATAGGCCCCCCGGGGACTTGTACTTGGAAAATTGCCCTCAAAGACAAAGTAAAACAAGGCAAAAACGGTAAATTTACTTCCAACTATAAGGCTAGCCCAATCGATTTTGAAACGCAAATTTCCTTCCGTAGATAAGCCCCTCCGAATATAAGCCCCTCCAAAAGGGCTGTTAAAAAATATAAGCCCCGGGGCTTATTTTCGGAGTTTTACGGTATAATAGACGCGATGTACGAAAGGTAGCGCGTAAACGTAAGAGTTGAGCGAGGTTACCTACTTTATTTACGCAAGTAAAATTTTTGCGCGTACGCCCGTAAAAAAAAATAAATAACGCGACAGTCGAAATCCACCTCTACTAGGGCAAACACTCATTGCAAATTTTTGCAAACCATTTATGGTTAAGGGCTTACCTAAACCTACTTTAAATTAACTCATTATCCTCGGCTACAAACTCGACATTTAAGCTCACAGAAGAAACCGGCGCATCTGTAAACGACGAGTAACTTGGAAACATAGTTTGACAGCAAAGCGATTTTACATAACAACTCATGCAAACAATGTATCCAGCAATTTGATCATAAACATTACATGTACCGCCAAATATTTCAATAATTTAAATACAAACCTTTTGGTAACACCACAGACTTCTCCAGTTTTCCATTCATAAATGTCACTTTTACAATGGTTTCATCCGGGACATTTGATAAGCAATGTTTGCAGCTATAAATGTGTGAACGGTCAAGGAAAACACTTTCAAAACAAGGAAAAATCCAAGACAATATAGAAACAAATTGTAACAATTGCTAATCTATAAGGGTGCAAAACTACGAAGTGTAATTCCTGATGCGATGTTTTATGGGAAGCGACCAACGACGAAGTGTTTTCTCCTTTCTGTTCATAGCTTACAAAAGACGCCATCCTTAGGTGAGGTAAGTCGACTGTTTCATTTTCAAGTGAGATTAGAAGAGTATTAACCGCCAAAACACGTCGCTTTTTTTAAGACGGCGGGGTTGTAAGATTGCATATAAACGCGGGTTATTTTTTTTTTACCCCACCTAAGCGGGTAACCTCACCTACCCGGGGTCCCCCACCTCCACGTAAACAGGCCCTTTTTCTTGCTCTCTTTTGTGCAACTGAATAAGGGTCATTAATATTGATACATCTGGGAGAGAGAGACCAAGAAAAACAACGACTTTTCACAGATGCTAAAGAGGCATGACCGAACATATATTCCCTATATTCAGACAACCGAAAAGGATATCCACACTGGCGAAGGATGGCTGTTGTGATAAGGATTGTTCCATTCTCCTGTAACTTCTTGTTCATTGACAGAAACAAATGGAACTTCTTTAGGTACCTTGAAAAGAAAAATAAAAGAATAAGAAAAAATTATCTTTCTTAGTCCGTATGCACTATATCAGCCTTTTTAAAGGAGCCACGTGACGAAATTTATCAAAAATATTCTGAGAGTGGGAAGTGCCACCAATTTGAGTGAAACATGAAAAAAAAACAAAAGAAAAAAAAACGTTCAAAACTTTAAAAGAAGGTATGGACAAACGTGAAGAAGATTAAAACGGATTACAATTGTGGTTTTTCAAAACTTGTTAGCCTAACGCTTTTTCAAAATTCTTTTTTGTTGTTTGTAACATTAGATATTACGCTTGCAGAGACATATTGTTTGACACAAAGTTGTGATTCTGTCAGTTACAAGAAATTTATTTGCTTAAGTCAAGTTCCATAGAGAATAATTAAGGTTGCGCAGTTCAGGGCAATTTATGAGAAAATGAACTTGAGAGCCGTAACACAACGCCTTCAAGGTTGCTTGAGAGATTGGGTCGGTGTTGCGTCGAATTGCACTATGGGACTGTTTCCGGGACGCCATGGCTGCTTGGCTGCTTTCATTGGCTACTACAAGATTGCGCAGAAAACTGGGTCCAAATTCCTTCTCCTAAATGCGGGGATACGTGGATACACAGTAGCTGCGCGACCGCGTATCCACTTTGAACATCGTAACAACATGAAGCACGTATTACTACTTGTCGTTCGTGAAGCCACTGAAAATGGAAAAGCGTATAAAAGGAATAACTGCGCGTCCACTTTTCCAGCTCTTCTATATGCAGCTTGAACGTTGAAGTGTATTCTGCAGTTACTTTTAGACCGCTGGACTTGCTTCAGCGACAATTGCTGGTTTGCACGTGACGTCACGGCGGCCATGTTGGCCATGTTCTCTCCTCTCTCATGCAAATTCTTCAAGAAAAAATTCTATTGTATTGACCCTCAATATGGCCGCCTTGTCACATGATTGCAAACCAAAAATATGATAACCAGGCTCCTCGAGATGAGAGTGAGTTCAAGAAAAGTGACTGGCGATGAAGCCTACCTCAGCAGATGGTATTGATATGGCTTGTCAGTACAGGTAAGGGTATAATAATTGCAAACGTCTCGAAATTATTGTTCGGAAGAATAAGTTGCCAAATTGCCGATAACACTCACCTGGATTGGTTGACAAAATTGTACAATGATTGTTGCCATGGTTTCATGACAACTCACATACAGGCAGGAAATATCCATTAACGGTCTTGCTAAAAGTAAATAAAACATCAAAAATTATTTTAATGCTATTAATTTGAACCTTAAAAGAAGGGAAGGCATATGATATACACTGAATGGCCAGCACGTAGACAGATTTATTTCACTAGAGTCACAGAATCAAGGGTTAAGAGTTTTATGGCTAAATTTATGCAGCCAAACGTGCAGAGAAAGAAAAAAATTCTCTTAAAAAAACAAATGCTCGTACTTTAGGCCTCTGTTATTGTTTGTCTCAAGACTGTCACTTTGTTATTGATTACGAAGTTTCAACCACGGTCTTCACCAACCCATTTTTTCTTTAATTATTACTAACACTGGTTGGCGGGTGGTAGGTGATGGGGGCATTCTGAACCTCACTTATTTTTGGTGGCTTTTGATCCTAAGCATTGCTACAAGATAAGCACTGCCAACTTATCGACTACCTACAACAAAACTTATTGTTTTATCAGAAGTTTGACCAGCATTCTAGTATTCAATTTGCACAGGTCAAGTAGGATCAGACCATGCAGAACTGCAAACTAAATTCTTATCACACTTGTTCGTCCATGATGTATGATCAACCCTCAATGAGCACAACTCAATAAAGCGACCACCCTATCCAAATCACTGACCTCTTCCCAGGTTTAAAGCACTGTACTTGGAAAAGACAGCCAAGATACCCCAAGTGGTTTAGTTCATGTAACCATCCATTTCTATGGTAACTATACCACCAAAGGAAAGTCACTGAATGCATTTGGTTTGTATTACAATCGTCATAAATCTTTTTTAATTCCATGATAAACGTACATTGTGGCTACTCCTTTAATTATAAAACAAAATTGAAGTTTCTCTTTTTTAATGTTAGATAATAGTTTTCAGCTTTAATTCCTACCTCTTCCCAAAAGCCATCTATGGTAGAACCAAGCACTTTGATCATAAGGGTCCGTAAAAAATGCATTCTGAGCAAGATCAAATTCTGAAACAGAAATAAATGTATCATGACCAAAGTAGGTGCACATTTCAGATCAATTTTCTGGGAAACTGCCTACCCACCCCTCTCCTAAACCAGCATTTTGCCCTAAGTGGGTAGGGGTAGGTGGGCAGTTTCCTAAAAAAGTAAATTGATCCCACATGGATCCTAATCATTTTAACAACAAACCTTATATGTGAACAATAATATTACTGGTTCATAAGTTGAAAATTAACTTTAACATAGTCAGAAACAAGCATTTTCTGCTAGAGACCTTTCATTAGTGCATTCTCTTCCACACGTTCTTTATCTCCTGATTGGTCAGGATGAATCAGTGGCAGCAGTTTACTGCGATAATGCCAGGAAGAATAGTTAGAAAAGTTCTCTTTGATCTTCTCTGTGCTGAAGTTGAATTCATCCTCTGGGGATATGTTTGCTTTTTTCACAGTATATCGTCTGTAATCCCAGCAGTGAACTGATGGAAGAAAAGTACACTGTCAAACGTAATAAACCCACTCATTTAGACGTACAGTTGACTCTCTCTTAACGGACACCTCTATAAGATGGACACCTCTGTAAAACGGACACTTAGAGTTGGTCCCTGCCTTTCTTTAATCCCTTTATTTGACTCTCTATAAAACAGACACCTCTCTAAGACAGACACTTAGTGCCGGTCCCAAAGGTGTCCGTCTTAGAGAGAGTTGACTGTATCTAATATCCATCTCGAATTATTTCTATAGTTAAACCTTTACAGTAGTGAAGCATAGAAATTCTGATTACCAGTAATCTTAATATCTTTTCTAAAAGGCCAAAATTCCAAAAAGAAAGCATAAAGGTAAATTGGAATTTCCAGAGGGGTAGGGGGTTCAAACCAATAAACCCTCAGTAGAAGGTGGGCCTGTATTTTGGATATTTTCTGAAAAAAATTCATTGGTGACAAGGTTCAAAAGATAAAATAGGTGAGAAGGCAAGAATAACAACTAAATTTATAATGCTCCAGGGTTTTTTTTTTGCTAATGTTAGAAATTTGGTTTTCTTTGTTTGAATCTGAGAAACATTGCATCCTTGCCTGCGATCTTTATCTCAAAAGTTTACATCAAAATGTTTGAAAATAATAATAAATGAACATACAATTTCTCTCATCATAAGAGAGGAACAAATTGCAAAGCCGCAGTTCTTCATTCCAGTCTGGTTGTGGCATGTATTCCATGATCCACTGTCTATGATGCCACACACTGTATGACTTTGGGTTCACTTGCAGACAATTCTTGAGGAATGACAGCTCTTTCTGGCAAAGCTTCAGCAATAAATCTGGAGGACTTAAAAAAGAAAACATGATAGCACTTAAAACCATTCCTAGGGTAGCAGGGACCTGCTACATGGCTTAAGAGACAAGATAAGTGGAGAGTGCGCAACACAAGGGCCATGAGTTTGTCACAGTGCACATGTAAACCTCATTCAATGAAGGTTACAATGTATCTATTCATTTTACTTTTTTTTGCAGTCTGTACATTTTTGGCTGAAGGTCTGTACCAGTGACACATCAAAGAGACCTTTTCAAATCCTGACAACTAAATCATTTCTTAACAATTTAGCTGTAATTATATGCAAATATTAAAGACTTCATTGAAATAAACCAATGAAAACTATTAGCAATATAATAATAATTCATTATAATACATACTTTTCATCTTTCATGTGGAGAAAAATCTCCCTTCTAAAGTTCCAGAGTGTAGAAAAATCTGGGTTTGCTGCAAGAACTTGTTCTGTTAAAGAGAGGGACTCCTTGTCCATCTCTCCATTTTTCCTCTGGAATAAAGAGAAAATAATAATAATCATCATCATCATCATCATCATCATCATCATCCTCATCATCATCACAGGAACCAATACCATAACTTCTGAAAATGTCAAACCCTCAAGCCCCCATAAAAATTATGATGCAACTCTGTCTGTTCAAAATTGCTGGTTGCATCCATTTCTAAATGATGTGCTTAACCCTTGTATTTTTAGACTTATTTTGCATGATGATACCCCATGTTTATGGTGATTTAATAGTGCTAAAGATTTTGGCATTGAATGCTGTATTCACCACAGTACAAAGATATTAGTTTTTTTCTAGATATATGTTTGAGCACAACCTTTATCTCTGGCCTTGTATCCTGAAGACCCTGAGTGAGACTAAATCTGCAATTTACACCACTCACTAAGACAATAAGCGTCACATCCCATTTAGAATAGCTACCTCACATTCATCAAGGGTATTTTGGATGAAATGATGAGTATATAAATTAATTTTCATATATTTGTACTATGAAATGAAAAAAATAAATCCAGAGAAGATCATCACAGTTAAATATGCAACCTATGCAGCAATGAAAAGAAAGGCTGAAAAAAATTCAGGTTTGCTGGGATTTGAACCCTGACCTCTGTGATACCAGTGCTGCACTCTAGCTAATTTAGCTAGCAAGCGAACTGGGAGCTTTTCATAAAATTGGTTCTTAATATACCTGGCAAGCCTGAATTTTCTTCAGGCCTTCTTTTCGCAACTGCATAAGTTGTGATGATAGTCTCTGCATTAATACTTCAAAAAATAAAATATACCTTTTCATAGATCCGATTGGTAGTTTGTTGATAAATCTTTAGTTTCTTCTCCCTTTCTTTTCTCTTTGCTTCAGCCTGTTCAGCTGTAGTGCGCACTTTGATCCGCCCATGCTGAGACATGAGTGAAAAAATTAGCAACTCAACCTATATTGGTATTACTAGCTTGTAGCTTCCTTTACTAGGTATATAGGTGAATTCTCTGGTGCTGCCGTCCTTGATGTCCGACATCGGGGGAGTGGGATGGGGATGGGCGCTTATTCGAAGCTGGGCACTTATTAACTTTTTCTGCCTTTAGGATGGGTGCTTATTGGAGGTGGGCGCTAATTCGAGGTTGGGCGCAGATAAATACTGTATATGTTATGAATAGGTTATGAATATGAAAGGATGTTCTTCAAATAATATGAACAGAAATTTGATTCACTAACCAAAAACGTTGATTCACCTTGATAGCTCCCGAGTTTTGCTATGTAATTCTGGCTTGATAAGCAATCAAGAAATGCATGCATGAAATTGAGAACATGCCTTTAAAATGCCCTGTCCTTGACAGATGAGCTAATCTGCTATTTTCAGTAAAATCCTCTTTGTAGTTTTATTCTGATATGAAACCGCGTGCATGTCAAAAGCTCGGGAATAGCCCTGGGGTTGGCAAATGCCCGGCCCCTGGGGAGTGCAAAATTTGCATATGCCCCACCCCTGGGACTGAAAAGGCAGGCAAATGCCAAGGAGCAGCCCCGGGGGGTGGGGGACGGCTGGGCGCAGCTGGAATTGACTGATGCAATATGATATGCACAAACAAACAAACGATTCATAAATCACAACAGGTATCCTGATTTAATCCGTTGTGGACAAAGAAACAAAAACCAAACATATAAAACATATGCTTATTTAGGTTTCCAACTGAACAGCTCAATTTTTTTTAGCTTCTTTAAATCGATCGGTACCATACTGCAGTGAAAACTGACAAAAAAAGCTCATTGCATGCGTGCGCCAATTAACCTTCAAGAAGAACCGAAACCCCTCATGATTACGACTGCGATCACTAAGCGCGTGTAATCCTTTAACTCAATGAGAAGAACTTAGTATCAAATAGTTTTAAGCTGTTTAGGGGCTTACCATATTAATGTTCGATGGTGATCTTTGTGAAAGTGACGGCTCACTCCGCCATGTTGTTTTTAGCCGTGAGAGACTAGAGACTAGAAACTGCAGTCATGTTGCACAGCGGGCAGTACGATACGTCATGAGAGGTAAACGGTCGGTTAAGCAGACAAAAGAGCATCAAATCAATTCGCGATCATTCACTCATGTTCTGGACAAATAATTGTGTTTATTTCTTCATTTATATCGAATTTTGCACTAAGGGTACCCCTCAACTTTCTGCTTAAAGCCAAAGGTTCCATCGGTCCCGAATGTTTTGTAATTCGTAAAGAAAGCTAAAGAGGCCAAGGGCCCAAGGGAACATTTATAACGCTCTTTCACGATCGACACGTCACCCTCTGTTGTCAAGAACAATTAAACTTAAGTACAGTTGTTAATTTAACTGCTGGCTCATGGATGAGGACCTAAATGCTCTTCATGACCCCGTGGATACTGCAGCAAACTTTGAGAATATGGGTATAGTTGCTATGTTCATTCAGCTCGTTTCGTGGATATCATCTGCTGCAATGATTATCGGCGGTGTTGTTCCTTATGTACCGCAGTATTGGGACATTTGGCAGACTCGAGATGCCGAAGGATTTTCAATGCACGTTTGTTTAGCGTTAGTTGTTGCCAACATATTAAGAATATTCTTTTGGTAAGTGTTTTGAGAAGACATAATTTTCTCACTGTTGTGCGACAAACGCAGATTGCAGACTTCCAGACTTGCAGGTGAACAAGATAAACATAATGCTGTGAAATGCTCCTACAGATTCCGTATCCCTAAACTAGACTTTGAGAAGACTTAAAGTTTAGCGATAGGGAATCTGGGAGAGCATTTCACAACAATGTTTACCTTAAATGAGGTTTGTGATGCACCAATCACTAACAACCACGGTGGTACAATAGTTTGACTCAGTAAATCGACTGCAGTGTGCAGTCAAAATATAGCAATCAACATCAAAGTGACAATTGTGAGGAAAATGATAAAACTAAACCCTTCATATACATTATCCTCGAAGATTAATGTCTTTCATGACAATGTTTACCTTGTCTACCAACCAGTCTGCAAGTGTGCATTCTGCTTTTGTCATACACCATTTTCTCACAGCATTGCAAATTAAGCTACTTAATGACTGTGTCCATTGGTTACAACTAAGGAAACCGTTATTGCATTTAAAGCACCAGATATAGATTTATCTTGCTAGTGGACAGTGTTATCCACTTTTTGAACTGGCAACAGGACTATTACCCTGCTTGAACTGTATGTCCCAACAAGGAAAGAAATCTTGTATGTTCTTTGTTTGTAAAACAAGAACAAATTAATATGGCCCTACTCGGTACACATAGTTATAATGCTAATTGGAAGAGATTATGTTAGTGAAACCATTAAAAAAACATAATATCATTTTTTAAAATAATTTTTGATAGGTTTGGACGTCATTTTGAACTGCCACTATTAGCTCAAAGCTTTATCATGATTGCTGCTATGATGATGATGTTACAACTTTGCACCAAAATCAGAAGAGAGAATGATTTGAGTGCAAAGAAAAGATCTTTTTTCGGTGAGTAAATTGATGAACAAGTTGCTAGAATGATAATGTTCAATTATAATAATTTTCTTAATTATTAAGAAAATATGTTTGAACAGACCAGCCACTTGCATAAGCAGACAGCACTACTGTAGCCTTGGCTAGAATAACAAAACCATTTATTTAATTTTTTTGGTGAACCGCTTTTGTAATGGACGCTTTTTCTGTTTCCCAAGGATTTCATCTTACATAAAGTACATAAATTATCTGATTTATGAGGGCCCCACTGAAAACCGCCTTGGTGAGTTGGACTCCCTCTATAAATATTGATATTATTATTATTATTATTATTATTATTATTATTATTATTAATAATAATAATAATTAAATTTTAACATATTGGTTTTGTTGCTGTTTTTTCTTCAGATTTTCACAGAAGACACTTTTGGGACTGGACGCACTTTTCAGATTACGTGCTCTGTGTACTGATATTCATTGCAGTTGGTGGTTACATCACATACTTGTTCCTGAGCTTTACTGCATTTGTAGAGCTTATAGGATTCCTAGCAGTGTTTACAGAGGCTATGCTTGGAGTCCCTCAGTTTTACAGAAATTACATCAATCAGTCAACCATGGGAATGAGGTACTTTTCAATAACTCCAACCATCTTGGTCTCTCTATCATATCAGTTCCTTAGGGGTTGTTCTTTAAAGACCCTTATATTTAATAAATTTTAATTTTGTTTTAAGAGGACAAATTTTTACAATAAATTTTTTAAAAGGAACTTCATAATCAAAAATGTTTTTAAACTCAATATAATAAATTATATTCCTTAGATATATTCCTATTATACAGTCGACTCTCTCTTAATGGACACCTCTATAAGATGGACACCTCTGTAAAATGGACACCTAGAGTTGGTCCCTGCCTTTGCTTATTCCCTTTATTTGACTCTTTATAAGACAGACATCTCTCTAAGATGGACACTTAGTGCGGGTCCCAAAGGTGTCTGTCTTGAAGAGAGTTGACTGTATATGTTACAGGTCAAAATTAACTTAAGGTTAAAATTTTCTCACCTAGGTTGATTCTCAGTTTCCTTTGTCTCCTAACCCTGTCAGATTATTCATGAATTAGGGCTAGGAGGCAAACCTGGTAGAGTGGGTGGGAGGGGGGGAGGGTTACTAGACCCAATTTTTGTGCAGGAAGGCTCTCCATAGAGGCTTAATCCCTTTCTCTTTCTGACAGAAAAGACACCCGCTGTCATACTCTGAGTTCATTAATATTATTAACATTATACTTATTATTCAATTCAAATTGTGTCAGGCCCTTTTGAAATGTACCTGAAAGACAGAATTCTTTACCCTTTTGTAATACATACACCTAATTGCAATAACGTTGTCTTAAAAAAATGACAATAGGAAAAAGCCAAATAGGAATTAAATAGGCTAATTAAGCCACATTCTCATGGTAGATTCATTTGCAGCCGTTGCATTTCCCCGCTGGAATTTTCAGTTTTATTGTCTTTCAGCTTTAAAACAATAGCAAATTCCAACAGGGAAATACAATGTCCATGTGTGGATGCTGCAAATAAAATTTAATTTATTAGGCTTATTAGCCTAATAAATTCCTATTTGGCTTTTTCCTTTTTTTTATTTTTCTATGACAACGTTTTTGCAATTAGGTGTATAGCTAAAGCCTGAAAAGTACCCTCCCAAAGACATACAGCCTGTTATTGGGATATTTATAAATGGTTATAGGACTGAGTGGAGTCCAATTCAGTCTGTGATCATATTTAAAGAGTGATTTTAAAACAAAATCGGATGACTGCGTAGAGGGAGTCCAATTTATTTAATCACGAGTATGATTACAGACTGAATTGGACAACATGAAGTTCTATTACCAATTAATCATAACTATAACAAAATCTGTGATATTTTAGGTTTTTAAAACTTACTTGCTAGCAGTGAAAAAAAAAAAAACATTTAAGTGTGCACAATGGTGCATACTGTCCATTTACGTACTTAGGCATAACATAAACTGTCCTATTACACTGTCTTATTAATGCTGAAATCAGGACAGTTGATAGCTATAAGATTTGAGAATGTTATTATAGTTATGATTACTAGGATTATGTCATATTTCACTTAATGTGCTTCCTAAATCATGTGATAATTTTATTATATTTTGTATCAACTTGTAGCCGCATTTCTGTCTTCCTCTTTTTTGTTCACAGCGTAAAGATGGTTGTGATGTGGTTATCAGGAGATATATTCAAAACTTGTTACTTCATTGTCAAAGTTGCTCCAATTCAGTTTTGGATCTGTGGAATGCTCCAGATATCTATTGACATTGCAATACTTTTTCAAGTTCGAAAGTATCGCACACAAGAAAGAACTCATTTAAGATGACCGTAAAAATACTGGTATTATAGCTAAGGGTAGGGGGATAGACAATCTGAAATGTAATTTATTATTTAAAATTTAGTGCTATTGTATTTGTAAATAAATGGACAGATAAAGAGTTCTCTTGTTCTCGTCTTCTGTTTATGAGAAAAACATATAATTTGATGTTGTCCTAAATGGTATATAGATTAAAACAGCTGCAAATTGAGCCTGTTTGTGAACACATCTTAGCCCAGAAAAATGAAAGAACGCATCTACAAAGAATGAAAATCTTGTTAGCTGGAGTATCAGGCATTTCTGGACGAAAGGACTGTGGAGAAGACCTGATACTGAGGCTAAAATCCTGTCAGCTGGAAAGTTGAATGTCAAGGATAGCTGACCGTGAAAGTCCTGTCTGTTTGCTGGGCATATATGTTGTTAACTATAGAACCTTCCTAAGTGAAGTTTTTTTGGGAATGTTGAGGAATTTAAACTGCAGAATAGTGAGAAAGACCTGTTGGGTTAATGTAACTAGCTCAAATAGTTGGTAAATTATAGCTGTAATGTGTGTTAACATGGAATCTGCAAATTTTGCTACCTATATATACATGACAAGAGAATATTAATGCACAAATAGTGGAAATGCAGAGAATTTAATCCACAAACAAGGTGGTGAAATTAGTAGGTCTGATGTCAGCATGCAGTGAGCAAAGAAAGTCTTGTCCGATAGCTGGGGGTTAGTGGATTTTGCTATTGAGGTAGTGATTTTTGTTCTTACCTTGTTCAACGGGTAAGAGCTGTTTTTTGGGAAAACTCAAATTACAGATGGATTGTAATCAATCCTGCTGATCAAAAAGGGTTTTGGGGCTAGTTGAAATGACTTGTGGGCTAGTACATGCTAGCTACAGTTTGCCCAAATGGCAGGCTGTAAAACTGTCTTTCTTTTGCACCCTGGCATGCATATGGACTGTTGAAAAAATGGTCATCTTTGCGCCAAAGTCCAGATTTCAACCCCATCTATTCTACAAAGTACAACCTTGTCTGCCAGTAAAAGAGTAGACTGCAAAACAGTCTGTATTTTTGCATGCTCAAGTACCTGCGAGCAGTCAAACAAAAGGTCTGGAATGAGGCTGAAAATGGAGAGCGAGACCAGGGATAGACTTTCTCTCCCCTCACATGCTCTGCAGGCATGTAAAGCTTGTGCACTTCGCCCAGCCTCATACCCAGTGATCCTCAGCAATTTCAGATGTGACGTCACCTGTCAAGCTTGTTGGGAAAATTTGCGCTATCGCACTCGTTTCGAAGCCTCCTCTGGTAACTCGGAGAACGTGAACTGGCCCGGGTACGAGGCTGCACTTCGCCTAAGCAACGCTTAACCGGAGAAAAAAGCCCGACTGTTTAGCAGTCTGATAAAAGAGGCCCTCTTATGGGGGTATACATATTATGTACCAAGTTTGAATTTCAAAACCCATTGTTTCACATATTTTGAAGAGCAAGCCATGTCCTTGTCAGTGTTTCACTACAATTATTGTTTTTGCACTTGTCTCTGTCACTTTCCAGCCTCAACCCATCTTTGTGTCATTTGCCATCATTTCTTCTGTCTTATGTCGCTGCTTCAAGGCATGCTAAAAAAGGGGGATTTTAGGGTATCAGCTTTTGGTCCAAATTTGAAGCCTAGCTAGGCGACGCATGTCTACCACAGGAATACTTACTCATTTTCATCCAATCCTTCCGCAGGACGATGGATGGTAAGCCTGTGGTACAAGTTCCAGCGTGAGGTCTGGGCAGGGGTCTGGGTTTGAATAATCTTGTCAGTGGGATTCGTGAGCTCGTATTTTAAACCACTCGCGCCTTCCACGATAATATATTTTGACTCACCTCACTGCTGAGTTTCTAGGTTCAAAATTTGAACATGAAATGCTTCGAGAATGATGTTAGATGAAAAAATCGGCCTAAAAACGGCCTGGCTTACTGACGGATTTTCGATATAGAGATCGATCCACGAGCATGTTTTCGCGGGTAGCTTTTGCACGGACCACGCGTGCGCTTAGGCTTATTTCTCTGCAGTTAGCCAATCAAAGTGCAGCATTACGGACGTGCGAGGGTTTTTTCTCGTGTTCGAAAATGGCCGATGCCGGCGGTGAAGAGAAGCTGAGCAAAAAGTGAGTATTTTGTTTAATATTTTGTGACGATATTTAGTGTTTACCAACTATTTCGTCAATTCATTCAACGTTATTGTGTTTTCGGTCATCAGTGAGCTTAAAAGGAGGCTCAAGGCTCAGCAGAAAGCCAAAGAAAAAGAGGCAAAGGAAGCCCTGAAGGTAATTTTTGTCCGCCGTTTCGTGACCGTGAAACACGTGGTCAATGTTGGTTTCAACTTTGCACTTACGAAAGCGTTGATTTCTCAGGCGCAAAGCGGTGCAGTGGCCCAAAACAAGAAGAAAGATGAAGTAGATGAGGAAACATTGGATCCCAATGTAAGCTTAAGTAACAAGCCCTTTCACGTTTTTGGAGTTCACTCCTTCAGCCGAATACATGTGCATTGCTCTTTTGTGCCTGTATAATTAAAATTGCAAATATTATTGTACCTCACAATTCTCTAAAGCTAATTTTTTGAATGAGTTTTAAACTTTGCTTGGTAAAAGTTGAAATATACGTACACGCCTTGTTTCTAAAAATAAAAAATTCTTCCGCCCATTGCTAAGCATTGCATCACCCAAAAATTTCCCGGAAAATGACCCGTGGTGATCTTGTCTCCCTTGTAGGATCCGTTGCCCCGTTTTTTATGTGCTTATCCTCTCCAACTCGTTTTGCTACCCACTTAATGTTGCGATGGCTTTCTGTTTAAAAAAATGATCATATAACAATTAAACCCCATTTACCATCATGTTTTAACAGTTTGCTTTGTCTTTTTATGTGTTTTCTTGGGGGAGGGGGAGGGGATTTTGGGGCTGGATGGAGAATTTGAGGACGCAGTCTGGTACATGCATATAATTCTCTATTTGATATTCCTGTGGGCAAGCCCTAAAATCAAAGTCTCACATCCATCCATTCACTGGTGAGACTCATGGAAATGATTGGAGAGCAATGATATCAAGAGCCCAGCTGGGTGATTAGTGAAATAAAAATTGATATCCCCTCCCATTACGTGTAACTCTTGCATCATAGTCTGATGCCCCATCTATTCACTGGCGAGACTCAGGGAAATTAATAGAGAGCGATAACATCTAAAACTCAGGGTGACCAGTTTATCAAAATGTTCTCTATTTGATATCCCCATCGACAAACCCTTAAATCAAAGTCTTGCATACATCCATTCACTGGCAAGACTCAGGGAAAATGGAGATTAGTAATTTAGAGATTTAGAGTCACTCTTTTTTTCGTGTACTATTCATTACTTCTACTCCAAAATTATTAGTTCCACACTAGTTTTTTTGAGCTGTTTTTACTTGCATATTTTCTGTTTTGGGAAATCTTCGATTTGAATCTGGTGTTTGCGGTAAACTTTTCTCTTATATCAAAAGCACAGGGTGATTGGTAAAATAAAAGTAAATGATCCTTGACATAATGGCTATAATCATTTTGCCTTGTTGTTTTCTCAGCAATACTACAAAATCCGAAGTCAAGCTGTTGAAGCTTTGAAGGCCACTGATGAATCACCTTATCCTCATAAGTTCCATGTTTCTATCTCTCTTTCGGAATTCATTGAAAAATACAAAGATGTTGAGGATGGCACATGGAATGATGATCTTGTCTCTGTTAGTGGTGAGTTTAAAATTTGTTTGTTTGGTTGGTTGGTTATCATTATATTTTAATCATAAGTAAAGGAAAGTATTATTCAACCGGCGGCTGTCATTAAGTTCTGCAGGCTGGGGATTTTCCAGAGTCATGATAAACATGATTCCTGAGTGGTCTCAGAGGAAAAAAGAAAAAGAAAACCAAAAGAACCACCTAGCTGTTCAATTTTCCACCTACTAACTGCATATACCAGGAAACTTGAAATCTTAGTGATATTCTCACTTGTAAGGTTGTGCTGTAGGTAGCCCAGTTTTTGGAACTGTCTGTCAAATCCAGGGTGCCCTGAGTATTTGATTTTTACCAAAAAAATCTGGTGACTTCCTGGTAAGGTGCTGCCAGAGCTCAGCCTTGTTCGTGACATAGCAGGAATCAATCATTATTGTTTTTAGGTTATACAATAGTATTATTATTGGACTAAATTTTTTCTAATTTATGCAAACCCTAGGAATGTGAGAAAGTGCAAGTGGTGTTTATATAGTCAATTATAGCCCTGATAATCATTAAAACTTGCGTAGCAGTATTATGGGGTTAGTGCACTAGGTCATTTTAGGCTTTTCCTATAAGGCTAAATCTGTGAGCAGGCAAGTTGATGTGATTCCTCTGTTCTGATTAGCTACCCTCGTGGGTCTTGCCTGCTCAGGATTTCCTGCATTGGTCCCGCAAGAAAAAAATTCTCATTCCCTCTGCCAGAGTCATTCTATGAGCTTTAATAAAATGATTTTAATTCACTGAATCTCTCTTATACAGGTAGAGTCCACGCAAAGCGTTTGTCAGGAGCCAAACTTATATTTTATGATTTAAGAGGAGAAGGAGTGAAAATTCAGGTTATGGCAGATGCCAGGGCTTCAGAGCAGGATTTCTTAGCTGTACATAATAAAATACGACGCGGGGATATCATTGGAATAAAGGGAAAGCCAGGTAAATGAAAAATCACATTAGTTAATAATCTTTTTATTTTTTCCATTTTAACGCAATTGTGAAGAAGTATAACACTCCTGGGTCGGGTTGTTCAAAGCAGGGTTTAAGATAACTCAGGTTTAGTACAAAATTTCAATTCAGATATGAAAGCTTAAAAAGCGAATTCAGTTTTATTCTTTTTGTCCACTATTTGATGATTTGATGCTCTAAACAGAATTGAGAAAATTATCTGGAAAAATGCTTTTGAACAAAAGAAAAAGAAACCAGGGTTAATATTAATTTTAACCACTGGTCAGCGCTAATTGGCCTTCGAATGACTGGGCCCTGAAGAGTAATGAACATAAAATTAATAGTTATAAAATGTCATCACTTTTGGCACCAAGCTTAACAACTGCCATCTGTCATTATTTCATAACCACTCACAATATCTTCATCACTGCTGACAGACACCCTAGCAGTATGCCAGATGTATCACTTTCAAACTTAGTAAAGTGGCAACTTCAACTTTTGGTAAAAAAAGTTGTCTTTAAAAGTCATTGACTTCTAAACATATCCCACAAATTAAAGTCTTGTAACTTTTTTATTATTTTTCTTTTTTTGCAGGCAAAACAAAGAAAGGTGAACTGAGTATTCTGCCATCTACTGTTTCACTGTTATCACCTTGTCTACACATGCTTCCACATCTCCACTTTGGACTTAAAGACAAGGTATTAATAAATTTGAATTTTTATTTATTATGCTGTCTTAATGTGCCATCATTCTAGGGAAAAATATGAACTGACCCATGTAGAGAATGATTAGGATTAGATTAGGCCACTTTCAATTTTCAGCTGTATCAATCCGTTTTGTCAGATTTGAAGACCTCAAGCCTGTGATAGAAGACCACAAGGTCATGTGGTTACTGTAGCTGTCAATTCTTTGCATTTGTTCAATGCCGTGCAATAAAGTACCACAAACAGTCATGTAGTAAGTACCTGACAGGGGAATTACTTTATGGCTTAGTTTAGTAAATGTTTATGAAACCACCCATATTGCTTTGTGGTCTTGTTGTGTCACCCTTCTGACATCATAAACTTATAAAAGCCTGTGTATAATTTTGTTCAAAATTCAGGTTTGGTTACAAGTTCCTTCATTATATTCCTCTTAATCTAAGATTAAGGGGAATAGAATAAAGAAAATGGTTAATGTTACCTTACACTAAAATGTTGATGTATTTTCTTTTCAGCACCTTAAATATTTATTATAGTTTTTAAGGGAACGCGTCCAAATATCGGTAGGGAACCCGATCATGGGAAACGGACCCGATTAATTTTCCGATTGATAGGAATCGGTACCGATCTATAGGCACCAGTTGCCGTTTCCGATTACGATAAAAACTTTGCCGATTCAATCGGAGCCGGTTGACATTCCGATGTTCATATGTGTCATCGTCATATTATTATTTTTATCTGATATGTAAAATGAAGCGTGTCACGAACCAAATAATGAAAGAGTCGTTTCACTCCAAAATAATTTCAATCGACTGTACCTTTTTCCTACTCCATAACAAATAGCAATATTGTATGTTCCTGCATGTTGTGTTTCGAGTTTGTTGATTTGATGCGTGCCTATACACATGATTTTCGGCGTTTTGCAGAGGTATTTTCTTCAGTCGATCGCAAACACCACGCTGCTCCATAACATTAATTATTCTATGAAAATTAAAAGGAGTTAAATATTACGAAGCAAAACACCACTGTTCTTCGTTGATATATAGCAAGCAAAACACCTTACTGAGTAGTGTGTTCTTTACTCGATACTTTCTAACAATGCAATCCAAAAACACAACCGGAACTCACTTTTCCGAAACGCAACTGGATTCATAGACTTGTTACAAGTAGACCTCGACGGGTTTCCTAGCAAGCGGAGCGAGAGCAAAACCATGGATAATATAAAACCACGGGATAAACTTTTACGAAAATTTGCGTCTTTCATTCAACGATCCTAAACGCAAGGTGTAATGCGATCTGAGGGAAAAAATACTGACCAATTAGATTGCGGCCTTAGATTGTCTCCCGGGAATTAGCAACAAGAACTGAAAGATTCCCACACTCGCAAGTCACGGAAGACACGGAACGAAGTTTCATGCAGGAGCTACCAAAGAGAGAATGGCTTAGCGACTTTGCTGTATGTTCTGTGAGCTTGAGCATGGTGCCACGTGAAATTGCTTTCCACTCTCAGCACTTAGAAAAATTTGCACTTGACTCTAGGTGGCTGACTTTTTGACAAAAATCAGAACCTTTTTTCCCGGAGTGTTCCATTAAAGCAAACTGTGCATACATCCGGTAAGTTCGACTCAATTTAATAGCGGAAAGAGAATCGAGAAAGAGAAAACCAGTTGAACGCCTCCATCAGTCACTTTTTTGAGTTCATATGCAACCAATAAACAAGTTGCAGCCTGATTCTCAGACGATGTCCTCTTCTCTCCTGTGGCAATTTAGCAGTTAAAGTACACAACATGGTAACAACATTTGCATTTTGGTCGTGGATGTTCTGACTTCTATTTTTTTCGTTTACAGTCCTAAACTGTTTATTCCTCCAAAGATTCCTATAATCATACGTTTTGGGTTCCGGTTAGCACAGGCTCAAGCTATTTTAAAATTATCATTTTGAGATCGTACACTTGCAATGTACATTGCGCCGTCTTTCACTCAAAAGATGCTCTTCAGCGTTTTTGAATGACCTGTAGTTAATTTTCTTCTCGTGCCCATTTTGATACACAAATTTAATATTTTCTGGTCATACGTTGTCATAGGAAATACAAACAAATGTTCGAAACTGTGATGTTAAATTTCGGTTCAAACAAGACACATTCATAAGAAAGATAAGGTTATAAAAAACAACATTCACGCTTTTGCTTTTGCTTTTGCTTTTGTGACGGGTTATTTGAGCTGCCAGATATTTTTGATGACCTTTGTTAATTGGCCCGATAAAGACTTGAGACCCGTTGCCGATTCCGTTTCATTCGGTGCCGATAAAATCGGGTCCGACCTTCAACGGAATCGGAAAAAATCGGTGCCCAATTGATCGGCATCGGTGTGACCCGATGCCGATATTTGGACGTGTTCCCTAATTTTTATCAAAACAGGGCTATTTGAACTGAAGCTTAATTGATGTTCAACCTTTCTTCAACTCGCACACATTGAGGGAGATCTTATTCTCATTATGTCGCAGACCTTCTTTCAGTGTGTTTCACTTGGTTTTTACAATACTTTTAGTTTCAAACCCCTCTCTCGCACTCAAACAGGCTTAAGGAAAATCTATGAAAAGGAGATACAGTGCTACATGTTCCCTCAAGACTGACACTGGAGGATTTATCGAGTGACGGTCTCTGCATGAATGTACAGTTGTGTGGAGCAATAAGCAAGATCATTGCGTGCATTTGGATTCTTTCTTTACCTAGCTCTTAAATAATAGTACTATTTCTTTATGGTTAGCTGTATCACATGTTTATATTTTTTTTTTCAGGAAACAAGGTTTAGACAGCGTTACCTGGATCTCATTCTCAACGAAAAAGTTCGGGAAAAATTTGTTGTCAGAGCAAAGATCATCAACTACATCAGAAAGTTTCTTGACAGTTTAGGGTTCTTAGAAGTAAGTTACAAAACCTACTGGAAGTTGTGTCATCTTACGCTTCTGGGCTTCTGATCCTCAAACCCACCCCCCACCCCCACCTCACCCCACCCACCTGGAATTTCTAATCCCCTTTGTGGGGAAGGCATGGATCATAATTATGTTCTGGAACCACATGTGCACTCCAATTACAGTGTACAAGGAAAACCAGGCAAATTATATATTAATTTTCCTTTAGAACTTTTCTGGTGTTATTCTGTTTTAAAATGGATGATACAGTGTCATAAAAATACTAAAATGCAGGTATTAAACCTAAAGTTGAGTAATCTAATGTGTTTTCTTCATGTTGTTAAAACAGGTAGAAACACCTCTAATGAACATGATTCCTGGTGGTGCTGCTGCCAAACCTTTCATTACACATCATAATGAGCTGAATATGGATCTTTACATGAGAGTAGCACCAGAACTTTACCACAAGGTAACCAGATTAACTGTGTAACTAGTTATCTTACCAAGTCTGGTACTCAAAGCACATTATTAACAACCATCTACAGCTGTTCCAGTAGCAAATGTTACTTCCTTTTCTTCTTCTCCTTTGCTTCTTTCTGTTTTTCTGCTGATCAAACCAAGTTTTCTTTTTCAAATCGACTTATGTTAACAACAACAACAACATTCTTCATTATACTCACTCTTGTTTAACGATAAATTGCAAGAATGAAAATAATATAATATGAAAGTAAAATTAAAGTATTGAATGTTATGGTGAATACTGGCCTCTCTTCAGGAATAGATTAAATTATTGTCATAATCTTTACTTCTCAAAAACAAATTTATAGTATAATAATTATGTACATGTAGGTCACCTCTGTGTGTAATATCATTATTGTTCAAGTTTTGATAGAGGTCAGGCTGCTGAATGTTGTCCATGGAACATACTGGTAGTTTGTTTTTATTGACTTATTGCTGACTTACTAAGTTGTTAAAACATGTTTTTGTTTTACTTGTAGATGCTTGTAGTTGGAGGTATTGACAGAGTGTATGAAATTGGAAGGCAGTTTAGAAATGAAGGTACACAATATAATGTCATTATTTTCGCAGAACATTCACCTTATTATCATCCATAATGACTTTAAAACAATTATTATTGAACCACATGAGATACACCTGGCAAAACTACAGCCACTAACTCTTACATGCACATTAAGACTGTGTTTCACTAGCAAGAGAGTCAAAATGTCTTTGGCTTGATGGAGTTAGAGTTGAAAAAAATTATCAGAACAGGTCCACTTTTTTCCAACATTGCTTACGACTCTGTGGCTTACCAATAGGTGTAAAGGAAGACCAGATTCTTGGACATGCAAGCAAAATTGAAAGAATAAACTGATCACCATTCTTGTCACCATGCATTGTGCATGGTTGGTGTAGTTATTAGTTCTTTTACGGCTGTCCAACAATCTGGACTTGTAAGTAGAGTCAGATTGCAGTTTTCTCCTCAAGATCATAAAACTGTGTGCTTCTGATTAAGACTCTGACTCCATTGCTACTGCATTTGTAAGATCATCATGGAACACTAGTTCACATGTTTGTTTTTACCCTAATCTGTCTTGTAGCTGGTAAAATAATTGCTCCTGAGGCTACTGCTTACAAACCAAGCCTATGGCAGGAGCCACCTTTTTTCTGGCCTTATCCTGACACTCCCTTGCAGCAGTCCCTTGTAGCACTTGGCAAGCTTTTACTTCACATTGTTTTACAGGCATTGACATGACTCATAATCCAGAATTTACCACTTGTGAGTTTTACATGGCCTATGCGGATTATAATGACCTTATGGAGTTAACAGAAGTTATGTTATCAGGTTTGTAACCAGTTGATGCTGCAGTGAAATAAGACCCTAAGTGACTCCTGATGCGATAAGAAAGTCTTCCTTTGATTTGCAAAGATGCACATGGCAAAATGGAAGGAGAATCTGTGGCTTTAATTCAGGCACTCCCTCTAACCCTTTGAGAATTAAAGGGATTATTGCATGCCTTTAGATTTCATGGCAGAATCATGATTTTAACCTTTTCTCCCATCAAGCACTTGAATATTTTTATATTATCTTTTTCCTTGGAGGCTCTTCCCATAAATTTAAGAAAAATTTTTCTTTCATTTTTATTCGGTTCAACAGTAGTTTGTGTTGAACATTATTTTTACTACACAGTCTCCACTCTTCTCAAGGGCAGATTTGGGTGCTCCTTCTCTACGCTTCCCCTTTCTCAACCAAAATACCTCTTCTTTACCTAAAAAACCATTGAAAATACAGGAAAACAGATCAAATGTGTCACAGAGTAGTGAATGCTTTGTGCTAGTACAAAAGGTACTTGTATTCACTCAGCTGTGGCTCAGCTCACATACAAAATTTCTAAATCGCTCCTAGCTTGCTTCAAGCATTCTGTGCACCTGTTTCTTATCGTTTCTACATGTGTTACCTTTTTTTAAGGCATGGTCAAGGCTCTGACAGGTGGTTATGTGGTTACATATCATCCCAATGCAACTGATCCAGAGAACTTGGGTGAACCTCTCACAGTTGACTTTACTCCACCCTTCAGAAGAGTGCATATGGTCCCTGACCTTGAAAAGGCCATGAATGTCAAGTTACCTCCACCATCAGAATTTGGAACTCCAGGTACTGATTTGTAATTTAATAGCAAACTGTTTAACTGTTGACAAATCAAGCTTTTCAGGATTTGTTATGAGTTGTAGATTTTTTTTTAATAGTGATAAACTCAACTGCCTTTTTTTCATTCCAGAGGCCAGACAAATTTTTGATGACTTGTGTGTCAAGCATAATGTCGATTGCAGTTCTCCTAGAACAACTACAAGACTGTTAGATAAGGTATGTATGTCCTTTTCTTGAGCAGATCTAGGCCAGCAGGCAGCTCTTCTGGAATTACCGTAATACTACAATGATGAGTTATTTTTTTCTGGACATGCACAACCCAGTTACCCCTAAATCCCAGATGCCCCAGATGGATGCGCGTTTTGTGCTTGCATTTTAGGAAAAAGCCCCTCTTTCTTTCAACTTTATCCCTCAGGAGTTATTCTCAACACAAAGAGAAAATTACGTACAGTTGAACCTCGATAAAATGAAGGGCCAATGGACTGACAAAATCTGTTCGCTATAACAAGGTTTTGTTATATCGAGGTTCATTATTGAGGTTCCACTATCTCAGTATTACCGCTTGGTTATGTAATACATCCACTAAGCTCTGTTTATTCACATTGCATTGTTGCGTGGTAGATGCAATTTTTGGAAAAAATAGTTTTTTGTGACCTGTTGTTTCTGCAAATAAAGTTACGTAGTCCCTCGCTCTCTCTGGATGAACATGAAAAATACTTTATTTTATTTCAAACATGTAGCAGCTATGAGAAAGCCAATACATCATGTCATTGGAAAAATAACCTCACTGGGCATGTGGCATAGCCTCTAGGGCCATAACTGTCAACTGAATCACGTGAGGTGAAATCAAGACCCAAGTTAATCACAGCTCTTCCTGTATAATGGATTAAGGCTGTTTCATGCCTTGGGAACATAACATAATGTGTGTTAAGTACTAGACTGCTCAAAATGTAGTCCTCACAAATTTCCCTGACTTGTGTTGATATTTGATCAGCTTGTAGGTGAATTTCTTGAAGAGACTTTTGTCAGTCCAACATTCCTCATTGATCATCCCCAAATCATGAGTCCATTGTCAAAGTGGTGAGTACTGTGTTCCAGTATTTTTCATCCAGTTCTGCTAAAATACCAGTAATACCCATGTTTTTTTGAACCCTGAATACAGTCCCTTATGAAAACACAGGTTGATGTTATTTTGTGTAATAGTGCATTCATTCATTTTTTGTACTTCCTTCCCATCTCAATGCACACATGTATACACACTGACACACACAAAAGGTTAACACTTTGTCAATGATTTTGCTACCTCTGCGTCCTGTGACCCTGACGCATAAAAATCCCCAAAGGCGCAAAATATTTCAATACATGCATCCTGTAGGACGCAAAGATCGATCCATCTGAAGATGTTTTTGAAGAAAAATCCTGTTTGTTCGATTTCTTTGGCTGTTAATGTGGTTGTGAACTGAGACTCGATGGTTCTGGACTGGGACTCACAATTTTTGACAACATGGGTCCCATGTCTCACCATAACTTTTTCTTACAAAAACACTGCTTTGTCTGCTAAAATTTTAAATGTCAATGGATGCAGTTACTTGAGGGAATTATCACTTGCCGTTTTTGTTACTAATAATACTCGTTGTAACTTATCACTGTTCTTGTTGTGTCTAAAACATAAATGGTCTGCATAAAACTCCCTTCAGGAACAATACCAGAAACCCCTTATGAGTTTCTGACAATACTAAATATGTTGTCAGCATCACCAGGCAAATTGACTGTAATGTAGTAAGGGGTCGACCATTTGATGTTTGAGGAGTGGGGGGTGGTTTGGGTAAGATTTTTTATTTCCCAAACCTCTGGAGATGTATTGTTTTTCCCCCGTCATGCCCTGTATAGCAATGTAAGATTTTTTACAGGATTATATGCCACGAGAGATATTTTTTTCAGTCCAGGATTTTTTTTCATCAGGTATTTCCTTGCCAGATTTTTTCTTCCCTCGAAATCAGTCTGCAAGGATATTTTTTTCTGAAATCTCCCATACCCCAAATCACCACTCAACAGTCAAATGGTCGGCCCCTTAGCTCAACTGCTTCTGAGAAACACATAATCATGGTATTAACAAGGCAACCAACACAGAGTCATTTTTTTTGGCTGGTGTGAATGCTATTAGAGAAATAAATAGTTTTTCGTTATGGCCATACAGGTAAATGTAAAAACTCTTTTTTTTTCAGGCACCGTTCAGTTCCAGGTCTCTCGGAGAGATTTGAGTTGTTCATCTGTCGTAAAGAGGTGTGCAATGCATACACTGAGTTAAATGACCCTGTCATACAACGAGAAATGTTCCGACTTCAGACCAAGGTGAGTGGATAGCCCCCTCACACACCCCATCCTTCCTTGCACCCATATTACTTTCAAGTGCCTGTTACGACGACATTGTAAAATGGCTCATTGTTCCTAGGTCAAATAAAAATGTTTAAGCTGTTTACTGTCACACTCAGAAAACTGAACACCTGAAATATTTCAAAAAAGTTGATTGTGTATTGGTATTTAAACTGTAGGTATGGCAAAGTGTCCTTTTTAAATAATGTTGAGGTTTCAAACTGGTAACATCTAAAGGGTTTTAACTTTAAGTCCCTTGGTGTTGGTTTTCATAGCTCGCTTGTAGTGCATGCAGTTAATGTAACCTCGCTGGGCATGTGACATAGCCTTCAGGGCCATAACTGTCAACTAAATCACGCGGGGTAAAATCCAGACCCAAGTTAATCACAGCTCTTCCTGTATAGTGGATTAAAGCTGTTTCATGCCTTGGCGACATTAGTTTTTCTTCGTGACTGTTAAGTTACGACCTCAAGTATAACAAATAATACATGGTATGATAATGCATTCATCTCTCTCAGACGGACACAGGTGTTCTGGGCTATACGTGGCCATCTTGAAGAGAATTAATGTCTGTCTTATTTATACTGCGTGAGTCAACTAAAAAGATTCAAAGAAGGGGAGGGACCGGTCTCTTAGCAGATACATGTACCTTAATACGAGTTGCACACAGGAGCAACAAATGGCAGAGTGCCTTATTGTCTCTTGTTATTGTCTGTCGTTTTTTGCAGGACAAAGCCGCCGGTGATGATGAAGCCATGTTTGTCGATGAAAACTTCTGTACAGCTCTTGAATATGGTCTTCCACCGACAGCGGGCTGGGGTCTAGGAGTAGACAGGCTTACAATGTTCCTTACTGATTCCAATAACATCAAGGTTTGTCCCTCGGCAGTGTTGAAACGATGTCGGCAGTGTTGAAACTATGTTAGAGGCCTACGAGAACGAGTTTTGACTTAAAGTATTTTCGCGTATTCTCAAAAAAAAAGGACACGCTAGAGAGTTTCATTACTTTTCTTTTTTTCACCACAAAAGTTAACATGGTTATTTTATTGATTGTTTCCTTGTTTCCACCACTATACCCTGGTTACTAGAGGTTTTTTTCCGCGCCTGGATGGTTCGGTGTCGGCCGCAGGCCGAATTGACCGGAAATCGCGTATGAAAAGTCTCTGGCACCCAGGGTACCGCGACTACGACATATATTAGCTAAGGCCCCGTCCACACTTATCCGGACATTTTTGAATCCGCGATTTTTTGAATCCGCTCTCCAGAGAGGAAATTTTTGACGGACGCTAAATCCAGATGCTTTTTCATCCGGTGACGTAACAAATCGAGCCCAGTGCTTTACCGTGAATACTGTATTCAAGATGGCAACCTCGTTGTCAGGTTCTCTCAAGGCCGCGCGCTCTTTTTTACAACGCATGCTCTGTTGCCAATTTTCCCAGCGGAGTCCTGGGTACTAGAGTGAAGCCGGATACGTGTCAGATACGTGTGGACGTGGAAACTTTTGAATCCGGAAAGAAAAAGTTGTGGATGCAAAAACATCCGGATGCATGTTGAGGGGGCCTAAAACTCGTAGAAGAATGAGGATGGCTATCACGGTTTCCCACCAAACGCACGGCCACTGCTTGGTATAGAGAAATTCTCATACTCGTTATGTCTTGGGTTTGTTGATAACCTCACTGGGCATGTGACAGCCGTCAGAGCTATAACTGTCAACTTAATCACGTGAGGTAAAATCAACACCCAACTTAATCATAGCCTCCCCGCAGACGTCCTTTGGGATTCGTTAGTCACGCATTCATTTCTCCCCGACGGACGAAATGAATGCGTGACGAACGAATCCCAAAGGACTTCTGCGGGGAGGCTAACTGAACCACAGCACTTCCTGTTTTATGGATTAAAGCTGTTTCGTACATTGGGAACAGACTAAAAGAAGTCAACAGGCTAAAACAATCAAAGTCAGTGAAAACGTGTATCAATTTGCTGTTTGTTTTGTTGCAGGAGGTGCTGTTTTTCCCAGCTATGAAACCTGACGAGGGAGGACCAACAGAACAAAGCGGACCAGGAGCTAATCCAGGAGAAAAAGAGACAAATTCATAGACCTAATTCTACCAACAGGAAGAAAATGTTATGAAAATACAAAAAGAAATTCCACATGATTGGAAATGCATTAATAAGATGGTCCAAGACTTTAGTTGAGAGAATAAGAATTTTTCTGTGGTCCATTAAGGGGCTGTTGACGTGGAGGGAGGAAGATCCTTGAAGGTGGAACAACTTTTCGTTGGGTTTACATGCAACAATTTCTGTCCGTCTGGTGCCCAAGTAGAGAAGGAGTTAAAGATGGCAGGCGAGAAAAAAAATGCAATTTGGGCTCTTCTCCTCTCTTTACTGGCGTTAATAATTACCTTTCAGCAGAATTATCACAATAATCAGCTCCTGACAAAGCCAAACGAAATGGTTGGCCTATTTTTGCCGTGATTACCTACGGAACGAACCCCCGCCATTTTGTCTGCTTTGTTCCTGGTACAAGGATCTTTCTAGCGAAGGCAGTTTACATGGTGCTAGGATCTTCTCCTTACACCATGTACGTCTCAGCTAGGAAGATCTTAGTACTAGGAAGATCTTAGCTCTAAGGACAAGTACAACACTTTGCATGCGAACTGAATACAGAAAACATATGGCGCAAGGATGATCCGCCTTTTAGGATCTTCCTGGTGCTAGGATCTTTCTTCCTCTATGTAAACAGCCCCTAACAGAGAAACAAAGATGGATTAGCTGATCTTTGATCAAGTCCACGAGCCAGTTTATGTTCAAAATAACATTGGAGACTTTTAATTATGAAAATACGGCAAACAATGAGGTATTCCTTGTCATTTTAGTACACATGTAAGAAAATGCTCGGAGCATTAGTCAAGCAAAAAAAAAAGCCACTGGTTAAATGCTAATTTGAAAAACTAATGTATAGCATTTATTTATTGTTATAGCCTAGACTGGTTTCCATATGATCGCTACGATGGTTCATATCACCGGAAATTTTTCAGCGATTGTGGCGATCATTTTGTAAACCAGGCGATCTTTTTTTTAAATAAATAATTATGTTTAAAATTAAAACGTCCTACAGCTAGCACTGTCAAGTGCGATGGATATGGATCGTTTTTGTTAAGTTCAGTGTTTTGCATATGTGGATGAACACCAAACTGTGCGACTATTTTTAATGAAACCTAGAGCTTTGGCAGCATTTCCACATGGTAGTATTTTTCCAGTCTTTTACTTTTAGACCTTGAAGGAAACCGACTTGAAAAAAAAAAAGTTGTTTACATGGAAACGAGGGTTGACCACAACAAAATTACAATTTCTTACTGAAAACTAGAACACGCCTGAAGCTTATCCAGAGTTTTGATTAGCTTGGACCCCATAGTATTAACATGGTCCATAACATACCCGAGCAGCAATCATGCGCTCTTAACTTTTTAATTTTTTTCGGGGAAGCGCGAAATTCGGCGGTGAGGCAAAGAATAAAGGAAGAAGGACCGCTTGATCGCGGGTTTGGTTTATTCTAGGAATTAGCCAATGAGAGCCTAATGTGCCCCCCTAACTGAAATTGTAGAGGATATTTAGGCCCCGTCCACAAGTATCCAGGTATTTTTGAATCCGCAACTTCTTCTTTCCGCATTCGAAAATTTCCACGTCCACACGTAGCCGTAGTCAAATCGAATTTGCCCATCTACACGTATCCGACACGTATCCGACACTCATCCGACACGTATCCGGATTCACTCTAGTACCCAGGACTCCTTTGGGAATATTGGCTACTGAGCATGCGTTGTAAAGCGCACAAAATTTGCATCTTGCTCTGCCTCATTCTCCTCCCCAGAGCCACTCGGCTTAATTTGTGACGTGACGAAGAAACGACGGGCTCTGGGAACGAGGATGGCTCTGCCTTTCACGGTCAAGAAATGGGCTCGATCTCGATCCGGATTTTAACGTCCACACGATTCCGGATTCATAACGTGTTCAAAAATCTCCACTCTGGAGACTTGATTTAAAAAATTGCGGATTCATTTGCCGGATTCACCGGATACGTGTGGACGGAAACCGTATCCGGAAAGAAAAAGTTGCGGATTCAAAAATATCCGGATACAAGTGGACGAGGCCTTATTCACAGGAAAAATTAACAGATTCCCATTTTTGGATATTTTAGGGTATTTAAAGAATACCCACAGGGAACTTGGTTGGCACTCCCTCTTGTTACAGGGTTCGTACAGGTCAAAGAAAACCTGGAAAGTTATGGAATTTAAGCATTTCATTTTCCTGGCCTGAAAATTCATGGAACTTAATAATCGGTCCTTGAAAGTCATAAAGTTTTGTTTGATAGCAGTGCCGGATCCAGACCTTGAGATTAGGGGGGCGGGGGGGCACGGTCTCCCCCGAAATTTTTTTTCGGCCCTTCGGGCCTCAGTTTGGTCTAAAAATAAGGGGGGTCGGGCCCATCCCACTGGATAGCTTTGTTACTGCCGACGACAAGGCAAGGACAATGTGAGGTAAAGAGAAGCGATTGAGCTGCGCGAACGACACGCATTTTGGTGGACACTAGAGTTTGTGTCTGTTGAACTGTGTAACCTCCAAAAATACCATAAAATAAGGAAAGTCCTAAAAATTTTTGAAAGTGAAAGCTAAACCTACGGTCTTGAAAAACTTAAAATGGTCATGGAAAAAGTCATGGAATCTGAAGAGCTCAAAGGAGTACGAACCCTGTGTTAAACCATTTGTTTGAGGAGTCCGCATTCTTGGCCAACAAGAAAATAGGGCAGTTTTGTAGTTAAGCCCTTAGCAAGGTATCAGTATTAATCAACAAGGGCTCGAGATAAGGGGATCAAATAATGATAACTGGATCTGACAGGTAAGGAAAGAAAAATTATCTATTTAACTATAAACCTGGTTCGGCAAAGAAAGTTTTAAACGGAAAAGTATAGGCGTGTATTTTATTGTTTTTCTTCGGTACAATTTAAAAACAAAAAGAGTATTAGCTCTCCTTGTTGTCTTCAGCAGGGACGACCGAGTTATAGTGCTCACCAAGACCATACGCATGATGGTGATACCTGCAAAATAAAAACGTACCTTGTTTTCATCGTCAGTGCTCATCTAACTATGCGCGTGAAAACTAAGGGGAAGTCTCCTTCGCAGCCGCGAACAAAGTCAAGGATTCATGAACAGAGATCGGCTACAAGTTGAGCATAACACTACTAGAAAGAAGATTAAGAATCTATTATAACTTACGACAGTAAGATTGGTTGTGAGTCGTACTCCTCCCCTGTTCTAAGTATTGGTGCGTTCGCTTGGTAAACCTCTACCGGCATTTTTAGCACTTGAGATAAGGCTTGAATCTGTTAAAGATAGAATGAATGAGGTCTAGGAACTCCTAGTTATTGTACTCAATAGCTAGTTTATTTGGTTGGAGGAAGAGAAGACTGGATAGGTAAGGCGCGCAGAACACAATAACGAAACTAAATCAAACTTTCAAAGACAATAACAAATCGAAACAAATGTTTTCTTGCCCAGATGTTTTCTTGTTTTCTTGGCTCTCACTCTGAATGGATCCTGGGCAGGAGGTAAAGTACCAGTCTGCATGCTTGTCACGTGATTCAGTTTTTGTGCAACAGCTTTTCCCACCCTCCCGCCCTTTGTAAGTCCAGCAACGTTTCTGTTTGACAGAAATGTACTGGATTCAGGAATTTTTTTCTCCTTTTTGTCTGAGGGCTTTCGATATTTGATCATTGTAAACGTTTGTAATGGTTATGAACAAACTACTGTTGCATAGTCGTGTAAATGAAGTAATATATCAAACATGAGATGCAGTGTTTCATCTGGTGATGAAACACTGTGTCCAATGTTTGATATTTCTTCTCAAACAAAATCATTTTTGAAGGAGAAATTAAGGATGCAAAAATGAGCAGTTTTTCATCTGATATCCAAACACTCATTAAATATTAATTTCCTTTGAATTTTCTTTATGAATTATTAATGAGTTTGAGAATCGTATTTCAAAATGACATCTATCTGTCTATGAAAAGAGCAAGAACTCGTTAGAAATAATAGCCTTAGGTATAGCCTACCTCTAAATGCCCTCCCCATACAGGCGTGTTAGCAAGCTCTTCACAGTAGTGGACAAATTGATCTGCAAAGGAATGATCCAAATAAGAAAAATCCCGGTCCTTAGATAAGGGAACGCACCGCGGAAAATTATAAACAAAAACGTTAAAACGACACTAACCATCAGAATAGAACAGGTAGTTTGAAAAAACAGTGAACCTTTAAAACTACAGCTCATCAGTGAAATTTGAAGGTCGGGACAGACGATTAGAGTGACCTTTTGGTGAATTCTGATTTCTAGTTCAAGACCTCTTTAATAAGTTTAGTGTTTTTCCATGTATTGTTTTCGTCGAGAAGGGAGAGAGTAATAACGTATAAGGCTCAATTTCAGTGGTTCTTTGAGTCGCCCTGAGGTACCTGCTTTACAGACTAGTATCAATTGAGGAAATCTAAATGTTAAGAGGTCGGTCGACTTTTACTGACTAGTTAAGGCAACTAGACACAACCTCGTTGTTGCTGAAACCCTAGCGAGACTGCCTCATGGACTTGAAAGCAACACAAAGAACACGAAGCAATAGAAAAGACAGATGTTAATCTAACCAAAACGATAAAGGTCATAAGGCACAAGATGGTAGAAAGAGGGTTTCATTGTTTCTAAGCTGCTCAAAGATTGCGTTCGGTGTTGTTTATCACGAGAGTTAGAACAATACATTTGATTACAGTTGTACTGAGTGTCGAAACCCAAAAAAATTGATAGCGGGATTCCGTAGAATCAAGAATTTCTACGTGTCGTACGTTAACGTCTGTATTTTTGTAGCCTACATATAAGGCCTTTCTGGATTATTGGAAAAGGGGGATGGGGAGTGAGGCGAAGTGAATCGAAAAGGCAACTTTTATAATTTCCTCTTGCCCTTGCCAGCTTTACTGATTTTCAGGCGTTCTCAGTTTCCAGCAATGATGACGGATTTTCGCTGTCTGGTCCCAGTCAAAAACTGAAAACGACGTGGAACGGTCTATTTTGCCTAGGATTCAGTTGCCGTTTGTCTTAGCAGGATGACCACAGGGTGTAAGTGGACTGTAGTTTCCAATAGACTCGTCAACGGTGTTTTTTTTTTTTTTTTTCAACTTTCAACATGAACAAGTTAAGAAAAAAAGGTCAACTCCGCTAGAAAGAGCGCGCTAAAATTGCTAAAATTGCCAAGTTTAAAAGTGATTTGTTGAAAACTAACGAAGACATGGTGTCCACGCAAACTTACTCCTCACCAAACAAACGTCTGTAAATTTTCGTAACGTTGCAGAGCTGTATCCTCGCTCGCTTAAGATGTATCACTTTCAAACTTAGCAAGTTGACCAATTTAAAGGCGCTTTTTCCAGTGGTGTCGACCGATTTTCCCTACCTGGTTCATGTCCAAAGTTGAAAAAACTGTGGAACGGTCTATTTAATGTCAGCGTACCTGGAGTGTAGACCTCGCCGGTCTTTGTATCCGTTAAGAAGGGCAGGAAGTCTTCTTCGTGGTTCAGCATATAATCTGATGCAAGTTTCCTTAATGTTTGCATTTCTGTCTAAAAACGAAATGAATGAAGAAATTTTAAACAAATTATGTTGGAAAATTCCCGGCGGCTTGCTGAACTAAAATGAATTGTACCTGTTGATTTCGTCTGGACAGCTGATCTGCGATGGCATTATATAAACTGGTGAAAAACAAGAAAACAAAGAATTAGAGATGAAAATGTTACTACAGAAGGAAGTTCATGATGATATTCGACCATTTATCTCATGCTAAAAATCATTCAGTCCTTCTCACCAACTGCCGTTCTTCCGATTATCAAACGTGCCACAAGAAACAAAATAAAAAACGCTTGGCTCAAAAAAGCGGTTTATTAAAGAAATATCCGTCTTTACTAAAAACGTTCAACAACAGTTTGGATTTACTGAACTGAACGAATAGAAGTTTTCGGAAACGTTATTGGTCAAAACAAGCTTACCGCTTACATAATTTTTATCAAATACCAAACTTGCCGTTTTTCAGGCTTGTTTAAGCTAATTTATGGAAAGCAAAAAATCTCGTCATTTCATCAATGTGAATCATTGTACCATCGGTCGTATGCACACGTATCCAATCAACAGTACCTAAGTGTGGATTGACAATAAACTCCGCCTTTGCACTATTTTAAGAAACGCAAAGCGTGCGAAAACAGCCGCCTCTCATCACGTTTGGTTGGTGGGACGCTTCCCGAGAGAGAAACGAAACGTTCCCAGCGACAGGAAGCGAGGAGAGGCAGCTGTATTGGCAGATTATGCGATACAAACATGTGAAACAACTATCAAGGGGTTTATGGACAAGTACTTCACCTAAAAGCCCGGCTTACCTACTTCATATCTTAATTTCCAACTTGGTATATAACCTGTGATATAGTTTTAAAGTCTATGTGCTAAGTCCTTGCTGAGTACTAATTGCGGATGCAGATGTGCATACGACTAATGGTGTTAAGATTACAGTTTAATAGGGATATGGTTACAAAACCTTAAGTCACAACTGCACACCTACAAATTAAACCCTCTACAAAAAGTGCTACATTGTGTGACCTTGCACGCGCCCATTCAAAATAAGATGACCTCTGTCTAACCTTCAAAAGTACTTCAAGTAAGAAATAGAAACCCAGACAATTAATTCTTTTATGGAGAGAATTTAGCACTTCTCTTCTTCTAACTTTGTGCTGTAATTTGAATTTCCCAGAATATTTCACTAGCCTGTCAGGCACGTGAAGAACAGAAATCACTGTAGCTTGTGCGCAGGGTATTTCTTCATGTGTGCGGTACTTTCTTGTTGGCAGAGCTCCGAGGAATTTTTGCAGGTGATGAAGCTCCAGGGGGAAAAATTTGACCTGCTCCCAAACTTTTCACAGCAGACAAAAGCACCCCCTGCTTATCTTGGACTATTCGACACAGCTTTTTTGCATGCTGCCTTTATATCCACAACACAAAGCCCATCCTAATGGCTTATGTAAGGCAAAAAAATTACATCAATTGGAGTTACATACCAGTTTCCATCTGGGGTGATCTGAAAATAAATTCATTCTGTGAATGAGTAATACAACATGGTCATAATATTATTGAAAACGTTGACAACTGAAAAAATGGGATCAAATAATCAAGATTACCTCTTTGATTGATAAGCCTTTGGCAGTCAAGATTTCTTTTAGTTTTTCGGCTTCTATATTTCTTGCACTATGTACATTTTCTAGTTCAGCCTCAGCAATTCTTTGTTCTCTTTCCTTTTCTTTAGCAGCCTTTTTGTCCTTATAGCACAACAACAATAGAAAAATAAAATAGTATGCACTGCTAAAAATTTTCAATATGAAGTTAGACTTCCAAGAACACTCTCGCAAGCGGACAGCTCTACTTATGGCCACCTTCACCGTTTTTCTCAACTGCCATACAAACTCTGTATTTTTACATTCCCAAAAGTGGCCAGCTTCAGTTACAGACACCTTTTTTGTGTCCTTAGGGTGTCCACTTACGACAGCTTCCACTTTAATATTATTATCATTATCATTTTTTTTTTTTTTACAACAACAACAGTGTATATCTTTATATTATAACCTACCCTTCTTTTCTGAGCCTTTGAAACTTTTGACTGGGGTTCAGGTTCATTTGTAACAGACACAGCCTCCATTTCCTGGGTAACCAACCCAAGAGTATCTTCATTCTATAAATTAAACCACAGATTTAATTAGCTAAAGAAGAGATTTAAGCAGAGAAAATGATGCAGCCTTTTTATCTGTACTTTCATTTTATTATTTATAAACATCCAATAATCAATAACTTGGACACAGATATTGTAATAGGATTTCATCAACAGACTAAAAGTTAGACAAAGGCAGACCACTCTCTGTTTGTGTGGCTGTTCTCTAAAGTCAGAGCATTGATCTATTCTAGAAGAAAATGAATATTGCGGCAGTTATGATTGCTCCACTGAAGTAAACTAATAATCAGTTTCAAATGTGATATAATGACAAAAAAATGTTACAGTGAAATGTTTATTGAGTGTATTTAAAGGAGTCGTTTTGTGAGTTTATTTTAGGGTTGCTGGCTGTGATAGTTGTGAAATCTCCTGGTACACAAATTCAAACTGAACAGCCAAGCTATTGAAATTCTCATCTAAAAAACACTAGTATCTGATTGACTACATATTATCCGATGTTTATACCTAAAGACAACTTCATCCTTCCAAAGTAAAGAAAACAATGTTTAAATTCTACAAAAATCTCACAAACCTTCCAACTCTCATGGTTTCACTGTGAGACTTACAGTTTGGGCAGTCAACTTATGGTCTCACAATTTAACCTCCAAATCTCACTTAAAAATCGTTAAACCATTCCACTAGGAACCGCACAAATTGTAAGTTCAAAAAATTATTTTAGGGGAGAGACTTGAGTCCAATTCCAACCTCATATGCATAAAACATAGGTTCACTAATGCCTGTAGGAGTGCCTTATAGCAAACTCACTTGGCTACTCGCCATCCCATCAACCTGGATAGTAAAACAGAATCTTCTCATTGCTGCCAAAATAGCAACAAGAAAATACAACAGAGACCACTTGTAGGGTTAAGAATACCATGGCAAAATAAATCTCAGGGTTTGAGGTCCCAATCTCCAGGATTTTGGGGGTTTTCTTTCAAACACTCCAGATTTGCATGGTTTAGCAGTATGTTATCATGATCTTTACCAAGCTTGCCACCAGAGAAATCAACCTGCATTATTTTTTTCCCTACAGATAGATGTTCAAATTTAATTATAAACAAACACGAGCACAGGGTTACATATTCTTTTGGAGTTAGTTTCCATGATCAAGTCCACGGGAATAAAAGGGTTATTAAAAGACTGATTTGTCTTTCAAGTTACCAAATTTGATTCACGTTCCAATAATTCAAGCTCTTCCTTGTGCCTGGTATTTAATTCTTCTTCGAGCTTGGCAATCTCAAGAGTTATTTCTTTCTTCTTTCTTTTGTCGCCTTTGGGAACAGAATGTTTCATCGACTGTATTTGGCCTAGAAACAAAACAGCATGATCATGAGCTTAGTTATTTGCCAGTTTTTATCGTAACAGTGCATCAGAATCCGACTATTAACTAGACTTAGAACCTAAAAGAGTAGCTTAAGTGGAAAGAATACCTTGAAGTTCTTTAGCCTCTTTTTTCTGCCTTTGAAGAAGGCGTCCTTTCGGCGATTCTTCCTCTTCGTCCGCCATTTTTCCGAGATGGTTTTATATGGCGTATCCGGTTACTGCTGACCGCTAAACCTTGGATTCGCCTAATCACCAGGTCCCACTAGGTCAAACGTTATTCAGACGTTCCGTGTTTGCATTGTTGTTGAACATTCTTTTTGATTGTTTGTAGGGTCCACGTATGGACCGTCAAAAATTGCAAAGCCGGCTGTATTTCAAGCCGTCTTGCGGGGTATTGGGAAAAGTTTTCAATCAGCAATAACCGCGCCTCGGATGAACCTCACTGGCTACGGTAATGCCACTGCGCAAAGCTAACGAAACGGTGATACTAAGTTGATTAAATGCAACATGGGCTTGCATTAATTGTGGGACATGAGACGCATACATCTTCTCCTACTTTGTTATCAAACAGTGACTTAACATCTTCTCAAAAGCTGACTTCCCTGTTCCCACACCAGTTTCAGTCGTGTATACATTTGCTAACTCAGTAAAAGGGAAAAGTCTTAAAAAATCAGTCCACAAAGAAAAAAACTTTCTGTTGCGCCTGCGCATTGCCATTTTCTACTCAGAATTTTGTTATTTCCGGAGAAAGGTCCTGTAGCCTGTTCGTAGGCTCTCTTGAGGGTACAGGATAAAAAGAAAGCTAGAAAGCGCGCATGGACAAGGGATTCGGGAAGGGAAGTTTTCTAAGAGATGCCCCTCGGTTCAGGGGACGTGACAATCACGGATATCACGAGAAACTGGCACGCGCGAGCAGCCTGCGCAACGAATTCAAAGCGGCCCCTCCCCATTCTCTCAGCACGGCTTTGAAGCTCCTGTGCGAAAACTTTACTTGCGCTAACCGATCCTGCCGGCTAGACAGGCTAACGCCCGCCTTCCAAAGAAAATGGGAAGAAGGACCTCCTGATCGCAGGTTAGTCAAAATACGGTTCCCATATCGACAAGTTTCTGGAAAATGTGCGTTCTTGCCTTTCACATCAACAATGATGTGCTGTGTTTTAAGAGATCTCGCGCTCTCTTTTGAGATTTCTCTAATTTGTTTTTGAAGCGTTTGTATTATTGAATATTGGAAGTCCGAACAGTCACGCAGTACGCATGGTGAGAAAAGATCAGCACGGAACTTAACTGTCACTTGTGCAAACATTCGATTAAAAAGACGTAAGTTTCAATAAATGCACCAAGAGTTGGGGATAGGGGATAACTATTTGAAGCTTTTTATATATTCTCTTGATTTCAAAATGGTAATTTCGTTCAACCTCGTCCCCAGCGGTTAAGTCCTGGGACGAGGTTGAGTTTCGTTATCACATTTGCGTTCAAAATCATTGGCAAGAGGATTCCTGTCGATTGTAATAGTCACTGAACACTGTATAAAAGTTAAACTCTGCCTGTGGTGGCTAATTAAAGTTCAGGGAAAAATGAATTGGAATGAAATGCAGCTCGTGCACACCCCTCGATCGAAGACGGAATAACAAGATCACACAGTGCACGTAAAAAATTAACAGCAAATTTTACAGGAATGTTATTTAGCCCTAGTCTAATTTATTGGCTTTCACCTTCTTTTTTTTACCGGTAACAGATTCTCGGGCTCCAGGGCTCAGGCTATATCTCCCTTCCCCACCCCTCCTCCTTCTCATCTGGGTCCTACGCGCTCCTTCGCCCACGAACGTGGGGAAGGAACGAGTGGCGAACAACGTGACGTGTGGGAGGGTAGGCGCAGGCCAACACTTTCGCGGCGTACATCTATTCATAAGTGCCCCCTCCCATCCCGAAGAAGCTGTCATGCAGAGAAAGAAAAAGAAAAGAAAAGAAAACGGATTGTACTGTAAGCCACACAGTATACTCCTCCTTCGTCAATACATGTATAGCATCTAGTTTGGCTTGTAATTTTCAAGAATTGCTTCGCAAGCTTCTGTGACAAGTAAAAAAAAAACGGGTCGTCTGCGATTGCTGATGTTAACAAAACACGGTGAAGCATGACATGGACGTGACAGGCATGTACTGGATCAGGAAAAAGCGAGCTGACTCCTACGGATACTGCCCGCGCTTACCACATGTCATTTTTCCTAAACCAATGCATTCTTAGCCAAAAAAAAAAAAAAGAAAGACAGACAGAAAGAAAGAAAAATAAAGTCTGCGTCGAATTTACAAGATGTAAAAAAAAGAAACACTACACTTTATTTTCCTTCCACTGCTTTCAATTTTTCTTGGGACAATTGTAAAACTAGAAGTGTAGCTCAAGACCCCACAGCTGGGTGGGCTCCTTGTGAGACGGTGATGACCTGAACTTTGTGCATTCAAGTACATTCTATTTTTAGCTAACATAATGCTGTAATAACATTGGTGAAGCCGCTGACCGAACTATTGGGCCAAATATGGAAGATTACTCAATTGATGACGTCACTTAGGCAAAACACAATAGTCACGTGTTCAAACATTGGAACCATTTTATTTGCGCAGCAGAAATAGAGCGGCAGGAGAGTGTTGACCCTAAAACTGAGCGATTTTGCGTTGATTTTAGCTGAAATTTTTGCCCAAAATGAAGTGGACTTTTAAGGAAGAACATTCCCAAGGTACTAACGTCAATAATCCCAACGTTTTCTGCGGTTTTTTGTCCACTCGTTGAACCGAATGTTTTTGCTTTTGCAGAGTCCCGATGCCATGAATCTGCAAAAATAAGGTCGAAGTATCCAGACAGAATTCCCGTAAGTACTGTAAATTTTGGTCGATTTTTATGTTCGCACAAAGCTATATTACTTATTTTCTTTTTGTAGGTTGTTGTGGAAAAAGCGCCCAAGTCCTCGATCCAAGATATAGATAAGAGAAAATTCCTCGTCCCTTCCGATCTGACAGGTATTAAAAGCAGGAAATAAAGTCGTTATTATGCGCGTAACTAAAATTTGCTGTTGTGTGCTGTATTTCCTGAATTTTTAGCTGTTCAACTGATTCGGTAAAATGAAATTCTATGAGTCTTCACATAGTTAGAGTACGTTCTAGTATAAGTGGTAGGTATTTTATGATTAAATGTTTGTCGCTCTTTTACCGTCACTTCACAGTTGCACAGTTCATGTACATCATCCGAAAGAGAATTCAACTTCCTCCCGAAAAAGCGATGTTTCTTTTTGTCAACAAGGTTCTTCCCACAACAAGGTTTGTTTCAAGGCCTTTTTACTTTTTTTTAGGAAATGTTTTTAGCTTACATTAGTCTATATTTGCAACACGTTTGTGTTGAAACTTAATGTCTTGTGTGGTAGGCTCTTTCATTTCGCAACGAACGGGTTATCCTGTGAGAAGTTTGTTTACAGTGTCCGCTCGCTTGTCGACGTTGGATATTGGAGTGGCGGATCTGTCGGATCTCTCGCTCGTTGTCTAGTTTCATTTAACCTTTTTGCTCAAATTTTGCACAAGTTTAAAAGTTTATAGAACAATGACGCAAGTCATGCGTCTGTTGAGTATTAAAACTGTCTGGAAAGAGAAATTGGCTTTAAGTTTTATGCTCAAGTTTCCTTTCAGTTTTGCAATTTCCAAATGATGGCGGGGTACAACGTGACTCGGGTATAACTGGTAAAGCTACGAAAAATATTTGTCAAAATTAATACTAAATATCGTTAATTGGGAATGAAAGCGACAAGGGCTTGCCCTAAACATATTTAAGCTTATAATATTCTAGCTAAGTTTGTTATAGACATTTATGCCCATGAATGTCAAAATGTCGTTTTGTCGTAACATGCCTTGCCGGCCCGAATTTCGTGACTTTTCTTTAACAAGATTTTATAATAGACATTGACTTTGTGGTCTCCTCGAACAGAGTAAAAGTAAAATAAAGGGAGTGGTTTGTTTCGAGCGAAATATACACAAAATTAACTGGTGACCTATATTTAATTGGTTTTTAAAGCGCTGTTTCAAGCCGGCATTGAAATTGACAACACATTTATTCGTGACTTAAGACTTATTGTTAACCCCTTGTGAGGTTCATTGAAAATGAATTTGTCTCTCTTTATGTTACTTTTTTTTCTTGCATCACGTAAAGGAAAAGTTGTAAGATGTTGATGACATTATTGATTTTGCCTTTAAATGAGGGAGAATTTTCATTATAAATAAGGCTAGTTAACACTGAATTGTTTGCTTCCTATCGAGTACAAATGGATCTATGGTTTATCTTGCCAATTCGTCATACTATTTAGGGACCTTTTATCACTGACTTGGTATTGTAAAATTACTTCCAAAATGTGTTGCCTAATCTCACCTTTGACTTATTACCCAACAGTTACAGCTATTGCATTCTAACCGTTCACTCACTTCGTTCATGAAAGTCAATATACTCATTATAATTTAATTATAATGAGAATAGTGACTTTTATGAAAAAAGTAAAATGAAGTACAAAAAATTAAATGGTACTGCATTGCAGAAGACTCTATTTCAGTGGCCACATCATGACCACTTGTGACTAAACTGAAATTTTACACTGATTTCATGAATCTAAGAGTTGATTGATTAATTATTAATTTTTAATATTATTAATGTCCTTGCTCACAGACATCCTGTTAATTGCTATTCTCCATGTATATAAAACGTTCGTTAAAAGGCCACATGGAAATCACAATTTGCAGTTTTTTGCACTGAGTCATCCATAATAGTGGGGAAATTTTGAGATCAACCATGCATACCTAGACTGACATCATTAAAACACACAAGAGTTCATGAGAAGTCATGAGAGTTCTGAAAGTAATGGCCATGATTAGTTTTGGAAAAGTCCAAGGTGGTTGCAACTTTCAAGGTTACAACACATGAGTTATAGACCAATAATTATTTCAGAATACAGTGGAACCCCACCTTACAACCACCTCATTATTATGTCCATATTCTTTCAACCCAAACATGAAAATCACGGAGTCATTTTATTACTTGAAGACCCTGTTAGTAATGTGATGACCTCATTATTATGACCAGGAATTTATGGCCCAATAATGGACACCTTGACGGAGGTTCACTGTATTATAAAAATTTACAAATGTATTATTCTTGAATCCCTTAACCTGAAAGCTGTTTTCTTTTTTTTATTCCCCTTAAGCATTTAGTTTTAATACATTGAAATTGGTCCTTTGGAAAACACATTTTCCTGTTCCAAATCATTGTACAGCCCTGGTCAAAACATCTTGGGACACTTGAGGAAATTAGGCACAGAGATGCTCTTTGCTTAATTAAATCATATTCTACCAATGTTTTAAGAGCCTGTATCTACTGTCCCCTCTCCCCCAGGCAGTGTTGATAGGATCTAGGGGAGGAGGACAAAGGGAAAATGTATCATTTTGATGAACTATTGCATTAGTGACCCAAGACTCAGTTTTGACCAGGGTGTAGATAGAGCTCTCATGAATTGAAACAATGCTTGTCAGAGTGAGCCTCTCTTTGTTTATATTAAGAAATACAGTGTAATAATAACTGTAAAGCTTGTTTAATGTTATGGCACTGCATTTGGTGGTACGCATTGTGTTAGTTGGGTTAGAAAAAAGAAAGGTCCAAAAATTGACGTTAATTCCAGATGGGGAGGGAGAGGAGGTGTGTCGGTTACTAAGAAGTTGTTACTTTCAAGGAACAATGTCTAGTATGTGAACTCTACAGAATTTAGGCTTTCCTACCATATTCTTAACCTATGTAATCATGTACTGGGGTTTTCCTCAGAAATGATATGCCACTGATATGTGGCCTAATTCTGCTCTGTTTATTTCTTAGCTCAACGATGGGTGCTATCTATGAGGAACATAAAGACGAAGATGGCTTCTTGTACATTGCCTACAGTGGAGAGAACACCTTTGGAATGTGATGAAAGATTTTCAAAATGAACTTGTCTTTTACTCAACTGTGTTTTTTTGCTTGAATTTATTTTTTTGGGGGGGAGATAAGGTTGGCCTAGTAAAGTGTTATGCGGTTTTAAGAAAAAAAAGGTTGCACAATCGTGAGCTATGATAGTTAATTAGGTCATTGTTATCTTTGGTCTCGTACAGTATTAGTCAGAGTTAGAAGGCTGACACCTTCTAACTCCAATCTGTATGTTAAATTATAAAAAAAGGATGAAGTCTGCATGGTATTATTTCAAAGTATGATATCTGTGCTAAGCTTGGATTTTAAAGCCATATTATTGGAACAAACTGCAGATTTGTGTAAATACATATACACACCCAGGCTGGAGTAGAAAACGAGTGTAGTCAATCCTTACATATTTGTATCATTTGTTTTTTTAATCTCGAGTTGAAAAACAGATCATTCAAACATTTAACAGTTTGAAACTAAATGTACTTTTCTGACTACTGTATTTCTTCATTTCTGAACTTTACAAAGGGATATTCATCTGCCATGAAGTAAGGACTTAAAATGAAGAAAATGCTGTTACATGGTGTTTGCTCTTTTTTGATGTAATTTACTGTTCTAAGTCAGATATTTAAAAATCTCTACTCAGTCTTTTCTATCAAGCAAATGTTAGGAGTTCTTCAGGCTTCGGACACCATGTAGGAAAGGCTGCATTGAACTTCTGTCTGGCATTGTTGTAGCCAACTGCACCTGTCTTAGCGTCTTTGTAACTTGTCACAAGGTTTTCCCTGGAAACACATCACACAGCGAAATACATGAGGAATTTAGATACATGTACCAATTAAAGGTTTATTACTTACCCTCTACCCAACAGTGTCTCTATAGTCCTATCATGAAATATCTAAGTCTTATTGCCTGTTTTTTGTTATCTTTGTTTTGTTTTCTCTGCTGCCCACTGTTCACGCAAAACATTGTTCAAAGAGTTCAACAAGTTAAAAAAAGACTTTAATGATGGCTGTAACACTTCATGTGGACTCGGACTCCTACCCAGTGGCTATTTATGTGAATAATAAATAGTGACTGGGTATGAGTCTGATGTGGACTGTTCCAGGATGGTTTATTCGCCAGATTCACAAACTGGAAGTTGGGATTTAAGGCAGCATGACCTCAGCATGCAAAGAAAGTCATGTTTGATTGCCCAGGGCTAGCAGATTTTGCTGTTGGGCTGGTGAATCCTGTTCTTTTCTTGCCCTACAAGCACATTAAGTTGCAGAAGAACTGTAATCAATCCTGGTCATCAAAAAATTTGTTCAGTAAAGTTGAAATGGCCCTTGGGGGCCTAGTACATGCCAGCTACACAGGCAAGCTGTAAAACTGACTTTCCTTGCACCCTGGACCTCCAACTTCATGTGCTTCTGCAATTTCCACTTTTGTTTCTAGTCCTTTACTAGGGGGCAGTATAGTGCCCTGCCTTGCTAAATTGAATAAGCCACTTCTCACACAGCAGTTGCACAGTTGCAGTCTAAGAATGTTTTAGAGGTTCTACATGACATTTGCATTCAAATGTGCAAATGGTGAATGAGATTCTGAGTGATTACATGATCAGGGACCCATTTCACAAGTTTCCACAATTACTAGGCCAAGAAAGCTGTTTTGTATTAATCTTGCTGGGAATTTGCACTCCAGATTCAGGTGTTAATACAACTATTCTTTGGATTTAAATTTTTATATATGGCTATGGCCAAAAAGTTATACGGGAGCTCTTCAGGAAAAGGGCACAGTTAACAATTATTCCACGAGGGCGCATTGGATATGAGATGATAGATAGCCAACGAGGTGCGTAGCGCCGAGTTGGCTATAATCATCTCATATCCAACAAGCGCGAGTGGAATAATTGTTTTATTAAAAACGTCCACCAAATCTCATTGAATCTCCCCAACTAGAACAAAGCGGAAAAGACAAGGGACTTCTGCTATTCACATGTCACACGTCTATCAAAACTGTCAATGCGCGAACGGACTCGCCTGGACTGCATGAATGAAAAATCAAAACATTGTAGCAATGAACATTAGTCTTTTAAAAACTCATCGGGATTCTAATCTAGGATTTTACACAGCAGAACAGCTAAAAAAACCTGGCAGATAATGTGAAGGAAAAGAATTTTTAAGTGACAGCCGTCGAAATTACTGTGAATTTGGATTTTTGGTGCAGTTATAAAAGTAAGAACAACGGAGAAAGACTATTACCTCGGTCGCTTGTTATGAAGTTGTTTTTGGGCATTTCCACTTTGTTTCTAGTCCTTTACCTGGGGGCAGTATAGTGCCCTGCCGTGCTAAATTGAATAAGCCACTTCTCACACACAAGGGGACTCCTCAGGAAAAGGGAACAGTTGCAATTATTTGAGATCAAAGGCAAGGGTGGCCTTTTACCCAGGACTATACAGCAAACGTATGAGTAAAAGTGATCTTTACCACCTGAAACCATTATTAATATTACACAAAGGTGGTAGTTAAAGGCAGCTTTTCCTTCGTGTAATATCCATTAAGTTTTTTTTTCACATTTGGATAAACACCGGGAATCAACATATAAGTGCTAGAATGTGTTCCGACTTGTAGGTACCTTAATGTAGGCGGAAGCTTTTCACATGGAATGTCACTGACAAGTGCTTTAAATGTCTCAAATAAACTTGCCTTGCTAATGCATACCCTGAAAAAACATTTAAACAAAAAGTAACTCCTTTCACTTGCACACCTATGAGTTGGATTTCAAAATATTATTATTAAAGGAAATGAGAATTCAAGCCCAACTTGGGAAGGCTCCAACCTGAGGTCCAACCCCATACCCTTTTTATTTACATACCATTTTTGTCAAAAACGTGCCCTTTTTATATACCTTCCAACGAAAAATTGCACCCCTTTCACATGCCTAATTTAATACATTGCATCCTTTTCACTGCTGTTAATGCATTGTCTTTTAAAATATGAAAAAATCACAAAAGCGGGAAATTTTCTCAACTTTTGAACAGCCTTCAGTAAACTCTTCTATAAGCCCTTTTAGGTCTCTTTACAGATATACTTCAACTATTGAAATCCCTACCCTTTTATATACCTGAAGCCTAAAAAAGGTACCCCTTTTGGGTGGAGCCTCCCTGTACAGGCCACCCCCACCCTGGGTCCTTTACTCCATTTTGGTGATACTGTCTCCAAACAACGTGATCTTTGCAATTGTACCACTAATCTGAAGTCCTTGCTAGGATGGAAAGTTTAGGTCAAGTCATCTTTAATACCTGAAAAGGTCCTGAGAACTAAAATTTCTCATAGCATGATCCCACATAGACCTCTGGAGGAATGGCAGGAAAATGCTTGATGCTTTCTGGGAGAGCAGCAAATTCAGAATTGCTTACCAATAATTGTTTGAAAATGAAGAAATGATCGTTGCAGTGAATGCAATTTATGCAATTGCGTAAAGAAGCCTGAATTTTTTTTATTATTTTTTTTTTCAAGCTTCTTTACACAATTGCATAATTTGCGTTCTCTGCGATGATCATTTCTTCATTTTCATTTCATTTCCGCAGTTCATATATGACTTATTTCATATGTCATTAACAATAATTGTTTGGTTGTAATAGTAATAAAACCAAGTCAAGTAGGAACCTAATGAGAAGTCTAAGAATATTATAGAATAATAACAATATAATAAAAAGGAAATACCATGTACCTAGCTTTTGATGAAGAAAGGTTCTTCTTGGTAACTCCCTGTCTCAGGCCGGCAACAGAAACTTCATGCAATAAAGGATCTTTGATCCAAATAACAGCTATACATGGAAAAAATTGCTCTGATGAGGATAATGAAAACTATTTATTTCCAAGTGAAGTAATACTGTCACTTTTCTTTTTGAGAGTGGTACTATTTTTTCCTAAATGGCAACATTATTGTAAACTTTCCATAACCAAGTTTTCCTATAAAAGATACATTAAACAGTGGCTACAGGATTTTGATGGCCCTCCATTCAAGGGACACCCTCAGGACCAAGGCAAGTGTCCCTTGAATGCAAGTTGGGCTGGAGTTTGTTAATAATTAACCACCAAATAAAGTATTTTTCTTTTAATCTTCCCCGGAATCTGCTCAGGCATTATTTCAAGGAGCTAGATAACATATAAAAAAATCATGATTAATCTCCGTGTGATGTTGTGTGTTGAATTCCCAGAAGTGCATGTACTTCGATTCATGTTTTGAAAGCTGTTGCCAAGGCAATGTGACTTGTGTACACTTAAATTATACCTTATCAATAATTTTTGTGGCCAGTCACTTTTTGAGTGTTAAAGTGTCCCCTGAAAGGTTGAAGGTTAAGCTTTTGGTCAATTCACTTATTTTATTTTTGTGGCTTTTTTCTTTCAGGCTTGTCACAACTTGCATACACTTACCCAGTGACTAAGTATAATCTAAACATGTGAACAGTTTCATTTCTTTGCATTCAGACACATTAAGACATACATACATGTTGCTGAAGGTGATTGTGTACAAGGCTCACTATTATCTTCCACAAAGCTCTTCTCCAATGCTTTTCCTTTGCTGTGCTCAAATAACACATCAGTAAGCCAAATGTTGGGCTGGTTGACAGTGAAATTTACTGGCAAATCCAATGCGACGGTTAGGGCACGTTCATAGATGCCACGCCTTAAAGCCAACACGTCACATGGGCACCTGCCAAGCACAACTGATGAGAGGTATATTGGAGACGTCATAAAATGTGACAAGAGAGCCCCTTGGCAACCAAGAATGTTCCACTTCATTATTTTGTCACTGCATGACATTGATAATGTTGGATCACCACGACCTGGTTTAGTGCGCAAAACACCAAAAGTGTGGTATCCAAGGCCAGGTTTTAGAGGATCCTGTTTGCCGCCTGGTGCACATTTTGCACCAGTTCTGTACAAATCATTGCACAATCTATCGTTTTCATACTTATTTTCATTATTTTGAAGAAACCTTCCAATATTCTTTGACTCAGTAGTATCTAGTAGTTTTATTCTATTTTCTCTGTGCTGACTTCCATTGACATTTTTGTTGGTACTTTCTACATGAATGCAGTTTGATTGTCTTGCATGATCTGAGAACTTGGTCAGTAAATTAGCTTCTTTTGAAACATTCTGCTCATCCTTTTTTGCCCCAATACATAACTTGTCTGTCCTTTCTAATGGCTCCTGCAATAAACTGTCATAAATTGCATCCTCTTGCAAACAAATTTTCTTAGCTGGATGTTCAATAGTTTCATGACCATCATGACAATGTTTCTTTGAATTTCCAAGATTTTGATTCTTTGCTGGATTAACTATCAAAGTGTCATCATTGACTCCTTTGGGAAATATAGATGCATCACCACCTAAAAACAAACATACCGGTACATGTACTTACAGTCAGGCACTTACACCTGACGGTTCTCAAGATTTAAGGAAAATAATATTAAGAAAATATTTAGCCTGCATAGCTAATGGTATTGTCTCGGTGCGCGATGAAAGCTTTGGCAGTAGAGCCGTATTCCAAAAATAGGAGTGGAGCTTACGCTGCTTGTGACGGCTTCACTGCCAGATCTCACTCTACTACTACACAATACCGCCAGCTATGCAGGCTAGAAAATATTATACCAAGTTCAGATATAAGACACACTCTGATTGGTTGAAAAAGTGTGCTTTATGAGAGTATAAAACATGAAGCTAAAGCTGTCATGCTATCTTTCACACCATGCGGTGGTTTTCAAGACCAAAGTTTCACATTGTGTGGTTCCAGAAAATATCCATACCCCCCCCCACGGATGGTTAATGGAAATTCCTAGGGGGTGGGGGGGCTAAAGGGTAGAATTTTCCGAGGGGTACAGGGGGTGCCCACGAGAATAATTTTCTACAGGGTTGTAAAAGACGCGATCGATCATACGAGACATACTTAAGTATATGTGGATTATTTTGATTTGTAGCACAACAAAAATTAGAAGTAGATGCCCTTTCGAGAAAAAAAACTTCAAGATGTTTGTCTCAAACGTCGATCGTCTTCTTTGCTGGGAGTTCGCTATCATCTCCGCTTTAACGATTTGTCCACACGTTCTAACGATTTGTTCTAACGCTCTAACGGATCGCTCTTACGATCTAACGGTTGATTCTAAACAGCTAACGGTCGGTCCGTCCAACGTTTGACTTTGACGAAGTCTTTAAATAAATATCGTCCTTCGGGCAAATCGATCGCAATTCTCAACAGGTTACTTCTCCGGGAATAAATTCTAGCACATCGATTAATAATAATTTCTTTATGTCGAACATGTATCTAGATTGTGGACTCGACTGCAGATAGTCTGACAAAAACTTACGCTAATCGAGAACAAACGTCGTCTAACTCGGCGATATATTTCTCGAGCTTTGTGTATTAAAACAACTTTATGCAAATTTCTGTTGACATTCAGTGAGCTCGTCGCGACAAAGCGTTGCGTGACGACCCAAATGAGACCTTTGCTGTATTTTATTATTGACTTCTAATAGAGTACCGTTGAAGGCAAGCTGTTTGTCCAACAGACCTTTCGCCAAATCAACTTTTGCCCGAAATAATAACGATCTGTTCCTTCTTTGTGGAGAAGACTTTCGATCACGTGCTAGGCAACGGAATAGATCATGTTTCACTGATGTTCATTTCTGAATATGAATCGATGCAAATATGGGACGCAAAATGAATGTTTGCATATTTTGCTCTTTCTTAACCCAAATAGGTTTTTTTGTAATTCCTGAGATTTGTTTAACTGCAAGTGTAATTCATTCAAAGTTAAACTTAATTACAAACATCGAGAGATCGACTTTGTGGTGACTTTTAATAGGACCGGAGGCCGAACAAACGATAAACTTTGTTGTAAGTTAGTTTTCTAGTAGATCCGTTTTGAAATTCGAATTTCTTCACATAGTTTAATGTTAAATCAATAGTTAACTTTGAAGTTATGCTGTAAATGTTGTATTTGAGATGAAACTGTCTTAGACAAGACGTGTACATAGTGAAACTTAATTACAGTACCAGACATCAACTTTGTCTAACTTTGTCTGTAGGTAGATTCGTTTTGAAATTTGAAAATGTTCACATAGTTTTATTTCAATGAGTAATTCAAATTTAAAGTTATGTTTTAAATGTTTTCTTGAGATGACATAAACTTATTAATCTCTGTTCTGCCTCGCGCGTTTCGCTGGAAGGACTAATTAAAAAAGAGAGACCGCTCATAGTCTATCAAGCGTGCTCTACCTACGTAAGAAATACATATTGTCTTGTAAAAGATTACAAATAGGTCAAAGATTATAAAAAAAATGTGTCTTAAGATGAGAACAGTTAATTTTAAGCAGTACACGGTCGATTATCTCTAAATATGGCAAATTAAGACCATGAAAAGGAAAATAGGAAATTCCTGGGGGATGGGGGGGTTATACATGACCCCTCTGGAACGGAAATTCCGAGAGGGTGGGGGGGTCTAATCGGAAGAACCATCCGTTGGGGGGGTATGGATATTTTCTGGAACCACACATTTCAAGGTTAAAAATACACCGTTAAAAGACACAAAAATGGAAATGGAAAGTTCTAAAGAATGTCCAGTTTCCTTTTTGTGGACTAAGTAAAGCTTTTGGACAGGAAATTGTTCTTTGAGGAATTCAACCTTGTTTTGTTCACACTGAATCCCCTCCTCAACTTAAAACAGAATATTAATAGTAAAACTCACAAGGCGTATGAGAAGTAAAGAGGTGGAATGACACTCCATCTTTTAACTTGCACAGGTTGCTGTCTTCTTGATATTCAAAAATACTCTTCTGTAAATTGTATGCATATTGCAACTGCTGATAAAGATACCTTTGGGACGAGATCACAAGTATGGGGTTATAAGCCATTCTGTATACTTTTCAAGTCTATTAAACAGCTGACAAAACTTGAGAGAAGAGATTGTAAAATGCACAGTTAAACAGTATTATACAGTCAACATTTGGACAGCTCCTAACACCAAAGCTAAACAATATGGCAAATGATAGAAATATGATGGTGACTTTTTGTTTCTTTGTTTTTGTAAAGTGGCAAATTTGCAACATTCTATTAAAAAATTTATCAAGCTTTAAACATAATTCAATCTTTAGTCCTGCATTACTGTAAACAAAGGTTTCATTTCGATAGCCAGCTTGCATTAAAAAAAAAGTAACTTGTTGGAAATTGTCCACAGCCAATCCTTTACTCCTTCAAATGGTGTGGGCTCTCTAGAGTGGAATGTAGGACAGTTGTCTTGAAATTAATATGACTTTCAAGAGCAACGTTTAGTACTTTAAAAATATGATTTAAATAATTATTTACCTAAGAAAACCTCTCCTAGCAATCACCTCTGCATGGCTATCATTTAAAATCGTTCCTGGTAGGAAATAGAAATTAATAATGCAGCAGTTATAAAGAAAACAAAAAGCAATAAATGACTTTGGATTGTCAAGTTCCTTTCCTTTGCTTCTCATGCAAGTGCAAGGCACACATTTTCCCCTCAGAAATAAGCTAGTTTTTCTCTCCTAAATGTTTAAGCTGACCAATCTCAAACCCCACACCATTCCCCCCCCCCCTCCCCCCTGCCCGACCCCTTTTAACAAACCCCCCAATCAGAAAATCTCAAGCCCCCTTCTCAGAGGGGGAATCCTGATGGGAAATAGTTAAAATAATTTTCATATTTTTTTTGCACATCTTAAATCAATTGCCAATCAAAACATTTGATATTTTTTGCCCTTAATTAAGGGGGCATCCAGGGGCAGGGGGGAGCATCTTCAACAATAACAGCGAATATTCGAGATACGAAAACTTTGACCTGACGCGAATGTTCAACAGACAGTGTTTTTGTGATTCAAATATACCAAACAGTTATGGTTGACTACATCTGAATTACTTTCCTATCATAAACTCATTGCCAATCAAACACTATGCATGTTTCTGCCCTTAAATCAGGGGGCATCCAGGGGCAGGTGGGAGTGGGGTGGGGGAAGTGGGATTTGTAAAATGTTATCGTGCAAACGCCCAAAAGTTCTCTGGGATTACTGCTGATAAGTGTATTATTATTCTTTTTACCTTGATTGCTCATTTTGCTTCTCCCAATGCATTTGGAACCAGTACCCATGGCAACCACATCTATAGAGCATTCATTGAAATCTGATTATAGAAATGACATTATTATTAATTATAATCATCATCATCATCATCATGCAAAATTAGGTCTTACTAGCTAGAATAGCCTTGGGCCAGGCTCCGCAGTGGGGGTTCGCTTCTCTCGCCGATTTTTTTTTTTTCCTTTTTTTAACTGTTTCACCCCGATTTTGCCTTTTTCACCCACTACGGAGACTAGTGCCAGGGTGGTACAAATGCTAAGGGGACAAACTATAACATTAGAGCTATTTATTTTCAAAGAAAGTAGAATATAATCACCAGTCAGGGTTTACCTTGTTGCTGCACTTGTACAATGGCGGCCAGAAGTGTCCACTCGTTTCTAGATTGAGGCTTCCCCTTTTTGCTCAGTTTCTTGAAATGCTCACAGCACAACTGCGCTAGACTATTGGCAAACTTTCCATTTTCCTGCCAACTTTCCATGACGTTTAAATAGAATAAATCACCATGCTAAAGACGATAATTTGTCATAGTTGAGGAATTGAACCAAATTGCATTGCATCCGCCATCTCGACAGAGGCGGAACCAATGCGACTGGACTTAACAACAACCACTGGAGAGGGAGGGGTACGTCGGGCATATGAATATTTGATCAAATAACGGTTAACTTGCGAAAAAGATGAAAACTGAGACATTTTTTTCTATTCTATAAAATAAGAAAATAATTCAATTATCTTTTCTTTTCCTTATACAAGGCACAGTCTTTAAGTTTAAAAAATGCCTATACTGATACTTGCCATATCCCGGTTAGGAAATTTTTTCGTCTCTTGGCAACTCTATTCGAGAGATTGCGGGCTCAACTACAGCGAAGAGGAAGAAAGATTTTTGAGCGCGAATATTTGTTTGCAAATGTTTGTGTTACTTGAAATGACTATTCTTCAACATGGTGATGTACGAAGTGCATTCTCATCCTGTCAGGCAAAAGTACAAGACTCACATTTGTAGCAGAGCGACTCTCTTTCAATTTTTTGCCATCATTCTTACATTTATACCACCTCTTATCATCGCCTATGTGACTCACGGTAAGCAATAACTAAACTTGCAGCTGGATTTTATATCACAGCGACTCCGATCTTAGCTTTACGTATATACTAACTTACTTTTTGCTATGTTAAATCGCAGGTTTTTGGCTTAAGGAAAGTTCTTATAGAGAACAGCCTGATGTAAGATTCAAACATGAAATTCTCCTGATAGTTCAAGGAAATACCCCTGGTTCATTTCTGGCCTACAGCACTTTTCAAAATTTTAACCAACTTCTTCAGCAAAATCTTAGAATTCCCCTCATAAAGGTAGGCAAAACACTCAAACTGATTATTAATAACAGCAACTTAAACCACCATATTTGCAAATTCACAAATCCCAATCATTTACTTCTAAGTAATGACAATTAATATCTTTATCTTTCAAGTCTTGGGAAAAGGATGTGAACCTGGATGGAAAGTATGACAGCCTTCACTTTAATATCGAGGTACCTCTGGCAGACTCTGAGGCCATACACTCTGTACAGTTGTTGCTGATATTTGATTACCAACTTCATGTAAGTGAGATCTTGAATTTAGACAGTACAGGCCATCCCCAGGGGAGTTACTTGGGTTAATTTTTGCTGTGTGCCACTGGCCTCTAAGAGCCCCTCCCCATTGTAGACTATTCCGTGGTCATATTATAGACCCCATCTCAGTCACTTTGGGGAAAAAGTAATTTTTGCAATCCCAACTTACCTTATCCTCCTTTATTTTCACGGGACTTAAATTTCGCGAAAATTTTCTCAGCACATTTCGCGAGTCTTTAATTTCGCGATCGCGGAGAAAAATTGTGTTTGCAGGGAACTTAATTTCGCGAAATTGACGATTAAGTCCACGTTTACAAAGAAATTTGGAAGCCCATCGTCGGGGAGCTTTTGAGATGTTCTCACAAACGAAACAATATCTACGATACGCAATCGCTAACAAACAGCTCCGAAACAATGTCTACGATATGCAATCGCTAACAAACGGCTCCGTGGTCGCCTGGCCGATTCGATTATGGGCCATTTGCCCATAGAGATTCTAGAGCCACTCGCTTTTTCTTATTGAGAGGTGGGATGGTTTATCTTAAAGTTACTGATGAAAACTATCATCGATCCCCATTGATTGAGGGAGGTCTGGAAATTCCTGTTGAGGTGATATGTGAAATGGACGATACACCAAAGAACAGGGCAATAATGGAAAGATACAAGACACTCGTAACTACACACTACAAGGAGCCGGGACAGGATGGTCAATTTGACGACTGTACAAAGGATGTTTTGGAGGAACTGTGCGAAGATGATTACTCAGATGCCGAAGAAGAACTTGAGGCGAATCTTGACACTGATTAACATCTAAAGTTGATAAATGATAGCTCGTTGTACTAACACCTTGTGTTAAAAACTGTTTAGGACCCTTGAAAACACCACGACATTATTTTTCTATTTCCATTAAATTTCGCGAGATCAAAGTTCGCGGTCGTTATTTTTCACGGGTCTTTAAGTTCGCGAATTTAAGAACCCGCAAAAATTAAGGAGAATAAGGTAGTCACTTTCTGTTTATGCATCTACCTTATAAAGCCTTTTAACTAGGTCATCCTGAAATGAACCGGCACATTTGTTAAACTTAATGTGGTGTACATATTTGTTTTTCACATTCCTTGATTTTCTGACCCCAAAATCTTGAAAATATGCAACCCCATAATAGCCAATCCAGTCATGAAAATGAGACCCCATCCAGCCGCACATTCCATTTGCCTACTAAGAAGAAGCCCCTGCCCCCCTCCCTCCCGAGGCCATCTTCTCTTAGATGAGGGTCCCTAATAGGGTTCTTCACTCCCGTCATCCCAACCCAAATTTTCCCTTAATCCCGTAACCCTGATGGTTATTAATTTTTTAGTATCCCACATCCCGTGTATACTTGTGTACTTTCAATCCTGAATCTCGCCCACATCACTGGTGTTCAAAGTGGAATCCCAAATCCCAACCAGTTGTGTCTACCTCATAAAATGTCAAAGAAAAGGACTGAAGAACAGCAGAGTCCAAATCTAAATGTCTGTTTTGGAAGGTGTGCATTCAGCGAGTTTGGCTTGTGCTTTGTCTCTTTTTTTTTCATGTCAGTGGGCTGGTAAAAGGAAGGGAAATGGAGGGATGATACCAGTTGCATAACTTCAAATCAAATAACTCTGATTGGAAGCGAAAGTTTCTTTCTGGTTCTGTTCAGATAATTTGTGACATTGTCATGGTTATCTGAAAAGAACCAGGTAGGTCAAACTAGCCATCAAGACATCAACTTTTACATTCTTTAATAGTTACTAACAGTTCTGCTCTGGTCACCAATAGACACTGATCAAGCCTATTACCAACCAGAATTGTGTGGTTCCAGAAAATATCCTTTCCCTTCAGCCCACTTGAAAGGAAATTGGAGATTCTGGGGAGGTGGGAGGCCCAGGGAATTCCAGAGAGTAGTGATGCATTTCCGAACTTAAATGCCATAGTCTTTTAATCAGACAATCTAATATTTTTCTCTGTTTTTTTTTCCATTGGTCTCTTGCAGATCAGTTTGCATAATCTAACATTTTAGAAGCACATGTCTTTTCTGTAACACCCACAACTTTGTTTTCCGTCATGATTTTTTTATGATTATGATTTATGATTGTTTTCTTAGAAATATGTTAGCCTGCAGATGGAGAGTATAGCATACATTTACTACTCATCTCCTTTGGCAGGAGCACAGTTTTCTACAACAGGACAACTCAGATTACAACAATCTTCTCCTTTACCTCATAAAGGAATTCATAATGTCTATAATGTAAGTGAATGGTGCATGATAATATTGTAACAGTGTTCAAATTGTTAAATACAACACTATTTGATGTTAATAATGCATTGCTGATTACCGATATCGCATGATCTTGTTAAAGCATTTAACAAGAAAAATTAAGCTGAGGAAGGTAATTCAAATGCAGTCTAATTTATTCAAACCTTAACTCTATTAACAACTCTGACACTTTTAATGGTTTTGATTCTTGATGTTAGAAACATCAAACTGTTGAAAAACGTTCCTCAGCTTAATTTTTTTTTATTACAGTTGGTATTATTTCTTAAAAATTTATGCATTGAAAAAGTTAACTTAATTTACATTATTTTTAAATAACAGTTCTAATAGGCCTACTAGGTTAGTAAATAAGCAGATTTTTGTGTAAAACTTGTTTATTTTTATTTATATACAATTTAATTAATCTTTTCAAAGATACTGCTCATAGAAAACTTTGCCAGCTTATTAGGCCTGAATATTAATAATTTTTTAATATGTTAGTTAAATGAGAGTTTGTCGTTCTTTGTTTGTAAAACCCTAACTTGCATCTTTTCTGAAAGTGAAACATGAGGTTCATGAGTCCTCTAGATCATTGATTGCTTTCACTTTCTTATTTATTGGTGATTTAAATTTTGATTTTTTGTAGGTCTCAGTTATCAATGGGACAAGCACAAATGCTGAGGCATACAACTTGTATGACATTTTTGCAAGTTATGTTCAGCGAAATGGTATGTCCAAATTGCAGTAAATGGTCAAGAACCATTTGGATATTTCTGTATTTGAACTTGTCTCTGTTTTGTTTCTCAGACAACACATTATTTAGCATTACCTTGGTGTGCTTCATGGAGTTGAACTAGTTTGTCTTAAAACTTATGATGGAGATGATCCAGTAATGTTTTGCCTCCGTCACTTAATCAACCCTTGTATGTCACCAAATATTGGCCGAATTTGTACCAGAGATGAATTATCAGTCTGAGACGAATTATTCACGAGTCTCAGACAGATAAATCAACTACAGTAGATATAAATCCAGTGTTTAGATGAATTTTGGCCCCAAATTTTTCTTCACTTGATTTGTCTACAAGCATGTCTTGTAGACGCACTGACAAAAGAGGTGAATTTGGAGCCAAAATTCGTCTTAACAGCGGATTCACAGCGTCTTCACTTAATTCATCTGCCAGCAGTTCTTACAGATGTGCTGCCTGATGAGACGAATTTGGGGCCAAAATTTGTCTGAACACGGGACTTATATGTAAATGATTTTATCCTTCTCAGACAGATAATTATTTATCTTAGATGAATAATTTGTCTCTAGAATAAATTCAGCCATTATTGCATCGCAGTGTAAGGGACATAATATTTATTATTTGCTTGATATCTTGTGTGTGTACAATGTACACTTATTCTGTAACTTTTGGTACTGATAATTTGATCCTTTTTGGGTTTTGCTAGTCACCACAGGGTATGCATCAGATTATCCAGTGTGGACAAGTGGGCGTGCCACAGGACAACCATTTGCATTACAAGGAACTGTGTTCTATCCAGAAGAGATCATTATGTATCCTTTTGATACCAACAATAATGTGATTAAATTTCGAAGAAATGAAAGTAGGTGTTTATTTATCAATTTAGCTTTGAAATGGTAGAGAAATCCTGGATATTTTGATTGGTAAGTCTGTTTGTCAAGGGAAAGGCAGGGTTCAAAGGTCCTGGAAATCCTGGAAAGTCAGTTTAGCAGGGTATACAATAATTTATTTCATTCGACTATGTAGTGTCTTAAATAGTGTCTCTTTTTTGATTGAAAGCCTGATAAAGAGTGTGAAGGTTGGTGGTGAGTGGTCTAAACTAATTCCATGATTCAAGTTTTAAAAAAAATCAGGGTCAGGGTTTAAAGGCCTTACTGGCACATCTCTAACCAAACTTGCCTTGCATGTACCTCCAGCCCCCCCCCCCCCCCCCCCCCCCCCCCCCCCCCCCCCCCCCCCCCCCCCCTTCCCCCCCCTTCCTTCTCCCTTTCCCATCCCCACAACCCACCCCCCTTCCCTCCCCTTTTCCACCTTTCCTTGTTCTCTACCCTCTACATCCTTTCTCTTTTCCTTTTTTCTTCTGTTTTACGTGGCAGTTTTTTTTTTTATACTTCAGTATTAT